GGTAATAATCCCTTAAAACAAATCAGCAAAAAAGTAATAATAATAATTTGATCACTTAATCCATAACTGTTTGTGGGATGCTGCTGTGTGCAATTGGCTGCCATCTCATGCGGCATTCCTCAAGGCTCTGTCCTTGGTCCCCTCTTCTTCAATATCTATATGTTCCCTTTTGGTGACATCATCCGCCGACATGGGGTCAACTTCCACATGTATGTGGATGACACCCAACTCTACCTCTCTGCCTCCATTCTTGACTCCAGGACCACTGCTGTCCTGAGAGAATGTCTGTCAAACTTCAAGTCCTGGATGAGAGCAAACTTTTTCAGTTGAACGTCAACAAGACTGAGGTTCTCCTGATTGGCTTCCAATAGCATCTCCACACATCAGGCACTGACAGTATCACCATCCATGGTTGCACATTCCACCTAAGCCAGTCCGGAACCTTGGCGTTTGACCCTTAACTATCCTTTCTACCCCACATCTCCGCCAGGTCCCACTTTGCCTTCCCCCACCTCCGCAACATTACCTGCTCCGCCACTGTCTCGCTCCACAGGCCACAAAACCTTCATACACGCCTTCATTACATCGAGGCTTAATTATGCAAACTCCTTGCTTGTCGGCCTCCCCAACTCCTCCCTCCATAGGCAGATCATGTAGAACTCTGCAGCCCGTGGGCTATCCCGACCCAGGTTCTGTGACACTCTCACCCCCACCCTCGCCCGACTCCACTGGCTCCCCATTACAGTTCAAGATCCTGGTTCTCACCATCAAAGCCCTACACGACCTTGCTCCCCCCTACTTCTGCGACCTCCTGACCCCCTACAATCTTGCCCGCTCCCTCCACTTAGTGGGCTCCGGCTTGCTTCAGGTCCCTTGCCTCGCCCACCCCACCATTGGGCAGGCAGTCCCTCCATCTCGCCCCCTTCTTTACCTCCTTCAAGTCCCATTTCAAGACCCTCCTCTTCGACCGTGCTTTCGATCACCCTGCTTCCCCCCCGTACCCTCCACCCTCCCCGATCCTAATCCCCAGTTGGACCTGAAACACTGACTGTCCAATGCCTTGGGACATCCTCCCGACGTGAAAAGCGCTTGACAAAGGTAATTTTGCTGTTTTTGTTGTTGTTGTTGTCGTTGTAGAAGACATGATAAGGCACTATATCAAATGCAAGGATTGTTATTATTTTAAGCAAACCAGACAATTTGCACATAGCAGTGAAGTGATGAGCACACACCTGTACACATTCAGATCTTGGGCTGAAGTGCTTAAGTTTCACACGTATATGGTTAAAAGCTGCCATGTGGGACAGTCACTACACCATAGGGTGTGGAACAATCACTGACCAACAGCAACACTGAATGTTACCTCAATGCTGTCACCTTGTGGCCACAATACGAAACTACATCACAATTGCAAAGCAGAAATGTGACAGCTGAGAAGTCTCAAGATTATGATCAGTAAATAACAATAATAATATTTGCATTTGTATCCGGCCTAACAAAATATCCCAAAGGATATACTGTAAAGAATAGGACTGTGTATTTGTAGGTAAATGTGACAGCTAATTTGCACACTGAATAATGACACCTCTGACAATCAGTGTATCCTCAGCGCTGTATTGGAGTTCAGCCTCGACCACAGGGTCCTGATGTGGGGCTTGAACCTACAACCCTCTGACCCAGAGGTGAGAGTCCGACCACCTTAGCCAGGAACACACACCTATGGAATATAGAATATATAATCTGGCTCACTCAATCCCACATGCAAAATCCACAGTTTCAGACCTCTTTGACTGTGCTTTGGACATCTTTCCCTTCCCCACCCTCTTCAGCTCCCACCACCTGTGCCAACAGTGTCAAGCGCCTCCCGGCGTGAAAGGCGCTCTATAAATGTAATTTTGTTGTTGTTGTTGTCCTCCTGACTTGAAAGGCGCTGTGTAAAAATATAAATTGCATTGTATTGAAACACGGCAGCAAATGTGCATCTGCAGCAGTAACAACAACAACAACATTACATTTGCAGCACCTTGTGAATAACAGAGTAAGTACACAATACAATACAGCTTGGCCGGCCTGCTGCTGTGTGTCCCCTCAACCTCTCCACACGACCATCGGGGCCATACATTCAGCCACTACACCCTAACCTCTGCCTCAATTCCTCCTCCTTTATCTATCTTTAAATCCAATTTACGACTTTAAATGTTTGACTGCAACTATGGTCACCTCCCCTCCCCCTTCACCCTATTTGGCATCCGACCCCCAGTTTCCAGAGCTCCAAGACGCTATCTTTGAATGAAGGGCTCCATATAAATGCAAGCTGTTGTTATTGACATTCTTTTGAAGTGGCTGTCGGGAAAATAAAGGTCTAAAAATTCACCTCTGCTTCATCGTGTCGCAAGTGCCCATCCCCACCCTCTGAAGGTGCGGAGCCAAACCCATGAGTCTAAAATGGAACGGATGCAGGAATAAGAGTGAGGGATGAGCAGCGGCGCATTCCAAAGGGAACTTCAAGACTTCAAGATCCTCACCCTTGTCTTCAAATCCCTCCACTTCTCTGCAGCCCTCGACCTCTCTGAACTCCTCTCTCCTCAAAACAGTGCCCGTTGCCTTCATTCCTTCGGGTCTGACCTCCTTCTTGTCCCCCGAGTCCTCCGCTCCACCCTCGGTGGCCGTGCCTTCAGCCACTATGCCCCGAGGCTCTGGAACTCCCTTCCTCACTCCCTTTGCCTCGCTCCCTCTCTTCCTATTTTCAGGTCTCTTCTGAAGATCTTTCTTTTCGACTGCGCCTTTGGTCACCTTCCTTCCCCCCTCTCCCCCCGGCTCAGCCCCGGGATCCGTTACGGTGAAGCGCTCTGAGACGCCCTCCGGCGTGGAGGGCACTATATATATATATACAAGTTGTTGTAAATCCAAGTTGTTGGAATGCAGTATAAATATAATTATAATCGTTGGGTTTGATATAGCGCCTTATAGTAATAATTCTTGCATTTGATATAGTGCTTTATCATGTCTTCGAGACGTCTCAAAGCGCTTCACAGAATATATTGCAAAGTGGATCGACTGTGTGTTTTGCGGGTGAAACACGACAGCCAATTGTGCACAGAATGTCTCACAAACAGCCGTGTATCTAATTTTATTTGGGGGTTTGTTGCTGTACCCCCAATCACAGCATCGAGCTGCTAACTGAGTCCCAGTGTCCTGACCTCAGCCGCCCTTCCTGGTAACCCCGTTCCAGTCGTCATTTATACCCTCTGACACCTTTTTTTTTAATCGCGCCATTGGGATCTTTTAACGTCCACTTGAACAGGCAGATGGAACGGCCAGATGTGCCCAATGGCAGTGGTACAGTGACTGACCAGATGTGCCCAATGGCAGTGGTAGTGTCCGGCCAGATGTGCCCAATGGCAGTGGTAGTGACCGACCAGATGTGCCCAATGGCAGTGGTAGTGTCCGGCCAGATGTGCCCAATGGCAGTGGTAGTGTCCGGCCAGATGTGCCCAATGGCAGTGGTACAGTGACCGACCAGATGTGCCCAATGGCAGTGGTACAGTGACCGGCCAGATGTGCCCAATGGCAGTGGTACAGTGTCCGACCAGATGTGCAGATGTGCAGATGTGCAGATGTGCCCTTCACCACCGCACCTCAGCAGCTCCTCTCACAGGCGCTCCGCCACTACTGCGCATGAGCACCTCCGAGAGGTGTGGCCCAGATATGCTGTTGACGCGCAGTAGCGGCGGAGCGCTGTGTTGGGGCGCGGCTATGGGCGGGGCGGGGCGTGGCTAGGGGGAGGGACGGGGCGTGGCTAGGGGAGGGGCGGGGCGGGGCTAGGGGAGGGGCGGGGCGGGGCTAGGGGGAGGGGCGGGGCGTGGCTAGGGGAGGGGCGGGGCGTGGCTAGGGGAAGGGGCGGGGCGTGGCTAGGGGGAGGGGCGGGGCGTGGCTAGGGGAGGGGTGGGGCGGGGCTAGGGGGAGGGGCGGGGCGTGGCTAGGGGGTGGGTGGGGCGTGGCTAGGGGGTGGGTGGGGCGTGGCTAGGGGAGGGGCGGAGCGTGGCTCGGAGGAGGGGCGCGACTATGTGGCGTGGCTAGGGGAGCGGCGTGGCGTGGCTAGAGGGCGTGGCTAGGGGAGCGGCGTGGCGTGACTGGAGGGCGTGGCTAGGGGAGCGGCGTGGCGTGGCTAGGGGGCGTGGCTAGGGGAGCGGCGTGGCGTGGCTGGAGGGCGTGGCTAGGGGAGCGGCGTGGCGTGGCTAGGGGGCGTGGCTAGGGGAGCGGCGTGGCGTGGCTGGAGGGCGTGGCTAGGGGAGCGGCGTGGCGTGGCTAGGCGGGCGTGGCTAGGGGGAGGGGCGGGGTGCGGCTAGAGGGGCGTGGCGTGGCTAGGGGCTGGGCTGGAGGTGGGGCTGGAGGCGGGCCGGAGCAGCACGTGCTCAACATGTGGCCTGATTGGGGGGCGAGGGGGCGGGTTTCACGCCCATTTGGGCGGGTTTGTGTCGCCCCGCGCGTGAAAACAAACGGTTTGGATGGGCGCCAAACGTTTAAATTCCTTTTAAATTGAAATCCGCAAACCGTGCTTTACCCCCCCCTCCCCCCTCCCATTTCCCTTTGCCTCACCCAGTTTCACAAAGCACTGATCCTCCACCCGCCGCTCTGTGAGCCCGACCTTACACGGGAGGAACATTTACGAATTGACGTGACGTTGGGCTACAATTTGGGCTCAGGTCCGGACGGGCGGGAGGGCTTTGGGCGACAATTTGGGCTACTAACGGATATTTGAACGCCGGCGCGTGCTGCCTGTGGCGGTTGCTGGGGTCGCGGCGCGAGGCGAGGCTCGCGGACAGTCAGTCGGTCTCGGAGCTCGAGCCCTGGGCAGAGCCGAGCTGCTCCCCCCCCCCCCCGCACACACCCCCGTGTCGTGTTCTTTTTCCTCTCGGGAGCAGGTGCGAAGCTGCCGTCAGGCAGGGCCGGCGGGGCCGTGAATCCCCCCCACACCCCCCACCCCACCGCTCACTGACTGACTGACACTGACTCACCTCAATGACAGCCATGAGGAGCCGCAGTGACTATCGCACCAGGCTGGAACATTATGTCTGGCTGGTGAACAACTCTATCCTGTGCCACCAGGTGAGTGAGACCATGTTGGGGGGGCAACGTCGTGTTGGAGGGGCAACGTCGTGTTGGGGGGGCAACGTCGTGTTGGGGGGCAACGCCACGTGGGGGTGGGAGGCAATGCCACATGTGGTGGGGGGCAACGCCATGTGGGGGTGGGGGGCAATGCCACATGTGGTGGGGGGCAACGCCATGTGGGGGTGGGGGGCAATGCCAAGTGGGGGTGGGGGGGTGGGGGGGGGCAATGCCAAGTGGGGGTGGGGGGCAATGCCACATGTGGTGGGGGGCAATGCCACGTGGGGGTGGGGGGCAATGCCATGTGGGGGTGGGGGGCAATGCCACATGTGGTGGGGGGCAACGCCATGTGGGGGTGGGGGGCAATGCCACATGTGGGGGGCAACGCCACAGGTGGTGGGGGGCAACGCCACGTGGGGGTGGGGGGCCACGTCGTGGGTTGGGGGGCAATGCCTTCTTGTGGGCAGGGGGCACAATAATCCTGGCATTTGACGTTTTATCTTTGAGGCGTCTCAAAGCGCTTCACAGAATATGCCGTGAAGTGAATTAATTGACTGGTTATTTTGTGGGTGAAAATGCACAGTTGCTGCACTTTCCAGAAAACCTGTGAAGCACTTAAACATTTTCTCGCCTAATGATAATAATCCTGGCATTCGATATCGCGCTTTTTCATGTCCTCCAGAAGTCTCAAAGCGCTTCAGAGAATATACTGTAAAGTGAATTGACGGTATATTTTTGTTGGCGAAACGCGGCAGCCAATTGCGCAGAGCAGCGTCCCACAGCAGTCGTGGATTGAGTGACCAAATTATTATTGTTTTTTCTTCTTGAGGGATTATTATCAGGTAAGTTTGGAAGGAAATTTGCCCAACATTTCGCTCCGCTGGAAATCGAACAAACCCAGGTCTCTCGCTTGCGAGACGAGTGCTTTAACCACTGAGCTACAGGACTCCTCTAACATCCTAAAATGTGAGGATTATTATATTAAAAAAAACCTCTGCTGTGACCAGTAGTAAAGGTTTATAGGTTTAAAGTGAGCGCTGCCTTCAAGAAAGAGTGATGTATTTTACAGTTTTGGTGGGAGAAAGTGAAGGGGTTTAGTGATCCCCCCCTCCGCTGATGTGCCAATGAGGTGTTTATGTTTGTTAAGTGGATCTTTAATAAAATGAGAGTGTGTGCGTGTCCCAGTTTGGAACATGTGCGTTGGATTTCATTGCCTCAGTCATATTACTAAAACAGCCTGCAGTTGTGACAGGTGTTCAGCTTGATGATACACTGCCTTGAATCTAGTGTCAGCTTGGTTCCATTGGTAGCACTCTGGCATTTAGCTTAGAAGGTTGTGGGTTCAAGTGTGACATTGGGAGTGCTGTAAATTATTGGAGGCACCATCTTTCAGATGAAATGCTAAACTGGTTGTATGTTGAAGATCCCATGGTACTATTTGAAAAGAAATGGAAGTTTCTCCTGCTCTCTGTGTACTGGCAAACGCTGATCTGGATTATTCAGTCATTCACTTCAAGACTGTTTGTGAAATCTTGTTGGTGCATATGGCTTCTCTGTTTGCATACAAAACCTGCCGCAATGTTTGACAGTATTTTATCATACAACAGGTTGAGATGTTTCAATGGAATTAGGTATTATGAAAGTCAAATTCTTTCTCTGATGTCTATTTAAAATTTTTCCTGTTTTCTCTTCTCCCCTTTTAACTCAGAGATGAGAGTGGTAGCACTCGCCTCTGAGTCAGAAGGTTGTGGTTTCAAGCCCAACGTCGGGACTTGGAATCACATAGTCTAAGCTGTCTCCATTGCGGTGCTGGGGGTGCACTGTTGGAGATGCCATCCTTTGGATGAGACATTAAATCAAGGTCCCATCGGTCTGTTCATGGTGCTATTCGAAAACAGAGTTTCTCTCTCCCTGTCTCCTGGACAACAAATCCCCCAAATAAAATTGGTCACTCACTCCGTGGCTGTTGGTGAGACTTTGGTGTGCGCTAAACTGGCTGTTGTGTTTCGCCCACAAAATACACAGTCAAATGACTTTACAGTATATCCTGTGAAGTGCTTTGAGGCGTTCAACGACCTGATAAAGCGGTAAACCAAATGCAAGGATTATATTTTTTTAACTCAAAAAGACACTAAATCATGTACGGTTCCAAAAATTGAGCCTTCCTTGTTTCCTGTACCTTAATTATTCTTAATAATAATAGAAATAAACCTCAGATTTGGTGTGGCGCCTTTCACTTCAGGAGAATTCCCAAAGTGCTTGATAGACTCTACTATAAACTGAAATGACTGTCTTTTATGAGTGAACGCGACAACTTAATTTCCATATAGCAATGTCCTGCAATCAGCCATGAAGTGAATGATCAATTTTATTTGGAGGATTGTTGACCGAAATCCGGGAGATACTCCCTTTTCTTTTTAAATTGTACCATGGGATCTCTAACTTCCATCTGGACAGGTAGACGGGATATAAGTTGAATGTCTCTTCCAAAGAATGGCACCTTCGACAGTACAGCGCACCCCAGCACTGCATTGAACTGTCAGCCTAAACTATATGGGTTCCAATTCCTGTGTATGGGACGAGAGTACCACCAACTGAGCCAGGCTGACAGATGAGGGAAAAAATTTGCTGCACGATGTGGGTTCACTGTATACCTATTCACTATGGATTTGGTATATGTATGGGTAATAAGTACTCGTTTTAAGTTTTGATAATCCTTGCATTTGATATATAGTGCATATAACAACAACATGCATTTATATAGCGCCCTTCACAGGACTTGATGCCGAGACGGGGAGAGAGGCATGGTCAAAGAGGAACATGTTCAGGTGGAACTGTAGACCAGCAAGATGGAGAGATTGAGGCAGCGTTCCATAGTTTTAGGGAGTAGTGGCTGAAAGCAATGCCGCCGATGTTGCAGCAGAGGGGATGATGGATGTGCAGGAGGCTGGTGCCAGCTGAGGAAAGGAGCAGAGAGAGGAGTGAGGTTTAAGCAGGTCTGAGTTTAAGCAGGTTGGAGAAAATATTGAGAAGGGAAATTGTGTTTATCTATGCACATCTGAGTAGGCATGTGATCTTTTCATGAAACAGGTTTGGTTTAGCACTGAACGGCTGTCATGTTGCTGATTTAGAACATTCATCTTGACTGTCTTTCCAGTGCAAAATAATGTGTAGATTTCCTTTTTAACTCCTAATTTAACTCCTTCAAAATGATATGAATTGATTTACTCTGGAGATTGTTTTAAAATGTATCCTTTTTTTTAGAATCCAGTAACTGGCTTACTACCTGCCAGCTTGGAACACAAGGATGCTTGGGTCCGTGACAATGTATACGGTATCTTGGCAGTCTGGGGGCTGGGATTGGCCTACCGCAAAGTCTCTGATCGAGATGAGGATAAAGCAAAATCCTATGAGTTTGAACAGGTTGGTTCTTGGGAAGGATAAAGCAAATCATACTGTTGGTACCAACAAAATAAATGGTAATAGATATTTAGACTCCTGATCCTAAATCAACTGTAAGTTTCCTACTTAGTAAAGTTACAAACCTATTGCACTATTCTGGTCAATTAAATCATCTTCATCTTTTAACTTCAACATATGCTGATCACTTTATTCAAATTGCTATTTATTTCTCTTGTTGTCATTCTAATATTTTTTCACTCCTTCACATAAATTTCCTTCACATAAGTTCTACTGATGACTGGATTATTTGACCAATTCTGGTGCCAGGGTGAAGTCTTTGGCAATGGAATATCCGATTTGAGTTTATCCTCTGCAGCTTCCTGAGCCAGCATCGTACTGTCAAGCACTGGTCATGATGACCAGCTGGCCTTGCTCACCCCCCAGGTCTTGAAAAAACAGGCCAGTCAGTCAGTACAGTTGTTTTCTTCCGGAAACAATTTTGTTTGTAAAGTTACTGTATACTTGATCTGCAAAAGTGGTTGCAACTTCATTCCCAAATGATTGAATGTCATGTGAAAGCTGAGGTGGGTACAGCAATGCCAAGAAGAAGCAGCTAAAAGACCGTGACCTATTATCAATTGCTGACTCAATGTAACTGGTTTCTATTTTATCTTCCAGTCAGTGGTGAAACTCATGCGTGGACTGCTGCGATGCATGATGAGACAGGTAAATCATCACAGGGCTCAAATCCCTTGCCAGTGTTAGTAATTACACTATATTTAGATTCTTGGAGATTTGACACTTGTCCTTCTAGAAATAGACGTGCGTTTTATTATAGGAGTGGAGGCATAACTTGTTTCTAATGGTAATCTGAGTTAGATCATAATTTCAACATTAGAGTTTGATCCAGCAAATACAGGGGATCCCAGTTATAGTGTCCTTCAGTATCGTGCTTATAGCACAGGTTCAACAGCTAACTGGAAGTCCTGTACACTCAACTTCTGGCACGAACTGGCTGTCTTTTCACACCCAAAAATGGCTGACCAGCAAGCCTTCATATCGTCATTTCCTGAGAGCACGCGCTGGAAGTATTGCTGATGTCACTTTAGAAAGATAGTGAGGTCATTGGTTCTTGTATACCACTCGCAGTAAGTGCCGTTAAAGTGGACGTGATGACCGGGAAGTCAGCCATTTTTGTGTGCTGAGATACCTGACCTAGGCAACTGCTAGACTGCGGGTTTGCCTTACAGTATTTACATTTTTAAAATATTCTCTCAAATTAAGATAATTTTTTCCTTCCTTTAATTAAATGGGGACATTAAGATGTCGTGGAACATGTGGGATATGTTCTTTTTTTAGTTCACGTTGGTTGATTTTAAGTATAATGTGGGTTCAAGGTCTCTCCCTTCATATAGCATCACTTCAACCCTTTCTGATGTATCTCTTGCGGCTGGTTACAAAGTGGCATTGGTTGAGCTTTGAAAGCAGGTCAGGGAATGAAGGTAATGTGCAGAGACCTGCTGCGTAGGAAGTGGTGATTTACAAAGACTGCAACACTCATGCCGGTGTTTATACTCCACATGAGTCTCCACCCATTTCTTACTCCCTCACATATCCGTCTATTCCCCTCTTCCTCATGTAAAGATCTAGCTTCCTCTTGGAATTGATGTGATGACAACAACAACAAGAAGATTACATTTGTATAGCGACTTCATGTCGGGAGGATGTCCCAAGGCGCTGGACAGTGTGCAGCATTTCAGACCCGAGCTGGGATCAGGGAGGGAGAAGGGAGGGGAAGGTGGGTGACCAATGCATAGCCGAAGAGGAGAGTTTTGAGGCGGGGCTTGAAGGAGGCTAAGAAGGGGGCAAAGCGGAGTGATTGGGGAATGGAATTCCAGAGGTTGGGGGTAGAGTGGCTGAAGGCTCTCCCGCCAGTTATAGGGCAGTTGGGTCGGGGGACATGGAGCAGGCCAGAGCCTCTGAGCGGAGGGAGCAGCAGGTTGGTAGGGGGTTAGGAGGTCGCAGAGGTAGGGTGAGGCGAGGCCACGGAGAGCTTTGTAGGTGAGGAACAGGATCTTGAACTGGATCCTCTGAAGGATAGGGAGCCAGTGGAGTTGGGCGAGAGTAGGGGAGATGGGGTCATGGAGTTTGGTGCGGGAGAGGACATGGGCAGCAGAGTTCTGGATTTATCTGCAGCCTGTGAAGGGAGGAGATGGGAAGCCGACAAGCAGCGCGTTTGCGTAGTCGAGCCTGGAGGTGATGAAGGCATGAAAAGAGTTTTAGCGGCCTGAGGAGTGAGGTAATCGTGGTGTCAGGCAATGTTACGGAGGTGAGGGAAGGCAGAGTGGGTCATAGCTTGGATGTGAGGAAGAAAAAACAGTTGAGGGTCGAACAAGACACCTAGGTTCCTAACTGGTTTGGTAAGTTGTAGTGTGCAACCATGGAGGTTGATGCTGCCAGAGCCTGAGGTGCAGAGGTGCTGAAGGGGGAGATGAAGAACTTTATGGCCAGTATAATATAATATGGTTGCTGATCATAATACTGTTGTTACATTTAGGCGGAAAAAGTTGAAAAATTCAAGTACAGCCAGAGTCCATCAGATGCCCTCCATGCAAAGTATAGCTCCACTACATGTGAAGCAGTGGTTAAGGACAGTGACTGGGGTCATCTACAGATAGATGCTACTTCCCTCTTTCTACTTTTTCTTGCACAAATGACTGCTTCAGGTAAATGGGACAAATTACCAATGCCCTCATTGTGGACTTCAAATCATATTGTTAGTTCTGAATTACCTTCATAATGTCCCTGACCTACCTACTCCACCATTAGCTTTTTTTGAAAATATACATTTATTTAGTACAACAGAAATCCAAAACAAACACAACATCTTCTGTTCCAATTTTTTTCTTGTCTCCCGATACAAAAAACATACCAATTCCATCATTAGCAGACAGGTGAAAACCTTTCTGTCTGCGCTCTCTGGAACTCCATCCTTGCTCTAACTTGGTCCCTCTAACTTGCTGCCTCCCTCCTGTCATTCAAGGTGCGTCACAATATCTAGCTGTTTGACTGCACTTTCGGTCATCTTCCTCTCGGCTTCCCCCCAGTTTGGGTGCCCAGCCAGTACTGAAAATATCTGAGACATTTTCACATGAAGTGGGCTATATAAATATAACTTAGTATTGCATTTGTGGGCAATTTGGTCTTCCACTCAACTGTCATTGTATATTGCTGTGCCTATTTTGAATAGAAGGTATTAAATGATGTTTTGTGTTAACTATTCCCTGCCATTGTTCCCTAGTTCATTATTTTCAAGAGCAGCATTGTCAAGACGGACAACTGAACATACTCGAACGGAGATCTCCATGTCTATCAATGTTAAATCTGGTCAATTTACAGTACAATTGAATACTTCCAGTTTGATAGTGATTTTGGAGTGAGAGCTTGTTGAAGCTATTTAGAATAGAATGTGCATAGTGTCAGCCAGTTAACTTGAGCGAAAAGCAAAGACCAGGATGGAACTTGGCATCTTAATCTGCATGATTCAGCTACTTGTTGGGTGATTGAGGAAGCAAATCTATTTGTTTTAATTTATATTTTTAAACAGTGCTTTGAAGTGATTGTGAGACCCTGGTTTAGGTATAGTAGGATCAAGTGTTACGTCAGGACTTTGCTCATAGTTTAGGTTGATGCTTTGCTGCAGTGCTGGGGTTGTGCTGCATTGGTGGAGTTGCTGAACTTTGGATGAGACATTAAATCGAGGTTCCATCTGTCTGTTCGAGCAGACAGTAAAGATCCTGTGCACTATTTGAAAAGAAAAGGTAGTATTCTCGGTATCCTGATCAACAATCCCCAAATAAAATTGGTCATTCACTTCATGGCTGTTTAGAGAACATCGCTAATTGGCTTTGACACTTTGACATTCTCATTTTTCTAAGCATTTCTCTAATTCCCCTTTAAACGTAAGCGGGTACAACCTTCATTCTGACATGCACACTTTAATCTATTGTTATTAATAGATAACTGTTGTTAGAATTGGGCATTATGGTCATTTATTCTGAGGTGTTGGAATATAAAATACTGATGTTCTACTTTATTCTCCCCAGGGCTTCACATAATATTTTCACTGGATGAAGTGAATTTTATACAGAATCTGGTGTTTTATATTGAAACAGCCTACAAAGTTGCGGTGAGTCTCCAGGTGCCCTAAACAATGGATTTTCAGTTTACCATTTCCAACAAAGAGATTATTGCTGTCCTTCTAAATATTAAAAGCACAGTCAAAAATTTTTTGCAGTATGTCATATGAAGTGCTTTGGGATGTCTCAGGATGTGATAATTATTTTGTGTGATTTGATGATCTTTGAATTTGCTGTGCATGTATTGTGTGTCAGTCTGACGGAGTGAGTCAGGAAGGTTGTGGGTTCAAGCCCTACATCAGGACTTGGAACCACATAGTCTAAGCTCACACTCCAATGCAGTACTGAGGGTGTACTCAGTTCTTTAGATGAGATGATAAACCGTCTGCCTGTTCAGGTGGCCATGAAAGATCACATGGCACTATTCGAAAAGAGAAAGGAGTTTCTCCCGGTCCTCTGGCTGACAATCCCCCAAATAAGTTGGTGACTCACAAATTGGCTGTTTGTGGGATATTGCTGTGCGCAATTGGCTGCTGAGTTTCATCCATAAACTACACAGTCAAATCCATTTTACAGTATATCCTGTGAAGTGCTTTGAGATGTCACAATGTTGTCAAATGTAAGGATTACTATTATGTTTAGTTTTCTTTTTGTGACAGGATTTTGGCATCTGGGAACGGGGAGATAAGACAAACCGGGGAATCCCTGAGCTCAATGCCAGTTCTGTTGGCATGGCTAAAGTGAGTCTTTAAAGCAAATGTATGTGTGAATAGTGCAATCATCCACTTACCTACACGCTCTGGTTTGATTCTGACTGACTATGGGATGCAAGTCCCCTCTACTGCTCTGTGAAATGACACTGTACCACACAGTTCCTAGAAGATGGAGTCCCACAGTTTAACTCAAATGGACAATCTCACTCATGAAAGCCAGAAAGGTAGGAATGTGTGGGAAGTGGAAAAACATCACATTTGAGAAGAGTGGTGAAGTAGAGAGGTGTTTGTCTGTAGAACATACAGAATCTCTACACAAATCCTGTAAGCGGTTTAGGACTTCCTCTCAACATGAAAGGCGCTATACGAAATGTATGGATTATTATTACTCCACTTACCTGACCTTAGAAACGAAAATAGAGGGCGAGTTCTACTTCAAATTAGTACATTTCTTTTTTCACGCACACAATGCAGAGAATTAACCAAATCCAACTATCTTTAATATAATGTTGACCTTTTTCTCTGCTGATTGCAGGCAGCTCTTGAAGCAGTTGATGAGTTGGACCTTTTTGGTGCCAAAGGAGGCCCCGAATCAGTTATTCATGTCCTGTCTGATGAAGTGCAACATTGTCAAGTAAGTTTGGCTGATTTGCTCACAGGTTTATGACGGAAGATCGAATCATTTGGTTTGAAATTTTAGATGTAAGTATACAATGTTCCATGTGTGTTTGGTGGGATTGTGGGGAACAGTGTTCATCAGGTAAAAGACAGACTCAACAGCCAAGATGTTAGGGTAGAAGAGATTTACCAAAGGAGTCTATCTTCTGTCCAAAAATTAGTTGATACAAATGGGATCAAATATGTATATATGGATCCAAATTTCCCTGCTACCAATACCTTCACCAGAACTTATCAAGGGTAGTAATACATTTCTGAAGCCTTTCCAGAGTGAGGTATGTACGGTGCAAAATTTTGAATTGGATTTCTCTAATTTTGTTGGAGATTGAAGTTGAACTGACGAGACAATAAGCAGGGTTCCAGTCTTCTTGGGTTAGGCTGTGCCTTCCCTCAGAGTTTGGACTGTAATGTGGAGACATGGATATCCAGGGCACTGGGATTTTTCTTAGTGTTTGGCTTTGGTTGATATGATCAATATATTTACTGTATGTCCAACTGTCTGTGAGTACCTCAGTAACCAGGCAAAGGGCTGTTTGAAAGTTTGGCCCTACCAGTAGTAACAAAATCTTTTATTTTGCTAACATGTACATTCTTTTTTAATTTCAGTCTATTCTTAATTCAATGTTACCAAGAGCTTCAAATTCCAAAGAAATTGACTCTAGTCTGCTTACAGTCATCTCCTTCCCGGCATTTGCAGTAGACAACCGCAAACTTATTTCAGTAACTAAACAACAAATTATTGAAAAGTTGCAGGTAAGATATTTATTTTTCCTTTCTCTCCTGAAGACATTTTATTGGTTTGTGGAACTCCAGAGTTTCCTATTTAAACTTGTGGTTTGATTGAGAATCACATGAATTAAGAATTGGTGTTTTGAAACTGCAATTCTTGTTATTAACAGAAGCACCAAAACAAGTTTTAGAATGAATATATGAATGAACATGGCTTCATTCATGAAGATGTTTTCAGAAATCCCACGATTTAGATGCAATATAAAGATTGCTATTTAATGATCAGCTTATGGTGGAATCTCTTCTCTGAAGAGAAATCTTGACATGTCACGTACTTCATTATATCTCCCCTCAGAGATATGCCTGTGTGCTACACATACCAAATGCCCAGTATAGTACAGATTGATCTGGGGAAACTAGGATTTTACTGGGAGAAAATGCTATCTTTAATCATCTCAGCACTAATTTATAGAAATGAATTCTCTCGATTGCATCTACCCCGCACACAGAGCAAGAAGTAACTGCATTTCCTGCAGTAAACAGTTGGCATGATTTTCATCTTGCAAATGGGAGATCTGAGTACTGTTTGTCAACAAGTGAGTTGTGTTACACTTGTATAAGGAATGAAAAGTAATCCTGTGAGAATTATTCATAATGAGTGTTAAATTAGCCTGTCTGTGTCAGAAAATTGTGGAGATTTTGAGCTTATAGTCCAGACAGACATTACAGTGTAGACGAGTATTGCATTTTCTTTCAAATGAAATGTACCAGGGTCAACTTAGGGAAATTTACATTAGCAAAGAATTGGTGCTAGGGAAATTGTTGGCATTGAAAAGTGACAAGTCCCCTGGACTTGATGGTTTGCATCCTAGGGTTTTAAAAGAGGTGGCTCATGAGATAGTGGAGGCCTTGTGTCTGATCTTCCAAAATTGTTTGGATTCTGGAACGGTTCCCATTGATTGGAAGATCGCAAATGTCACACCACTATTTAAGAAAGGTGGGAGAGAAAAGATGGGGAACTATAGACCAGTTAGTCTGACACCAGTGGTAGGGAAAATTGTAGAATTCTTAATTGAAGATGTCGTAGTGGGATACTTAAAGGATCACAATATGATTAGACAGAGTCAACGTGGCTTTACAAAAGGGAAGTCATGCTTAACAAATCTTTTAGATTTTTTTGAGCACATATCAAGTAGATTAGATAGGGGGAATCAGTGGATGTAGTGTATTTAGATTTCCAAAAGGTATTCAATAAGGTGCCGCATAAAAGGTTGATTCACAAGATTAGGGCCCATGGAATTAAGGGGAATATATTAGCATGGATTGAAGAATGGCTAATGGGAAGAAAACAAAGAGTAAGGATAAACGGGTCCTTCTCAGATTGGCGGGATGTGACTAGTGGAGTGCCACAAGGATCAGTGCTTGGGCCTCAAGTATTGCCCTTTTCAAAGACCCGGCACAGACTCGATGGGCTGAATGGTCTCTTTTGTGCTGTACGATTCTATGATTCTATAATTCTATGATTTACAATCTACATCAACGATCTAGATGAGGGCATCGAACTTAATATATCCAAATTCGCGGATGAAACTAAACTAGGAGGGAGAGTAAACACCGAGGATGACATTAAAAAAATGTAATGAGATATATTTAGGCTAGGTGAGTGGGCAAATAAGTTGCAGATGAAGTATAATGTAGGGAAATATGAGGTGGCAAAACAGTAGAGCAGATTATTTTTTAGAAGGGGAGAGACTAGATAGTGTTAGCGTTCAGAGGGACTTGGGTGTCCTTGTACACCAGTCACAAAAAGTTAGTTTGCAGCTACAGCAAGCAATTAGGAAAGCTAATGGTATGTTGGCATTTGTTACAAAAGGGTTAGAATATAAGAGTAGGGAAGTCTCGCTGCAACTCTATAGGGCCCCGGTGAGACCGCACCTAGAGTATTGTGTGCAGTTTTGGTCTCCTTTTTTAAGAAAGGATGTACTCGCCTTAGAGGGGGTACAACGTAGATTCACTAGGTTGGTACCAGGGATGAGGGGGATGAGTTATGAGGATAGGTTGAGCAATTTAGGCCTATATTCTCTAGAATATAGAAGAATGAGAGGTGATTTTATAGAGACCTACAAGACCTACAAGATTATTAAAGGGCACGACAGACTAGATAGTGGGAGACTTTTTCCCCTGGTTGGAGAAACTATAACCAGGGGTCACAGTCTTAAAATTAGGGGTAAGCCCTTTTGCACTGAGTTGAGAAAAAACTTCTTTATTAGAGTGTAGTGAATTTATGGAATTCTCTACCCCAGAGGGCTGTAGATGCTCAGTCGTTGAACATATTCAAGACTGAGATTGATAGATTTCTTGTGGATAAAGGGATTAAGGGATATGGGGATAAAGAAGGTAGGTGGAGTTAGAATAGATCAGCCATGATCTTATTGAATGGTAGGGCAGGCTAGAGGGGTCGAATGGCCTACTCCTGCTCCTAATTCTTATGTTCTTATGTCTCATCTACCTGTTCAGATGGATGTTAAAGAGCCTATGAAACTATAGTATTTGACGTGAATAGACAGTTCCTCCAGATAAGCAATAATCCTCGAAATTGGTGACTCACTTCATGGTTATATGTGAAATGCAAAATGGGTGCTAATTTACCTACAAATTATAGACACAACACTTAATAGCAATTGCCTTTGAAGCACTTTGAGGTGTTTTGATGTTTTAGGTGCTATATGAAGGATATAAAAGAATCTTTTAGGCTGAACAACTCAGTCCATGGTGCTGTGGACAATTTATTAATACTATATCATTGGCTACTTGTTCTGAACTTGTTTTATTTTTCTGTATTAAATCAGGGTCGTTATGGTTGCTGCCGTTTCCTTCGAGATGGCTATAAAACTCCCAGAGAGGTACAGTGCTAAACCATTAGTCTTGGTTTTTGAAAGAAGTGTAATAAACCTTTTGTTTATTGAACTAAATGTACATATTTAAGTGTGCCCCCCACCCCCATCTTTAATTTTCTCCTACCCTCTTCTGAAGGTATTATCTTATGTAATAGTAAACAGATGGGTATCACTCCGGGACGCTACCCCAGGTGAAGGAGGCTATATAAATACAAGTTGTTGTTGATGCTGTCTGGTAATTCAGTGACCATGTGAGCCTCAGCTGTGAGTATCTACAGGCTGTTTGAATGTCAGGGGTATCACAGATGATCCTGAACCAGCTCATACTCAATTTCCACACATGCACTTTTCATCAGGAATCAGTCAATGAATAGTGAACCTTGTCTGTTTTTGTTTCTCCACACACACACTCCCCTATTCCATTGCCGATGTTGCTGAAGCCAATTACAGAATTTTCACTGCAGTCTGACACACATCAGACGTAAACAAACACCAACTGAAGATGATCATTCTTCCATGGCTGTTTGGTTCCATTTCAAAACAAGACATTGGCTTTTTCTCTTGGGGCAGCAAAGAAGCTAGAGTTGCTTTTTTTGTATCATATATGTACGAAAAAAATTCTGTTTAACTTTAGGATTCAAAACGGCCTTATTATGAACCTGCAGAACTGAAGCATTTTGAGAATATAGAATGTGAATGGCCAGTGTTCTGGGCGTACATGGTACTGGATGGTTTGTTCAGTGGCAACACGTTGCAGGTAAACAGAAAATGGGAGTAACTTAACTCGAAATACTTCTCCAAACAATGCCCGATATATTCTTAGGCATTAAAATGGTTGGCAATCCCTTCATACAAATTCTTTCACACCTTGAATCTACCTACCTGTCTATTTACCTCTCTGACCTACTCGTACCACTTTGTCTGCCCACCTCCTTCGTTCAGCTGGCTCAGGTATGCTGTGCGTTTTACAATCCCTCCGCGGCACCTTCATTGTCCGGGCCTTTAGCCGTTATGCCCCTAACTTCTGGAACTCCCTGCCTCGATCCTTCCACTTCCTTACTTATCTATCTTTAAATCCCACTTTAAAACCTACCTCTTCGACCAGCACATTGGGACGTCCTCCCGAGAGATAAATGTAATTTGTTGTTGTATGGTTGCCTCCCCTTCCCCTTTCTCCATTGGATGGCATCCAACTTTACCACTGTGCAGGCTCCAAGATTACTGCATGAAGGGCGTTCTATAAATGTAAACACTGCCTCCTGACGTGAAAGGCGCTATATAAATGTAATTTTGTTGTAGTTGTTGTTGTTGTGAAACAGTCCTATGTTCTCATTCCCCCATTTCGTAGACCAGTAGATTACATTAGACCACCTGCTGACTGTTGGATTCCTTTGTACCGTCTTTGGGAAAGTTATTAAACTTCTATAAAATAAATATTTTTATTGAAGTGTCTTTCTCATTATCAATATTATGTGACCCTTAAATTCCCTGTGTTGTAGTTAGAATGATCTTTCAATCACTGGGAAGCCTGAACTAAATGTTGCCATTGTTTGCGATTTCCTTGTTCTCATGATAGGTTGAAGAGTACAGAGAGGCCTTGGAGCGAGTTGCTATTAAGGGAGAAAATGGTGTTAGCTGGTTACCTGAACTTTATACTGTTCCAGAAGATAAGGTAGTTTCAATCATTTTTAACTCAATAGTTTACTTTCAATCATAAGGTTCTAGTTTCAAGTCCCACAGTAGGATTTGACATCCAAGCTGACACTTGTTGCAGGGTCAGTCTTTCAGATGAGACATTAAACTAAGTTCTTATCAGACTGCTTGGTTTTTTATTTGAAGAGTACCATGGGATCTACAACATTTAACTAGATGTAACCAATATTACCCATTCTCAAATTCACAAAAAATTGAATAATTAGTCATATTTACATTGCTGTTTGTGGAGTGTTGCTGATACAACTACATTTGCTTGGATAATAACTGCAAAGTAAAGTAACTCATATGAAACATTTAATGCTTGCATGTGGTATAGCGCCTTTCATATTGGAAGGATGTCACAAAGCGCTTCACAGGAGTTACTGTGAAGTGGAATGACTGTGGGCAAACGGGGCAGCCAATTTGCGCACAGCAATGTCCCACAAACAGCTATGAAGGGAATGACCAATTTTTTTTTTTTGGAGGAGGATTTTTGGCTAGGACACTGGGAGAAACTTCTCTTTTCAAATAGTGCCATGGGATCTTTAATATCCACCTGAACAGGCAGACAGGACCTTGGATTAACATCTCATCCGACGGACTGCACCTCTGACAATGCAACACACACCCAGCATAGCATTGGAGTGTCAGCATAGACTGCATGAGTTCATATAGAGCTTGAACCCACAATCTTCTGACTCAGAGAGGATAGCCACTACTGAGCCATGCTGACATTTGAGATGTTTTAATTTGATGCTACAGTATCTATACACGTGCAAGTTTAATTGTGTTTTTTTTAAAGATGTTGAAACATCCTTGTTTTATGCACAAATTTACACTTTCTGGGTTGCATGTGGTATTAGTTCAGGATGTACAGTCAGTGATGTGCATGCTCATCTGTTTCCAGATGGATGAAGAATATAAGAACCCGCACACTGTCGATAGGGTTGCATCTGGTAAAATGCCACACATCTGGGGACAATCTTTGTACATCCTTGGGGGTTTACTGGCAGAGGTAAGGACAAATATAGAACAACACTTGTTATAAGGTATAACGGGAGAGTGCTGAATTAGCTCAAAGGTGACATGCTTAGCAATGGAATGATAGAATGAAGTCAATCTTCTGTTGTGGTCTCAGTAGTTCGGTTCCTGAGCCAGGTCTACAGTACTCCAAGGCACCGCCAATGTCAGCTGCTGGTCTGGCTCATCAGCAGCACTTGGTAAGGCAGACCATCACTGTGAACAGGGATTCTTCTACTCAGCTTTTCTAAACCAAAGCCCTAATGGGTAGGGTGATCCCAGCTGGATAGGGAGCAGAAAGCTGGCCAGACAGTGCTTTCAGTGGAAAGCTACGTGGTGTAACTGGTTAAACTTCAGCAGTAACCAAAGTACACTCTGGGGTCTCCAAGTCTTGACTCTTGCCAACCTGCACCTAATACTCTCCAGAATTAGGTGAGCAGAGTGAGTCCATCCAGGGAGAAAGTGCTCATTCCAGAAACAGGGAAATTTCTATATGTAGGTGTCATGGAACTTTCAGCCTGGTTTGGATACTCTTAAGCATGGTGATGAGTGTGTGTCCCAACACCCTGCTGATCAAAACGTTGAATGTGAATATGTTACTTCTAGGGACTTCTTGCTCCTGAAGAAATTGATCCCATGAACAGAAGATTTGCTGCTTCTTTCAAACCAGATGTTGTTGTCCAAGGTCAGTTTGAAATACTTTCCTCATTGCCATTCAAACAGATCTTTGTTTTAATTGTTGTGCATAGATAATTTATAAATAAATTATCCGCCATGGCTCTTGCCCTCCCCCCTCTTTACACTCCTTTGCCCCTATTTCTCCCTCCTCTCTCAACCACAATCACCCGCATGAAGTTCACCACCTGCTGCCTCGACTCCCTCCCCATCCAACTGCTGGCCACTCAACGCCCCCTCCTCTCCCCTCTGCTGGCCGACACTGTCAACCAGTCTCTCTCCTCAGGCTGTGTTCCACTCCCCCTGAAAACTGCTGTTATCACACCCCGTCTCAAAAAAACAACCCTCGATCCCTCTAATCTCTCACACTACCATCCCATTTCCAAACTACCGTTCCTTGCTAAAGTCCTGGAACGCATTGTTGTATGTCATCTTCGGTCATACCTCTCCCTCCACTCCCACATCAAGCCTCTGCAGTCTGTTTTTTTGCTCTGCCCACAGCACAGAGACTGCGCTTGTCAAAGTCACAAACGACATCCCCTCTATCTGTGACCAGGGGTCCCTCTGCCTCCTCATCCTCGTGGATTTCTCTGCTGCGTTCCACCTCATCCTCCTCCACCACCTCTCCACCCTCATCCGCCTTACTGGCACCGCACTCGCATGGTTTGAGTCCAACTTAACCAATTGCCTCCACTTTATTTAATTTATTTAATTCCATCTCCCAGTCACTCCGCCTCGCCCCCTCCTTCGCCTCCTTCAAGTCCTACCTCAAGACCCTCCTCTTCCACCATGCCATCGGCCACCCCGCTTTCCCTCCCCTCCCTTCCTCCCCAACCCCAGGTTGGGTCCAAAATGCTGTACTCTGTCCAGCGCCTTGGGACGTCCTCCCGACATGAAAGGCGCTATACAAATGTAATCTTGTTGTTGTTATCCCGACAAATGGTTTCTCCTCCCGCCCCCTTCCAGTCACCTGCGGGGTATCCCAGGGCTCCATCTTTAGCTCTCTTTTCCTCATCTATATGCTCCCTCTGGGCGATGTAATCCGCAGACACGGGGTAAGCTTCCACATGTATGCGGATAACACACAAATCTACTTTGCCTCCTTCAGCATCGACTCCAGATCCTCTGATGTTCTATCAGCTTGTCTGGCAGACATCAGGGCCTGGATGAGTGCAAAATTCCCGAAGATGAGGGTGGACAAGACGGAAGCCTTACTCCTTGGCTCCCGCAATGTCTTCACTCCTGCGGATCTGAACTCCTCAACCTCACTGGACTATCCCTCAGACACATTAAGCAGTGCACAATCTAGGCGACCAGTTCAACCCCCAGCTATCCTTACTCTCCCACATCGGTCCCTGACCAGGACCTCCTTCCTCCACCTCCGCTACATTACCTGTCTCCGACTGTACCTTACCCCAAATGCAGCCGAAACCCTCGTGCATGCGTTTGTCACCTCCTGCCTGGTTTACTCAAAAGCACTCCTCGCTGGTCTCCCCAGCTCCACTATTCAAAAAAATCCAGCTTGTTCAGAACTCTGCTGCCCGCATACTTACCCGGACCAAACTCCATACCCACATCTCACCAGTTTTACCCCATGCTCCACTGGTTCCCCATCACCAAACAGATCAACTTCAAGATCCTCACACCTGTGTTCAAATTCATTCACTCCCTGGCACCTCCCTACCTCTCCGAACTCCTCACTTCCCAATCCACCAACCGACGCCTCCAGTCGACTGGAACCGGCCTCCTGCTTGTCCCTCCTCCTCCGCTCCACCATTGGAGGTCGCGATTTCAGCTACTGTGCCCCGAAACTCTGGACACTCTCCCTCAATCGCACAGCCTTGCCCCCTCCCCTTTTTCAAGTCCCGCCTGAAAACCTTCCTTTTCGACCGTGCTTACGTCCCCACTGGCTTGGAGTCAGGCTCTGCCACTGTTAAGCTATCTGGAGGACACTATATAAGTACAAGTTGTTGTAATAAAATTAATATTATTTTAAAAAATTCAAAAGTGCTGCAATGTAGTCTCGATAATTTTCTGTGTTTTGTAATACAAGCAAGATTTAGAACTTCAGAAATAAAATGACCAGAAATTACATTTGGTGCAACATGGTGAATGTATTTGTCTGGTACAAAAACCCTACCTGTTGAGACATTGGCCTACAGGGTTGAGGACAAGCATTTTCATGTCTCATTTATGAACCAAACAGATTTGGGACCAAGAAGTAAAAGACTTCTATTTATTGATATATTATCTTTTGTTTAATTTTAGTGGCCATACTTGCAGAAACAAAAGAAATATATGATATGTTGACCAAGAAAGGAATCCACGTGCAATCCATACCTGACATCCACCCTATCCGTGTGCAGCCAGCTCGTATTCTTTCTCATATTTATGCAAGACTCGGTGAGAAACAAATTTTCCTGGCATCCTAGCATTTTCGCATTTGCAGAAGTTACTGGAAACTGATTTCATTCAGCGGGATTTCATTTTGGTAGTTTAACTGCATTGACAATTAATTGAGCTAGTTTGGCTTTGGAATAATTTATGGCATTCCTCTTTTTTAAAAAATTCTCTCTGCTCTTCAAAATGAAGAATAATGAAGGAGGCTGGGAAATAGAAAGTTAGGCAAAGACAGCCAGCCCCAGAGTAAAGCTCTGTCTATTATACAGCAGTTTACCTTAGCCCCAGCTTCAGAGAATGCTATATAATATATTGGTGTGACATTTCCATTTCATTTATCGGTCATCCTTAAGGTCTCTCTGAGGGGTTCGAATTTCTGTGGACTACATAGTAAATATACAGTTGGATTAGTCATGTAATTTGTGGAGTGCATTAAGATGCAGTGGGTGAAGTTCCATACAAAGTTCCTGTGGGCTGTTTGCATGCACTTTAACTTGCATACAAAACTCACATTTTAAGGTCCTAGAATTATCGAATATTACAGTATAGGAGGCCATTCAGCCCATCATGCCTGGCCGGTTCTTTGGAAGAGCTACCCGATCCATCCCACTTACCCACTCTTTCCCCATAGCCTTGCAAATTTGTCTTTTTCAAGTACCTATCTAATTCCCTATTGAAAATTGTTGTTGAATCTGTTTCCACCATCCTTTCAGGCAATACATTCCAGACCGTAACAACTCGGTGTAAAAAAAAAATGCTCCTCATCTCCCCTATGGTTCTTTTGCCAATTATCTTAAATCTATGTGCCCTGGTTAATGAATCACCGGCCAGGGTAAATAGTTTCTCCCTATCTACTCTCAAAACCCCTCATAATTTTGATTACCTCTGTAAATCTCCCCTTAACCTTCTCTGCTCTGAGGAGAACAATCCCAGCTTCTCTAGTCTCTTCGCTTAAGTAAAGTCCTTCATCCCTGGTACCATTCTGGTAAATCTGATCTGCACCCTCTCCAAGGCCTTGATATGTCCTCTGACATATTTGCCATTTTCTGTGGGCCTGGTACAGCGGTTTCACGAGGAGGGGTCTATCGATTCTGCTGACCCTGTATAACCCCACACAATTCACACATGCTTCCCTGATGTCTTCTCTTTACCTGGAACTCGTCCAAAATTCTACAAAATATATCTCACTCCACAAAGGGATGATTTGAAAGGGGGAGAACGTGTATTTAATAGGATTAATGTGATCTTTCTTTATGATTGTAGCTAAAATATAGTATCCCTTCTGTTGACAGGGCGCAATAACAGACTGAGGCTTAGTGGCCGGCCCTACCGGCATATGGGTATTATTGGTACCTCAAAACTGTATATTATTAGAGATGAAATCTTCGTTTTTACACCTCAAGTAAGTGAAGATTTTCTATTTATTTAGTTTCTCTTATGATTTTTGTAATCCCATTTCTCTCCTGAACACATTTGATTGTTTTCGTCTCTTTCTCTCCCTTTTCTAAAAAAAAATTGAGCAATTATGGTGTGCGTTGACTGGCTATTGAGGATAGCATGGCTAAGTCCATTTATGACTATTGTTCAATTTTTGCTTTAATTTAAAAAATGTAAAAGTCACCTCTCTTTTAGATGATGACCTTTATTTCATAGTCCAGAGAGTAAGTTGTTTGTTTGTTTGTGTGTATGTGTGTGTGTGTGTGTCTCTCTCTCTCTCTCTCTCTCTGCATTTTGTGTGTTGGGAAAAAAATTCCATGTACGTCTTTCTCCCTCCCCACCCCACACCCCCCAAAATTTTCCCATTTTTAAAAAAAAAAGTGTTTCCATTCATTTTGCCTAATTTTCTCCTATTAGTGTATGTGTCTGCTCTTGATCCCTAGTCTCTATATTTATTTATTTTTGGTCACGTCTGACACATGCGGACACCCATCTGAAGAGTATCCAAACAAGGCTGAGATTTCCATCCATCCCACTTACACGTGGAAGGACATTAAAACCCTAAGTGATAATGAGAAGGAGGTAGTGGACATAATAAATGACTACTTCTTCTATTTATCAGGGAGGACACAAGTATAATCTCCGGCGTTAAAAGAATTAGCCACTATAATGATTAGCCTACAGCTCTTCAGTCTTGAGAGAAGATGTCATAACATAACATGTAGGAGCAGGAGTAGGCCAGTCGGCCCTTCGATCCTGCCCCGCCATTCAATCTTGGCTGATCTTCTAATCTAACTCCAGCTAATAACCTAACCCTGCCTTATTCCCATATCCCTTAATACCATTTTGCAATGTCTCAGGGGACAACACAACAATTTGCACTTGTATAGCGCCCTCCACGCAGGCTAGCATCTCAGAGCGTTTAGGGACCTTATAGAGATGTATACAGTTTCAAAAGGGATTGAAAAAAATAACCCTGAAACAATACTTTAGAATGCACCAGAACAGTAGAAGAAGATAACAACTTGCATTTACATAACACCGTTCACATGTCTCGGAGTGCTTAATAGTGATAGAGCCTCATGCCTAGCAAGGGAGAGAGAGGAGATGACTGTAAGCACAGTCGGAGAGAAAAGTCTTCAGTCGTGATCTAAAAGAAGGGAATAGAGAGCACAGTAAATAAGAGTTGTAAAGGCAATTTCAGACCATTACCAAGAAGTTTTTCTTAATGACTGGAACAGGTTATGAAGAAGTGGGGGGTTGAAGCCAAGGTATTGGACTCATTTAAAAAAAACAGTTTGATGCTGCATGATAATGTTGGTATTTTGGAAAGATTAGATCAAATGAACCGAAGGGCCTTCTTCCTCTAAACCAATCTTGTGATCTATTGTGTGAAACATGGAGCAGGCAAAGAAAATTTTATGGGCCATTGGGTGTGTTTTTCTTTCATGTATGTTTCTCTTTCTCTCTCTTGTTTTCTCTGTCTCTCTCTCTGTGCTTTTGCCAATCTGAATGGACAAACATGACCTCTGTTCAATGTCTTATCCAAAGGACGTCGCTTCTGACAATGCAGTGCTCACCCAGCACTGCATTGGAGTGTCAGCCTAGGCCAGTGGTGGCTAACCTTTTTGGTCGGCCTATAAAACAAATTTTCTTAATTGAATGTTTCTTGATTTATGCAATGAGAAATTAAGGAAAACCTGGAAACACAATATTGATTGAACGGAGACTTACCCAGACTAGTGCAAATATTTGGGGACCTACTTCTTGACTGTCCCGAGGACCACTTGCGGCTCACAGGTCATGGGTTGGCCACCACTGCTGTAGATCAATGAGCTCAAAGTCCCAATGTGGGGCTTGAACCCACATCCTTCTGACTCAGAGTGTTCCCAACTGAGCCAAGCTGACAACTTACTTTAATAGGCCAACATGCTAGCGATGTACAAGTATTATGATGATGCAAAGCCTCTCATGTTTCTATTTTCTCCAGTTGTATGGTCATTGTAAATTTTATCTATTTAAAGTTTATAGATCAAAACCAGTTTTATCTGGCCCTTGATAACCGCATGATTGTTGAGATGCTTCGAACGTACTTCACGTACTTGTGTGTTTATTGGAGAATGACTGGGCAGCCCACGGTGACGTTTCCAGTTTCGCAGAACATGCTTAGTGAGTCTTAATCATTCTGGCTCCTTAATTGCACTAAAAAATATTGATATATTGTCTTTTTAAATTGATCTTTTGGAATAAAATGTATTTGTGGAGATTATGTAGGTGCACTTAATGTTGCGTTATGATTTTTTTGTTGGAGTTGACAATAATAAATAATAATAGTAATGTGCATTGGTGGCACCTTTCCTGTAAGATAAACATTGTGAAGTGCTTTGCAAAATACAGTTGATCGCAAATGAAAGTTTATGTTGTAGAGGCAAATGTGGTAGCTAATCTGTCCCACAGACACCTATTAATTTGAATTTGGATGAGGAGAAAATACAAGGCCGGTGTGTCAGGAGAAAAGACTCCATGTCTCTTTGAATAGCGATGGCAGAGTGGGTCTCTTTATGTCTTAACTCAATCCCAAGGCAGTCAAATCTTAAATTAAGAACACAACAAAAAATCAAAAAATTGGATGATAATCTGGAAATAAATAATAAATATGTATTTAATATGGAACCCTGTTATATAGGCAAACGCAACATCCAGTTTGCACCAGTCTTACAAATGTCTTACAAGGAATGGGTCAAATTAATATGAATATACTTTGTGGGTAAATTTGTTACATTCAAACAAATAACACTTCAAAAAATGAAGAAAACAAAAGAAGGGGTGGGGGGGAAGAGTAAAAATTGGATTTTTCAAAGATCACTTTCCTCATCCTAGTTCTTGTGTAATGTGTTGTACAGTGTACTATGACTGGAAATATGGATGATTGGTTTACCTGCAGCCTCTTCCAAAGCCATTGATCTGTCCTCTATGAGGAATGAATATATTTGGAATGTTCTTGGGGTGAAGGCAATGCACATAACTACTGAAATGCCAACTCCAATGTTCAGTAAAACTTGTATAAGTCAGGACCATAAGATTTAATATGACTTTCACGTAGTCCAGGTTGCAGGCAAACTTGAATAAATCCAATTTACCCAATAATAAGACTATGTTTTGGATGGATGACTTAGGCTATTGTATAGTTTATAAAGATAAGACTTATGTTATATTAATTTAGCTTTGAACTTTCCATAGAAAATGATTGTATTTGTAAATATATTGTTTTATTTGACATTATGATGTAAATTCTAACTGCCAAATCTGTATAAATGACTTTTTTTCAAAAATTACAGCTGTGGATAAAAAAAACATTGATCCAGCTGTTCTGTCAACCTTAAGGAAGATGCAAGATGGATATTTTGGAGGAGCTAGGTATGTAAACCAAAAGCCCACAGCTTAAACCATTGCCATTAAATAAATACTGTACCATAAGGGACAGACCATTACACATATGCATAATCTATTTATAGTTATTACATTTTTGTACCCAACTAAGTTTGTAAGTATGATTGAATAAGAAAAGCTGTTGTAGTTTTTATTGTTGCCTATTTAACTGGTGAACATAAAAACTTTAAGTGTATATTTTGGAGGCGAACAGGGTACAAAAGTAAAATAACAACTGTAAACTTTCTGTTTATCCAAATGTTTACCCTTGCCCCTCCCTTGATGCGTCGCAGCTATCAAGCGACCGGCCCATCTCCAACCTCCCCTTCCTGTCCAAGGTTCTTGAAAGAGTCGTTGCCTCCCAGCTGCGCTCTTTCCTCTCCACCCACTCACTTTTCGAAGCCCTCCAGGCGGGATTCCGAGCTGCCCATTGCCCTGTCCTTGAGTGGTTTAGGTCGTACCTCTCCCAATGTCTTCATTTTGTCTCTGTAAACGTCTTTTCCTCCAGCCCCCGCACTGTCTCGTGCGGTGTCCCTCAGGGCTCTGTCCTCGGTCCCCTCCTCTTCATCCTCCATATGCTCCCCCTGTGGTGACATCATCCGCAGACATGGGGTTAACTTCCACATGTATGCGGATGACACCCAACTCTACCTTTCCTCTTCTACCTTCAACTCCACGACCACCGATGTCCTGACAGCTGTCTGTCCGACATCGAGTCCTGGACGAGAGATAACTTTCTTCAGCTCAATGTGCGCAAAACTGAGGCCCTCCTGATTGGCTCACGTCAGCGCCTCTGCACCTCAGGCACTGACAGCATCAGCATCCAAGGCCGCACTCTCCACCTCTCAAAGCCATCAGGAACCTCGGGGTTCTGTTCGACCCTGAGCTGTCCTTTCTTCCTCATATCCGCGCCACAACTGGCACCGCCTTCCACCACCTCCGGAACATCGCCAGAATACGGCACTACCTCACCCCTCACGCGGCTGAAACTCTGGTCCACGCCTTTATCACCTCAAGGCTGGACTACGGGAACTCTCTCCTCATCGGCCTTCCCGGCACCTCCTTCCACAAGCTGCAGGTCATTCAGAACTCTGCAGCTCGTGTACTGTCCCGCACCAGGCTTCGCAACCACATCACTCCCACCCTCGCTCGCCTCCACTGGCTCCCCATCCGCCAGAGGATCGAATTCAAGATCTTTATCCTCACCTACAAGGCCATTCACGGCCCTGCTCCCTCCTACCTCTCCGACCTACTATCCCTCTACCTACCTACCCGTACCCTCCGTTCCTCTGGCTCCGGTCTGCTCCACATCTGGAACTCCATCCCCCAGTGCCTTCGCCGCTTCCTCCCTTTCCTCCTTCAAGGCCGGTCTCAAGTCCTTTCTCTTCAACCGTGCCTTCACCTCCCCTCTCGACTCTCTACCCCCTCCTCGTCCCTCCCTTCCCTCCCCTCACCCTGACCAGTTCCCCCCTGCTCGGGTCCCAACCCAACTGTCCAGCGCCTTGGGACGTCCTCCCGACGTGAAAGGCGCTCTATAAATGCAATCTTGTTGCTGTTGTCTGAATTCCATGACTCCCGCTCGGATAAGGTTCAGTCAGTGCAAGCTTTTTGCACTTATTTTCAGCAGAAACTGATGAATAGAGATTGTTTGGTGATTGTTTTCCTTTCACTATCCCAGCCATTTGTATCATTCTTACTGCTGCTCATTGTGACCATTACTACAGGAACTGTAGTCGCAGCAAGTCAACACTGCAAGTGTGGCCTTCTAAACTATTAAGATTAGGAGATCACCTCAAGAATATGGCAGTATAATCCATCCGAATCCAGGTGAAACAACAAGTTTAGAATATTGCAATAGGTGGGTGCTGCCATTGTTTGCTGGCTGAGAGGTATTTTACCTCCTTGTCATTGGGCATCTGGGGGTAAGCCCTGTGTTTCAATTTAGCAAATCATCAGTGTGGTTGCATATGTCTGCAGAATGTGGAAAAGCTAAAATAACAATGAAACATCCTCTTTGTTTGCAGAATTCAGACAGGCACATTGTCAGAGTTTTTCGTAACTTCGTGCTGCACTCGTCTATGTTTTATGGATGAGGGAAGTGATGGTGAGGAATCAAATATCTGGCTTGAATCACTGCATGATTTAGAAAGGAAATCGGCTTTGCATAATTTACTACCTCAGGATGATGATGGTGAGGATGAGGACCACCTTTCCATTTCCTTTTATTTCACTGATGTTTTAACAATGAATGCACTGCCAATCTGCTTCTCAACAATGAGAGCTGTATACTTTTGGAATTTTTAAACCGTACAATTATTTTACTAAATGAATCACAAGGTTCTGGCCCAGATCCTGAATCATTTAAAAGGACGAATCAAATTATCATTGTTTTTTTAAAACAAATTGAGAATTATCTTAAGTACCTGTTCCCTAAGCATATGGTATGGAAATGTAAAATATTGTCTGATAAGGTCAGTATATAATTGCCTAAATGGAATATCCCAATGCATATCTCAAGAAACTTAAAGATTCTTATCAAACTTTTAATATTTTCAACTTTATAGAAAGATATAATAGTACTTTAGAAATCTAGCATTTGGGTGGAAGAGTGTATAAAAATAAATATAGCCACCTTTTACATTTCTACAAAAACTTTTGATATTATTTGAGAACATGGAAAAAATAACCTTATCCCATTTGTATTGTGCTGAGCAGAGTTAGCATTTGTTTTGTGGGCTGTGAACATCCTTGCCACCATCAAGGTAGTTTTCCATAGTTCTGCTGCTGTGGGATCTGCATGTACTTGGGTTGTGCATCTCTGCCTATCGTTTCCCAAGTGTTATTAAGTTGCTTTCATTCCTTGCTATTCCTCAACACCTCAGTACCCCTTCCCCTTTCCCAAACCTCCACCATCACATACCATCCATGGAAAAAAATGTCCTCCCTCTCCCTCTCCAATGCCTTGGAGTCATTTGAACTCCTAAACCTCTGGCCATCACTGACCAATCTCCCCTCCCCACTCTCCTTTCTTCACAACTCCTTCTCCTCCATTCTGGACTTCTTTACCCCCCTCACCTTCCGAATTGCCTCATGCTCCCATAAATCCCCCTGGTACACTAGCCATCTCCGGTCCCTCAAGGCACAAGTGCGAGCTGCTGAATGCGCCTGGACCAAATCCAAACTAACGGTCCATCGACAGATTTGGCTTCACCGCACCAAGACCTACCGCTGCGCTCTTGCCTCCGCCAAATCTTCCTTCTACTCCAAGGTTATCTTGGAGGCAAAGGACAATCCCAGGTTTCTCTTTTCCACCACAAACCGTCTCCTCCGTCCACCGTGCCCAGACCTTGCCCATCCTCTCCTCAAACTCCAACTGTGAGGAAATGCTGGACTTCCTTGAATCTAAAATCGAGGGGATATGTTTAGCCACCTCAGCCCGTCCACAGCCACCCCCACATCACCTCTTCCTTATGACCCACCCCCCCACCCATGTCCCCCTGTACTCCTTCGACTCTAACTCTTCCTCCTCCCTCACCACGACTGTCCGCAAACTCAAATCCACCACCTGCTCACTCAATCCCATCCCCACCTCTCTCCTCATCTCCCAGCTCCACCTTCTGGCTCCTCTCCTGTCCGATGTCATCAACCTCTCCTTATCCACTGGTTCAGTTCCCAACCCCCTAAAAACAGCCGTCATCACCCCCATCTTGNAAAAACCTTCCCTGGATCCATCCCTCCTCGCCAACTACCGCCTCATCTCGCACCTCCCATTCCTCTTCAAGGTCCTGGAACGAGTTGTCGAGTCCCAGCTCCGCTCCTTTCTTTCTTGCCATTCCCTCTTTGAACCCCTCCAATCCGGCTTCTGCGCTGCCCACAGCACGGAAACAGCTCCAGTCAAAGTCACTAATGACATTCTGAACACCTGTGATTAGGGCTCCCTTTGCCCCCTTGTCCTCTTCGACCTCTCTGCCGCCTTCGACACTGTCGACCACTCCATCCTCATACACCACCTCTCCGCTTTATTCAACCTAGGCGGACCTGCCCTTGCCTGGTTCGATCCCTATCTCTCTCACCGTCTCCACATTGTTGCCTCTAACGGTTTCTCCTCCAGCCCCCGCACTATCACGTCTGGCGTCCCCCAGGGCTCTGTCCTTGGCCCTCTCCTCTTTAGTATCTACAGGTCTATCTACAGTATCTACTCCTCTAGTATCTTGGTGACATCATCCACAGACATGGGGTCAACTTCCACATGAATGCAGATGACATCCAACTCTATCTTTCTGCCTCCACCCTCAACTCCAGGACCATTGCTGTCCTGACAGACTTCCTGTCGGACATCAAGTCGATGAGGGCAAATTTCCTACAGTTGAATGTGAACAAGACTGAGGCCCTCCTGATTGGCTCGCGCCAGCGCCTTAGCACCTCAGGCTCTGGCAACATCAACCTCCATGGTTGCACACTACAACTCACCAGTCAGTCAGGAACCTGGGTGTCTTGTTCGACCCTCAGCTGTCTTTTGTCACCCACATTCAAGCCATGACCCATTCTGCCTTCCCTCACCTCCGTAACATCGCCCAACTCCGCCACTACCTCACCCTCAGGCTGCTGAAACTCTTGTTCACGCCTTCATCACCTCCAGGCTCGACTATGCAAACACCCTGTTTGTTGGTCTTCCCAACTCCTCCCTCCAAAGGCTGCAGATAATCCAGAACTCTGCAGCCCGTGTCCTCTACTGCACCAAACTCCGTGACCCCATCTCCCCCACTCTCGCCCAACTCCATTGACTCCCTATCCTTCAGAGGATCCAGTTCAAGATCTTGTTCCTCACCTACAAAGCCCTCCATAGCCTCAGCCCATCCTACCTCTGCGACCTCCTAACCCCCGACCAACCCGCCCGTTCAGCCGGCTCTGGCCTGTTCCACATCCCCCGACCCACTCGCCCCACCATCGGCGGTAGAGCCTTCAGCCACTCTGCCCCCAACTTCTGGAATTCCATCCCCCAATCACTCCGCCTCGCCCCCTCCTTAGCTTCCTTCAACTCCCGCCTCAAGTCCCTCCTTTTCGACCATGCCATCGGCCACCCCCCTTCCCCTCCCCTCCCTTCGCTCCCCTGACCCCAGCTCGGGTCTGAAATGCTGTACTCTGTCCGGCGCCTTGGGATGTTTCCCAAGTGAGAGGCGCTATACAAATGTAATCTTGTTGTTGTTTCAAAAGCCACACACGGCAGAGAAACCATTTTGCTTCCAGCAGTAACATCATTATATTGTCTGATAAGGTCAGTATATAATTGCCTAAATGTGTATCTCAAGAAATTTAAAGATTTTATCAAACTTTTAAAATTTTCAACTTTAAAGAAAGATATGGGAGACAATTATTTAGGACACTTGTTTGTGTTCTTCTTTTGTAGCCTCGGTCATTTCATTACATTTTGTTCCTTCCATCCAATCTTCTCCTATTAAATTATGACTTTTATTGAAGAAATGAAACTAAGGCAACAAAAGAATTTTTTTTTACAAAGAGCATTCTACCTCAGAATGCCTCATCAGTGGATCATCTCTTGCTGTGGAGTTCCTTTGACTGAAATCATTTGTATTCGTAAATCCCCTTAGCTCATTTCTGATGTGTTGAGAAAAAAGAATCTAAATGCATACTTTTGCCACTTTGTTTTGCCACGTTTGTTCTCTGGAATTTCTCTTTTAAAGCACCAAAATCAAATCTCTTGCACGTGGTCGAGAGGGGAATGGAAAGAAAGAACAGAAGACTGCATCCTTGCATTTGATATAGTTCCTTTCATATCGGGAGGATGTCTCAAGGCGCTTTACAGGATTTATTGTGAAGTATTGTAGGTAAATAAGACGGCCCATTTTGCACACAGCAATGTCCCACAAACAGCTGTGAAATTAATGACTTTTTATTTGGGGAATTGTTGGCCAGGATGCCGGGAGAAACTCCCTTCTCTTTTCAAGTAGGATCTTTAAAGTCCGCATGAACAGGCAGACGGGATTTGTGTTTAAAATTTAATTTGAAGAACAGCACCATACTCTGGCAATGCAACACATCTGCAGAACTGCTTTGGAGTGTTAGCCTGGACTATGTGAGTTCTGTGGAGGAAGTGGGCTTAACGGGCTGACTGTACTTCCGTGCTTTGGTTAGCTAAATACTTTTTGGCATTCCAAACTTCCTTCTTCAACACGTTGGAGCTGATTTTCCAATTGCAAAAAAAAACTCACTTTATATGCATGCTCTAGAGATGCTCATGTCTTGTCTGTGCAAAGCTTTGCATGTGGAAAGGTTCACTTATTACTTTACATCCATCAAGAATTATTTGTACTAAACGTGAATTTTGTTACCACAACAGCAAGCGAGGATGAATTGGCATCGTATTTGAAACAGCTGCTGGAGAGCACAAAGCCAAAATCCAACTTGCTGCCAACCACAAAGAAAACTGGTTTAAACCGTTTTCGCGCTGCAGTGCAAACCACGCAGGAACACGTGTCTCTGATGAACAAAGCCAAAGGATTTGATGTTGAAAGTTAGTTTTGGGCATTATTTGGATTCTTCATCACCTTTTACTCAATGCTTTGTGAACAGATTTGAAGAGGGAGTCAGACTGTGAGCCCATATGTATGGGCACTACGCCCAGTCCTACACTGAAATGTCAATCTCAAAATCTGATGCGGCACTTGAACCCTTCTCAACCCTGGATACCCATTGAGCTACACTGACCCAAGTCCAACGTTTAATCCTTGTGATAAGATATTACAGTGGATTAAGTGCAGACTTCTGCTACATCACCATTCACTTTTTAAGGGTGCAATTATTATTAGCAGAAGACAGATTTGGAAATAAAACTAATTCAGTTTACCGCAAAGAATATTATCGTAAGTATGCGAGCAAATGACAGTATTCACAGAAAGTTGAAGATTAGCATTAGACATGATCTTACAGTTCTTTGCCAATCTTGTTGGTAAAGAGATGGTTTGTTTCAGAACTGCAGCAATCATAGGAAAATGTACTTAGATCAAGCTGGGCAAAGGTGGTTCTGCTGAATTTGAGTGTTAACTCCAGATGCTAGCTTCTGAATGAAGTACCACAAACCTTGTATGAGACTGAAAATATTCTTAAATCAAGTCTTTTTAAAAAAAATTGACTTGAAAAAAACATGCTCAAAGTTGCTCACTGACTTAGTACCTTTTACCGGCCAATCTGGGGCCAAAGTTCTCCTCGCTACAAATTCAAAATCAGCAGTTTTTATTTCCCTAAGTTAGTGCCTTTTTCAATAAAAGGAAATCAGATGGACATGGCAGAGCTTCTGCTATTTGCAGTTATATTATATCCCAACGCAAACAGGAGGAAGCATTAAACCGCAAAGGTGAGCATTCAAGCAATCAGTGCTTGTTCAGTCATGTTACAGTAAACATTTGATACAGATTGAACAAAAGAAGACTTTTAGCCTCAGATGTGGTGAGTACAACACTCAGTGATTCTTAGTAATATGGTTTGTATTATTGCCATCTCTCAGTTTGCATTCTTTGTAGCTGGGCCTCTTAGACAGTAAGGAATTGAGTTTCTCTTTCCTCAATTAACTTTGCTCTTTGGACTGTGCAGGCATTAGCTCCCAAACGATGGGAAGATGAAAAGCAAACTCTCCAGGGTGCTGCAATGCAAACAATTTTTTTTATTAACTAACTGGTAATAGGCTCTTTCCCAGGCTTTGTGATATTGCAGCGAGTTTATCCAGAGTAGTAACTGAACCATGCAGACGTGGAACGTCCGAAATTCCCTCCCTGGTCTTTGGTGGGTTAACTGATCTCAGCTGGGATGATAGTAACGCTACAGAGATCCCAATGCCCTTTATCATTGAAAAGGAGCCAGCGTTTCAACTGCTATTGGAGTTGCATGAGGTCATTCGTGTTCAAGTTTTGCTCGGTACTGGCTGAGAATGTAACCAAGAAATTGTGATACCATTATTTTATATGGAAGGTGACAGCACAGAGAACACAAGAACAGCTATCAGTTTCTTTAATCCCCTTTAAGGTTTGTTTATGAAATTACATTGATAAGGTTAGGTAATGCAAAAGGGTGATGCAGCTAGCAGTGGCACATATAGGATGGGTGGAATGGCCTCCTTCTGCTGAAAATTCCTATTTCTATGTATGGGTATTGGATGAGGACAGCATCAGGACTCCCCCTTCCCCTTAGATTGAATAACATGCTGGCGCATATCTCAGCTCACGCACGATTAATGGCGTTTGGGTGAGGTATTGGAAGGCAAATCACTCCCAAGAAGTTGTACCAACAAGGAAAAAGTGCAGCACCTTCAGGAGAGCAAAAAATTCCAGGCTCTACATTACAAACCATGTTTTTTCTCGATAGTGAAGCTATGCTAAATAAATTATCTTTTGTTGTATTGTAGATGTCACAATGTATCTACCCACCAAGCTGCTCACTTCCTCTCAGCCCAGGATTAGTCTAGTGTACGAAGCAAATCCATCGCAGCAATCAAACAAAGACCTGGTAAGTGCAATGTGCTAGAATATTTACATTTGCTATTGAGCCTTATCATTCAATATCTCAAAAGCACTTCATGCAACAAGTTATTTTAAATTGTGACACACAGATCAGAAGAGTCATTGATCAGAGAGAGCAAATTTTGCACAATATCTGGTTTACTAGGGGCAAAACTACAAGGGAGGGGTGCAAAAGATACAGGGCAGGTGATGAAGTTTTTGCGCAGTATATTACAATGTGCAACCATGTCCTCTTATATGCTGTTTGAGCGCTCTGGGACGCTACCCCACATGAGAGGCACTATATCAATCCAAATTGTTGTTGTTAAGAGTGCAACCCAGTTCTTTGGCACCAGACAGAAATACCAGGGCATTGGAATGGTGACAGGTTGGAGAGGATGCCCGATACCCTTTGCTACAAATATCTTCCAGTCTCTGGAACCAGCCACGATGCCGTGCTATTTCCTGGGTTGAACTCTTAAACAGCATATAAGAGGACATTAATTAGATGCCTCTTAAGAACATCTATTAGAATGGTCACCGGGAACCCTCGCTACTGTGTGTGGAGTCTGCTTGTTGATAATCGCTTTGTCAACTGAGGTCACTCGGGAGGTTACAAAATAACAGACATACAAATATGTGAAAACATCATTCTTTTGTAGAGTAGTTATGTTAAAGTAGTTCAAAGTGCTGACTCCCTCTGGATCCCACTGTGAAATGGCACAGATTTGATTTATACCAATGATAAAAACTCCTGTACTGCTGATGATGAGGATATTTCTGCCAAATACAGCAGATGTGAATCCAGGGGTCATGAATGGAACTCCTGTTTGATTTGTGGTTTTGATTCTTCACAGAGGATACAGTTCAAGATCCTGGTCCTCACCTTCAAAGCCCTCCATGATCTTGCACCCCCTACCTCTGCGACTTCCTAACCCCATACCATCCTTCTCGCTCCCTCTGCTCAGGCAGTCTCTGGCCTACTTCATGTCCCCCGCCATGCTCATCCCACTATTGGCGGGCGGGCCTTCTGCCACTCTGCCCCCACTCTCCCGCAGTCCCTTCGCCTCGCCCCTGCCCTTGCCACCTTCATGATCCATCTCAAGAACCTCATCTTCGACCATGCTTTCGATCTTTCTGCTTCCCCCCACTGCCCTCCCCGATCCAGACCCCCAGCTTGGGTCCGAAACTCTGTTTGTCCAACACCTTGGGAAGTCCTCCCGACGTGAAAGGCGCAATACAATATTGTGCTAGTGAAGTAGATGAATCTTTATTTTCTGTTAGGAACCAACAGTGTTGGAAACAAACTTAAATCTGCCAAAAACGGAAGGTGGTCTTATAAACTGGAATGATGTGGTACAACAGTTGAAAGATACTTCAAGATTGGACCTACAAGTTGAAATACTTTATGTACTCTACACTGTAAAGTGAGATATTTCTCTTTTTTAATTCTTTTATATAAAAAATTTAATAAATGTTTGTTTGGAAAATATTTGATTTCCTCACACTCCTCAATCTTATGTGCAGGGGTATTGATTGGGATACAAATCTGGATGGTGTGGCTGGCAGAACTGTTCGTGTCCTCTTGTCAGAGCTGTATTTAAAGACAGGATTGACTCGGCGGTGGGGATTAATCCGTTATATTGCTGGCATGCTCAAAATGAAGGTGGAAGAACTTGATGAGGTACCCAATAATATAACACTTCAATAACTGGTTTATGTTTGGTTTTGTGAATATTGATTTAAACGTTAGTGAGCATGAAGTCTGCCAGTACCTCAATGTTCTTATGTGAAATAATATTTCAGGATAGTTTGGGTCACAACATGTGATGTGACTGCCAGGATGGTGGAAGGCGAACTGGATGGACCTTGGCCTTCTTTCGCCTAGGAAATTCTTATGTTCTTATGTTCACTTCCCTCTATTATTACTTGGTGGCTTTCTAAAATTCCCTTGTTACAGCAAGTCGTATTTTTATTTAGTCAATACTCTGAACTGTTGCAATATAATGATATATTTTATATTGATTACTTACTTCCCACCCATCACCATTGCTGTTCTTCATATGGAACTGGACACACTGAATTGTGGTAGGCTATGCGGGTGTAGAAGTAGCATAGCCAAGCTTGACTTCCTCACCCAATGACATTACAGTTTCCCACAGGGTTTATTGGAATGATGATCAAGAGTGGCAACACTGGGTGATTTTCTTCCTTGACTCAGGTCAACTGTCCACCTCACCATTGCTTCAGCTTAGATAGGCTAATTGAACACAGGTCCACCCACTGTAGATCACCCACTGCATCTGATTGAACTTTGAATCTTCCTGGTCTGTGTGGCTGATCATCATCATGCGATTTAATTATCTATCCATTCTGTGGTTGAAAAATAACCAGTGCATTGTTGAGCAATTGCACACCTCAATTTCCCACAAACTGCCATGAAATGAGTGACCAATTTAATTTGGGGATTGTTAGCCAGGAAAACCTTCCTTCTCTTTTCGAATAGTGTCGTAGGCTGTTTAATGCCACCTGAACTGGTACATGGGACCTCGGTTTAACATCTCATCCAAAAGACAGATAGGTAAAAGCAAATTCCAACTCAAGGTTGAAAGAAGGTTAGTGAGGGAGATAATACAACATATACAAATTTACATTTATACATTGCCTTTCACATTGGGAGGATGTTACAAGGCTTTCAATAATCAAATCATTTTTTAAAAATCCAACACTTGCAAATCGGAAGTCATAATTAACTCAATTAATCCAGTTTGCAAATATTGAATTTTAAACCCATTGTCAATTTTGGAATGTGTAGTTCCATCTGCTAATTCCTATTCTGTGATAATCTCTGTGGTAGGCTTGCACCTCCCTACTGTCCCATCAGAAGCACTTAACAGTTGGTCTGCCTCCTGAACCTCGCGAGAGGACCATTTCATCGTGAGTACCGAACTGAAGACTAGCTGTCAGATTAGATTTGGTCAGAAAGTTTGCGATGGCTATTGCTGATCATTTGTGCACTTAACATTTTTCTTTCTCAATAGACCCTTGCCACTTGATGAACTTATCAAGCTGATCAATGAAGCCAGTGAAGAGAATATCAATGTGGCTGTTCTCACACAGGTTGGTCCTTTTGCCTTGAAAATGTAGTTCCACTCCAGGAAATTGATAACCAGCAAATCTGCCCCACTCTGAAACTCCATCCTGGAGTCCTTCCGACTTGCACCTTCTCTCACCTTGTTTGTAGTCCGTCTCAAGGCCTACCTCTTGAACGTGCTTTCCGCCACCTTTCCCCTCCCCACCCCCTCAGCTCCCACCCCCAGCTTGGGTCTCAAGCAAGGATTATTAGGCATCTTGGAACATCCTCCCAACACGAAAGCTGCTATATAAATGTAAATTATATTTCAAACTTGAATATTCAAAAGTCTTAGCAACTAACTTTTTTTTACTGCTTCTATTCCAATGTTTTCCATCTCTCCATATTTCCCATCTCTTTACTTTATGCCCCGGATCCTCCCTACCTGTTCGACCTGCTTACGCCCACCCCACTACCTTCTGCCTCCGCCAGCCTCCCGCACATACCTTGTTCCGAAACTATGGAACTCTCTGTCTCAATCCCTCTGCCTTTCCTCCTCTTTCCCCGTCTTTAAACCACACCTCTTTTTCAAGTGCGCCTATGCTCCGCCACTGTTAGGCCCTCCTAGATGCTACCTTGCGTGAAGCGCTCTCTCTCTATAAATATATATATTTTATATATATATATATTTTTTATATATATATACAAGTTGCTCTTGTCGTCTTTCGTGAAGACAATTGGTTCCTTTTTTTCCTTTCCACTGTGGGATGGTCATTGATGTTTTAGTCACCTTTGGTACCTCACCAGTGTATTCATTCTACATGTGTGCTCCTTGTCTTTGAGTGCTGGGGACTTATCATTACCAGAGGGCATTACATGTATTACATTGATGTCATCCACAAGAGCTTCCAGCAGCTGGTCGCTGGACACCATTGGGAATGCTGATTAATGTTTCTCCTTTCCCTTACTGGAAGTGCCTTTCTTTATACTCTTGTCTGTCAATGTATTGTTTATTTATGACCCTTTCCTTTTTCCTGATAGGAAATCATTGTTTACCTAGCAATGTACATAAAGACCCAACCCAAGATGTTTGCTGAAATGTTCCGACTGCGCATTGGACTAATTATTCAGGTCATGACATCTGAACTCACTAACTCTCTCAATTGTTCAGGTAAAGCTTCTCAGAAACAATGGTGGGCTTCATAGACAGAACAATAAGGTTGTACTATTCACATGTAAGCATTGAAATAACAGAATCATTGATCTTCAATGACTGTCCCAAGTATGGGCATTCTATCCAGGTACATGGAGACAGAGAGGAGGAGATGCCAACAAGAAGGGCATACAATGTTAAAATATTTCAATCACGATGCAGATAATAATAATATTTCTTGCATTTGATATAGCACCTCATCACTTTGAGATGTCTCAAACGCTTTGAGGGATATAATGTAAAGTGGATTGATTGTATTTTGTGGGCGAAACAATGCAGCAGTTTCTGACAGCAATGTCCCACAAACAGCCATGAATGAATGACCAATTTTATTTGGGGGATTTGTTGGCCAGGACAGCGGGAGAGAGAAATTCCCTTCTCTTTTCAAATAGTGCCATGGGATCTTTAACATCCACCTGAACAGGCAGACGGAACCTTGGTTTAAATGTCTCATCTGAAGCATGGCACCTCCAACAATGCCAACACACCCAGGAATGTTACAACCTCCTATAGTTGTGGAGTCCTGTAGCTCAGTGGTTAGAGCACTTGCCTTGCAAGCGAGACATCTGGATTCAATTCCAGGCAGGGCAAAACCTTGGGCAAGTTTCCTTACTTCACACACAGCCTAATAATAATCCCTCCAAAATAAAACAATAATAAATTGGTCATTTTCAATCCACGACTGTGGGACACTGCTGTGCGCAATTGGCTGCTGCGTTTCGCCCACAAATATACAGTCAATTCACTTTACAGTCTATTCTGTGAAGCGCTTTGAGATGTCGAGAAGACGTAAATGCAAGGATTATTATTAATAGTTGTATTTGTTCTGCCCTTGAAACATATAGTTAAATCCTTTCAATTCAGAGCATCCCATAGCTTCCCACGTACCTATCATTAGAAAATGTTCTGTCCCTGTTAGTGTTATTGTCTCCAGGTTTACTTACTTGTTCCAGCTTTGAGGATTTGAGTGAACCTCAATCTCAATAAAAGAAAGACCATGGCAGAGATAATTTTTGACACCAAGCCCTTGCTAATTTGCACCAATTATTGAAGGGATTTTATGGAGGAAATGTTCCACTTGTTGGTTATTATAGATTTAAATGCAACAATCACTGCCTTTTGTCAATTTATTCCTTCAACTATGTGGTATCTGTTTCTTAGCTGATGAAGCAACTGAAAGTTTGATGTCTATGAGCCCTTATTATCTGAGAAAGCTTCTCTTCCATATTCTAAGTGGAAAGGAATTCAGGTTGGGGCAAAGTGGTGAGTATCTGCCCATTTCACCAGTCTGTCTATGTCCAGTTGCAGTCTGCTACTATCTTCCTCACTGTTTGTTATTTTTCCTAGCTTTGTATCATCTGCAAACTTGGAAATTGTGCCCCCTACACCAAGTTGAGGTCATTTATATAGATTAAAAAGAGCAGTGGTCCCAATACCAACCCCTGGGGGTCACCACTGTCAGAGAAACAACTGATTTCTGTACCCTAACCAGTTTTGTATCCATGGTGCCACTGTCCCTTTAATACCATGGACTTCAACTTTTCTAACAAGTCTATTATGTGGCATTTTTTCAAAGGCCTTTTGAAAATCCATATATACTGCATCAATTGCACTACCTTCATCCATCCTCTCAGTTACTTCATCAAAATGGCCTGGTTCTAATTTTAAGACTATGCCCCTTGTTTTGGATTCTCCCACCAGAGGAAATAGCTTCTATGTATCTACCCTATCAAATCTCTTTAACATCTTAAAATACCTCAATCAAACCACCCCTCAACCTTCTAAACTCAAGGAAATACAATCCAAGTTTATGCAGTGTTTCCTCATAACTTAACCCTTTTAGACCTGGTAACATTCTGGTGAACCTGCGCTGCACCCCCTCCAGGGCCAGTATATCTTTCCTGAGGTGGCTAAAACTGAACACAGTACTCCAGATGGGGTCTGACTGATGCTCTGTACAGCTGAAGCATCATTTCATACATTCCCATTTCCATTGCTTGTTAGCTGTTTTACCTTCCAATCTTCCTTTCTAGTCCACCTTGGCTAGATCCCTATTCAATTCACTGAAATTAGCCCTCTTCTAGTTGAGTATCTTCACCGTTTCATTTGAATGAGTCTTTCTGTGATTCATACAGAGGTTTTGAAACTTTTACCCTCTTTCCTGCATTTTCTTTCAAGTTTTATGTTATGATTTATTCTAGGCGTAACCATTGTGTTAATACTCAATTTCTAACTGTTGCTGGTGTAGCCATTCTTGCTGTAATCTTTCCTCAGAGGAATCCATTCATCACTTTCACACGAAATCGTTGATCGCTGTTAGCGATATTCATACAGTAACAAAAAATGACGCAGATGGAACTAAGAACCTAAAGAATCCGTTGGGAGAGGTAAGCAGCTTTCTTGTTGTGTTGGTGATCCATGTGTGTTATGATGCAGGTTAAAGTGAGCATAAGAACATAAGAAATAGGAGCAGGAATAGGCCAATCGACCCCTCAAGCCTGCCCTGCCATTTAATAACAACAACAACAACTTGGATTTATACAGCGCCCTCCACCCCGGACGGCGTCTCAGAGCGCTTTACAGTAACGGATCCCGGGACCGAGCCAGGGGGAGGGGAGGAAGGTGACCAAAGGCGCAGTCGAAAAGAAAGGTCTTCAGCAGAGACCTGAAAATGGGAAGGGAGAGAGCGAGACGAAGGAAGTGAGGAAGGCAATTTCACAGCTGCGGGGCATATTGGCTGAAGGCATGGCTGCTGAGGGTGGAGCGGAGGACTCGGGGGACGAGGAGGAGGCCAGACTCGGAGGAACGAAGGCAACGGGTACTGTTTTGAGGAGAGAGGAGGTCAGAGAGGTAGGGGGGTGCAGAGGATGGCAGAGACTTGAATACAAGTTCTTGAAATCGATCCTCTCTGGGATAGGCAGCCAGTGCAGTCTGGCAAGGACTGGGGTGATCGAGGAGCGGAGTTTTTTGCGGGTGAGAATGCGGGCGGCAACATTTTAAATGATTTAGATTTTATGGATGGTAGTGGATGTGAGACCAGCGAGAAGGCGTTGGAGTAGTCCAGCCGAGAGGTGACAAAGCATGTTCCAGGGTTTCAGCGGCTTTTGGGGAGAGGTATGATGCGTCGGAGTTGGTAGTAGGTGGTGCTGGTGAGGGACTGGATGTGGGGGAGGAAGGATAATTGGAGGTCGAACCTTATGCCTAGGTTGCGTACGGATTCGGAGCGTTTTAGGGGGAGGTCGGCTAGGTGGAGGAGGTGAGAGCCGTGAGATTTTAGACGTTGACGAGAGCCAAAGAGTATGGCTTCCGTCTTGTCAACATTCAGCTGAAGGAAGTGTGCGCTCATCCAGCCCCTGAGATCTGACAGGCAGCTGACAGAACATCAGGAGACTGGGGGTTGCAAAGAGAGGTGAAAAAATAGAGTTGGGTGTCATCTGCATTCATGTGGAAATGTACCCCATGTCTACGGATGACATCCCCAAGAGGGAGCATGTAGATCAGAAAGAGGAGGGGGCCAAGGATGGATCCTTGGGTTACCCCACAGGTGACCAGGTGAGAGCGGGAGGAGAAGCCATTTGTGCAGATGTACTGCTGGCGGTTCGTGAGGTAGGAGTCGAACCAGGCGAGTTCGGTCCCACTGAGGTGGATGACGGAGGAAAAGCAGTGGAGGAGGATGGCGCGATCGACTGTCGAACGCAGCGGAGAGGTCCAGGAGGATAAGGAGGCAGAGGGAGCCCTGGTCACAGATAGAGAGGATGTCCTTTGTGACTTTCACAAGCGCAGTCTCTGTACTGTGGGCGGAAACCGGACTGGAGGGGTTCGAAGAGGGAGTGGGAGGAGAGGTGTACGTGGAGTTGGTTGGCAACGACGCGTTCTAGAACTTTTGAGAGGAAGGGCAGGTTAGAAATAGGGCGATAGTGGCTGGGGTTTGAGGGATCTAGGGAGTTTTTTCAGGAGGGGGCTGATGACAGCAGTTTTGAGGGAGGCAGGGACTGATCCGGAGGAGAGGGATTGATTGATGATGTCAGCCAGTAGTGGGCAGAGGAGGGGGAGCTGGGTGACCAGTAAGTTGGTGGGGAGGGGGTCGAGGCAGCAGGTGGTGGGTTTCATAGAGGTGATGGTGGGTGAGAGGGAGGAGGGAGAGATGGGGAGAAAGGAATGTAGAATGGGGGTGGTGGTAGGAGCAGATGATGAGGAAGGTGAGGGGGACAGAGAGGGCGTGGTGGTGGGTGACAAGGGGCAGGTGGATGAGGCAGATGTTAAGGCTTTTAGAAGAAAAGAAGTCCATGACCTCCTCGCACTTGGCATTTGATACGAAGATTGAGGAGGCCTGAGTGGGGGCACGGAGGAGGTAGTGGGTGGTGGGAAAAAAAGATTTTTGGACTGTGTTTAGCCTCCAAGATGATGTTGGAGTAGAAGCCGTTTTTGCACGAGTCAAAGAACGGCGGTAGCTGTGGAGATGCTCGAACCACAGTTGGCGGTGAGCTGTCAGACCAGTTTTCTGCCGTCTGCTCTCGAGCAGACGGGTTTGGGTTTTTTGGCGGCGGAGATTGTTGTTGTACCAGGGGGATCGGGTGGGTTTGGAGATGGTCCTGGATTTCAGGGGCACGAGGGTGTTGAAGGTGGAGGAGAGGCGATCATGGAACAGCTGGACGGCTGCTTCAGGATCTCGGCGATGGAGAGCCAGAGGGATAGGATGTTTGATGATGAGAGGGCCTTTGTGAGGGTCTCAGGGGGTAGCCTTTTCCAAGGGCAGTAGAGGATGGTTGAGAGCTTGGTGGAGGAGAGAGGGATGTGAGAGGAGAAGGAGATGAAAAGGTGGTCCGAGATGGCCTTGTCCACTATGCTGAGGTCAGAAATGTTAAGGCCATGGGTGATGACGAGGTCAAGTGCATGATCACGGTCGTGGGTGGGTGAATTTATATGGAGGGTAAGGTTTAGGGAGGAGAGGAGGGCAGTGAAATCGGCAAAAGTGGTGCAAGGGGAGTTTAGGTGGAGGTTGGAATCGCCCATTATGAGTAGGCGCTTGGAGCAGAGGCACAGGGGAGAGAGGAGAGTAGAGATGTCTGTGTGGAAGGAGCTGGGGGGCTTGGGGGGGGAGGGGGCAGTAGACAAGGAGGATTTTCAAAGGGAGAGAGGGGTGGAAGAGGGTGAAAGTGCTTGAAGGAGGGGAATCAGCCAGAGGAGTAGGGGGTGAGACCAAGGGAGGTTTTGGAGATGAAGGCCACCCCGCCGTCACAGTGGAAGGTGTAGCCTGGAGGGGAGGCTTCCACTAGGTCACTGGGGGAGAGCCAGGTTTCGGTGAGCCCAAGAATGTCAAGGAGCTCGTCCAGGATAAGGTCGTGGATGGTGAGGGCTTTATTTGAGAGGGAACGGACATTTTGGAGGAAAATTTGGGTGGGTTTGCTGGAGGGAGGGGAGAGTGGTGTGGAGAGGATTTGGGGGAGTACAGGAGAAATGGTTGTGGAGAGTGGTGTGAGTGGAGAGTTGGGGAGGGTACATATGAAAGAGGGGGAAGTTGGATATGCCTTAAGGAGGCGGTTTGAGCGGAGGGAGTGAATGATGGGACACTTGGGGTTGCTGCTCTGGGACAGCCAGTGCCGGGAACCACAATGGGCCGGGCGGAGGATGCCCAGGCTGGAGCAGAGGGAAGTGGTGATGGGGTCGAGGAGAGAGAACGCGGGGAGGGCGTTGGGAGAGAAGGACAGAAGGGGAGTAGCGGATAGAGGGGGGTGGGAGGAGAGACATAGAGGGGGGTGAGAGGAGAGACATAGAGGGGGGTGGGAGGAGAGACATTTAGGGGGAGGCTCGGGTCGGGGCAGCAGCCAAAATGCGCACGCAGAGACCGGGAGCGAACGATTAGCAGGACGGCATCAGCCCGCAGGCTTAGCCTCCCAGGTCATGGCCGAGTTGCAGTGGCTAACATGCCATTGTTGTTGTTGTTGCTGGGTTTTTTTTAAAAAAAATGTTTATTAACTGTGACGTCACTTGTGAAACGCGCCTGTCCCAGCCCCTCACTTACCATAGCTCCTACCTCCGCTCCCGACTGAGTGGCTCCTCACCTGGCTGTGCTTTACATACACAGCTAGGCCTCGGCTCCGCCCCGCGCTCTCCTACCTCCGCTCCCGACTCTTCTAACCTAATTCCATTTACCCGCCCTATCCCCATAATCCCTTAATCCCTTTAGTTTTTAAAAGTCTATCAATCTCAGATAGATCGTTCATCTGCGATCTTATTATCTTATTACATCCAATGTAATGGCTATCATTGCATGCAATGCAATGTCTATCATTACATTGGATTCCTGTAGCTTAGTGGTTAGAGGACTCGCTTCACAAGCGAGAGGATCTGGCTTCGATTCCCAGCCGGGCGAAATGTTGGTCAAGTTTCCTTATTCCACACACCTCTGTTTACCTAGCAATAAGTAGGAACCCGGTTGTTAGTCGATTGTCGGATGGCTTTTTTGAGGGTAATAGTTCCTTCAAAATAAATAAATAAAAATAATTTGGTCACTCAATCCACAATTGTTTGTGGGACACTGTTGTGAGTAATTAGCTATCGTATTTTGTCCACAAAATATATAGTCAATTCACTTTACAGTCTGTTCTGTGAGATGTCTTGAAGATGTGATAAGACACTATATCAAATGCAAGGATTATCATTATTGCAGTTTTATGTTTTTTAGAAGTGGGGTGTGTGTATGTGTATAGTAAGTGTTTCATAACTGTGAGTGAGAGCAAGTTGTTCTTGAATGTAGCTGTACTTTCTTGGTCTAATGGAGTATATTCACTTTTTTACTTGATGACGTGTTTTAGCTGTTTGGAATCTATTCCCTTGGTTTAGGGCTCTTGGTAATGTTGAAATGATTTAGGTTGATGTATAGGCTCAACAGTGCGTGATGATGATAGTAATTTTTAAAAAATGATTGGCCTGGCTCGTTGGTGGCACTCTCGCCTTTGAGTCTGAAGGTTATGGGCTCAGGCCCCACAGCGTTAAGTCACATAATCTAGGCTGATAATGTAGTGTTGGGGTGCTTTGTATGTTCTAAGAAGAGAACTTATTTTATATTATTGCAGGGCCATATCTTGTACTTGTTAAAATGAGAGGAATATTGCACACAGTATATATTCTTTGGCTGTTTATCAGTAGGAATACTATCTGCCAATGATTCTGCTGTTAACATTTGTGGATGAGTAATGGACTTAGAAAATGGTTCCTTCAGTGAATATTAAAAACTCTTGATATTTGGTTTGTACTAGGGGACGAAAACTGAGAGTTTACTTTCAACTGAAAAAGAGATGGTATGGTATTTCTATTTGGGGCTATTATTCTGTAGTTCAATTCTCCTTAATTTATGTTCGTTTGGGACCATTTTTCCATATATTAATGTTTTGTTGGTGTTGCTGTTTAATTGTTTCTCTTCAGAGGCAATTAAACACTCTCAGAGCACTTTCTTGTGTTGTTATAAGCGCGTCTCTGTGGTACATGCTCACAGAAAATAGTTACTTTCTAATCTTATTTACCTGCCTTTCTCACTATCCCCAAAACCCTTCCTTTCCACGTTTTATTTTAATTCATTCTTCGCTGCTTCTGTTGATTCTGAATCAATGAGCTTCTGAGGCAGCGCATTCCACATTTTCACAAATACGTCAAATGGTTTCTGGTTTCATTCAAAATTATTAAAGGACAACCCCTTGGTATGATGATGCTCCTTTCTCCCTTTCATCGGGATACTGAATTCAATTCCGGCGTGGAGGGTGCTATATAAATCCAAGTTGTTGTTGTTGTTGTTGAACTATAGTAACTATGTCTAAAATGCTCTCTTAACAGAAGATTTCTTAGTATTTTCAGTTCCTTATTTGTGGCTGAATCAAATATCAACAGTTATAGGTTATAATGTTTGCAGAAACTATCTTGAATGCTTCAATAAATCATTTCAAGTTTGATATGTTTTGTTATTTCTCTTCCAGTCTATATGCATTTCAAATCTTTTTCTTCTTACATATATCTGAGCTGCATATATGAATTGCAGTGGGCATGGGATTGTCTGGGAAGAAGCAGTCAATGGCAACTAACTAGTTCAGATGAACAAACAAATCGATGATGTTGCCATTTATTAACTTAATGCTAACAAAACTTCTTCACACAGAAGGTAGAACTTCTTTATCCTGAGGGTAGTGAGAATGTGGAACTCGTTGCTGAAGAGTTGACTGAAGCAAATAGAATAGATGCATTTAAGAGAAAGCTAGATTTCTACATGAAGGAGAAGAGAATGGTAGAGAGTAAGAAGTGGATGGATACACGTGAAGTATAAATGACTGCTTAGGCTAAATGGACTGTTTCTCTCCCCAGATCTCATTCCATGCACCTCTCTCTGTGTCTTTTTTAAAAATAAATATATAATTGATTATGCCTTTAGTTGATACCTTTAAATTTTCCTTCCTCCCCTTTCTGTGAGGTTCCTTATTGCCTCAGTGAAGCACTTTGATACATTCACCCTATGCGAAGAGGAGATATATAAATGCAATTTAATTTTCTTCCTATCTTGTTTAATTTCTGTTACACATTGTACTTTCACTGCCCCCGACATATTTCTTCTTCCCGTGCTGATGTGACTCCCCTATCATTTCTAATTTAAGTTCTCGCTTACTAATGTGTGTGGTGTTGTTCTAATGCTTGTTTTGTTGTATCCACTGTAATAGGCAACAAAAAACGCTTCTATTGGAGAAAAACACGTGGTAAATACTGAGGTTAAATTTGCCAATTGTTGTGTTCCAGTAATTGTTTAGTGTAATTCATAAATCTGCAGTGATTCATGTCACATCACAGAATCATAGAATTACACAGCACAGAAGGAGGCCGTCCGACCCATTGTGTTTGTGCCGGCTCTTTGAAAAGAGCTATCCAAATGAATCCCACTCCCCCGCACTCTCCCCATAGTCTTACAGCCCTGTGAAAAATATTTAATCTCTGTTTCTTTTAACAGTTATTTTAAATTGGTGTCCTCGGGTTACCGACCCGCCCACCAGTGGAAATAGTTTCCCCTTGTTCACCCTATCGAATCCACTCATAATTTTGAAAACTTCTATTAAGTCTCCTCTTAACCTTCTCTGCTGCAAGGAGACTAATCCTCGCTTCTCTAGCATCTCCTCATAACTGAAGTACCTCATTCCTGGTACAATCCTCTTCAATGCCTTGACATCCTTCCTAAAATGTGGTGCCCAGAACTGAACACAGTCTCTAGCTGAGGCCTACCCAGTGTTTTAAAAAGCATAGGGGTACTGTGCTCTCTATACCCAAGTCCAGGTCATTTATATTTATTTATACATATTCATCTTTTACAATTGGTACCATTGTCCTTCAACACTGAATATCACTGGATACACCAAGCATTACAGGATGATTGTCAAGTTGGGAGTCATTTTCTTCCACACTAAACGCCCAGTACCATCACCCCAATCCTGATCAGCTTTTGTTGACTACTATTTCCCCAACAGATAAAATTCAGGATTTTTGTTTTGACTTTCAAACGTTTCCTTGCCCCATCCTACCTCTGCAATCTCTGTCAGTTTATCACATTACAAACCGATCAGTTAATGCTGAATATTACTACTCACTGAATGATGTTGCAAAAAATTAACTGATGTGCACAAATGAACCAAGCCACTTATGTCTTTATAAGTTTTGTAGTTTGAACATGTACACTAACTTTCAATGTTCTTTGATAGAGCAGAAGATTGCTTAGCTTTGTGTGTTATGTTGAGCTGTTCTAATTTTAGTATGTTGTAATACATTTTAATCTTTTGCTGCTACAGCCTCTTGACAGTTTTATTTTGAGGAAAAAGCTAATGGTAAGTTAACCAGGTAACATTTATTAACTGCTGATTTCTAAGAAGTCACTCAACTGCCATACAATAAACTTACACTGTCTTATTTCACATACACTTATCCTTCGCTGTGTTTTAACACCAAATATCAGAATGTTGCCTGGTTCAGCTTCAAGTCACGAGCAATTAGAAAGTGGAGATTTAACCCTCACTCTGTGCTGTGACAGCTAATTTTAGCCAGAACAACGAGCATTTTACTGGAGTTTCTACTCCTGCTTGCTAGCTAATAACCTCTACTGGAAACATGGATGTCCATCCTTTTACTGTGAAGTGCAGTAACTGAATTGGTACCATTGTTCTTCAACACTGAATATCAAAGCAGCAGTTAATTTAAGCACAGAGTAATTCATAAACAGCTTGCCTTTTCTTCCAGGCATCCATTCAGAGACATTAAACTGAGTCTGTGTCTGTTCAGGTAGACTTTACGTATCCCATGGTACTATTTGGGAGGGGAGGGAAAACTGAATTTATCCTTGAGTCCTGGCCAACACTCCCCCAGATAAAATTAGTCATCCACTTGTCCGTTTGTGGAACATTGTTATGCACACATTGGATGTTATGTTTTCTGACAAGAAATGCACAATCATTAAACTTCAGAAAAGGAGAAGGGGAATTTATGCAATAGAAAAGAGAAACAATATCCTGGGAGTTTATATCTACCATGGGCTTCCTTTCTCCTATAATCCAGGGGATTGATTATATCTATCAGTCTATCAGTTAGTCCATTATTCTATCACCCATAGGATCATTGAACTGCAAGCCAGAGTTGTGGAATGAAGCTTTTCCATCTGCAGATATCCTAAGTGATGTGAGTTTGGGCAGTCTCAAGCCAGTTCTTGTTTGATGCAAACAGAAAATTCTCTGATTTGGCAATTAATTGGTAATTACATTCTGATTGTGTAATGATGGCTGACAGGGGGCTTGGTAATACTTTTACAGCTTGAGATCTTTTACAACTGAATGTTGGAGTCGCTGAGTAACCCCCCATCCCCCAAAATGAATAGCTTGCAAGTCCTTCATCTCCGCCAACTTCAATTATAATAATAATCATTGCATTTGATATAGTGCCTTATCACCTTGTTGAGATGTCTCAAAGTGCTTCACAGAGTATACTGTAAAGTGGATTGACTGTTTGTAAGCGTAATGGTAGCTGCATGGTTTTAGAGGGAGGTCCAACTGGCGGGCCTGTAGGTCCATTTCATTCGCCTCCTCCCTCCATTTACATCTGGCCACCCACTCCTTCTGCAACTCATAAATGTTATATTTCTGGAAGGAAAACACAAACATATTGCTTATGTGGCCACAGATGTTTCTCAAATAGGGAATCAGGCCCTCAGCAGCCAAAAGGTTGAAAGTTAGACCACCCTGGTTTACAAAAACACAGGAGGGAAACTGAATTGTCATCCGTCAATAATGTTGTGTTATATTTCCAAGAAGCATAGTTTAAGGTGACCATGATTATACGTGGAACACAATATAGCATCGGAAGTACAGTTTGACTTAAGAGTCACTGTTGAGACAAGGTTGGCAGTGGGGAGAATGCAAGCTTCCAGACTGTCCCTAAAAGTCCTACCAATGAGTCAGTCTGGCTAGTCTGTCATTGGTAATGCCCTGGAGTGTTGTGGCTCAGGAATCTAGCTACCAAGACTGTCACCAATGGTTGACTCAATTCCGACTTTCCATTGCCAAGCTAATCAGCTCGGAGCCAGCTCAACTCCAAGAAGACTCTGCATACCTGCTTCCTGTGTCATGTCGGGAACTTTGATTTTAGGGTTTTTGATTCTAAACTGATAATCTAGCACTATGTTGAAATCATATGAATGCCTTGACAGTTTATTTTTCTGGGAAATTGTGTAAAAAGTGTTTCTGTTGCTAAAAAGGTGGCTAAAGCCATATGATTCCTTCAGAGTATTTTCAGAGTAAATCTTTATTTTGTGAGAATTAAAAGTTCTGATTTTGTTTCTCTCTTGACAGGAAAAGAAAAAGGAAAAAGTTGACTTTTCAACTATTGAACAGGTGATGTATATTAGCTGTGTTCAGAGCTGACTGCGTTTAGTGAACTTTTTCCTGTATTTCCTTCCATTTGTTTTAGACACTTTTCCATTTGCTCAAATGTTGCAGATTGAATAAAACCTCTAGATAATGCATTTATTCCTTATTTAATTTGGTTTTCCTTCCCATTTTTTGGATGGATATTGAGAACAGATCCATGGCAACTCCTTTTTCAGTGGGTTGACTGATTGATTCTTTTCACCTACAAATGAATAACCTACATTGTGTAAAGCAACACTCTGAAAAGCTTCTAATCTATTGTAAAATAGGCAACTAAAATCCTAGATGCAGGTTAAAATACACAGATCTACAATATACACAGCCACTACACTTTACAGTATATCCTGTGAAATGTTTTGAGAAGCCCTCTGAAATTGAAAGGCACTAAATCAAAATGCAAACATTACTTTTTCAAAATGTGCACTGTGACGCTGAAAAATACCACTAGGAAAGCCACGTAAACATTAGGAACATTCTGTTCCTTTAATATTAGCCTCAATATACTAAAATAAACAAGGAACGCACAATCTAAGATTTAAAATACTTTGCTTTCTCTATTCTATTTATAGAATTCCCCATTCTATTCCCCATTCTATTTATTTTATTCCCTTACTGTTCCTTTATCTGGATTCTTTTCTGCCTATTCTAACCCTTTGTCACATTTCAGGCCCTTCTCTTGCTTGTGTTTTACGCGGCACTCAGAATTTGAGGGAGGATATAGTATACGCAGATACTACATAAATCAATAGATTAAAATTCAATTTGTTGTAACCAATAAATCAAAAGTTTTCCTTTTGCCAACAGAACATTAAGCAGGTAGATGTTCCAGCTGATAAACAGGTGATGTGTTAGATTTGAAACAAAAACAGAGAGAGCTGGGAAAACTCAGCAGGTCAGGCAGCATCTATGGAGAAAGGAAAATGAGTTTTGGGCCCACAACCCTTCGTCAGAACCGGAAATGTTGTCTCACTTTCCTTTCTCCATAGATGCTGCCTGACCTGCTGAGTTTTTCCAGCTCTCTCTGTTTTTGTTTCAGATTCCACCATCTGCAGTATTGTGTTTTGTTCACTTGTTAGGTTTGTCTGTTTTAAAAGTTGATTAATTCCTCATTTTCTTTAAAGGCTTATTTTGCATGCAGTCTATGTTGTGTTACACCACAAAAATGTACAGTAAATTATAATGATTGATAGATGACTGAGAATGTTTATATTTAGTGAGTGAAAACCAATAAATCAAAAATGTTCCCCTCGCCAACAGATAGTTCAAAAGGCAGATGTTTCAGCTGCTAAACAGGTGATGTGTTATTTCCATTTAAATTTGGCTGTTTTAAAAGTTGCATTTTCCTCACTAGCTTCCATCCAATTTAAGGTTCATTTTCCAGTTGCTTAATAATTAATTACTGTATTGAGTGTGGCTTCATCAGTTTGCATTGTTATCATTATCCAATTTGGTCGCTGATTTCAGTATAGAACAATAATGATAAAAATGATTGAAATATGTCCAACTTGGGGGGAACACTGTGGTTTTTAATGTTTATCCAATGTAATTTAAAATTATATTTCCTTACAATTATAGGGGCACTCACTCACATGTGAACTATTAAACATAGCAGTGTATTTTAATCGACTTAACATGTTTTTACAAACATTTTTATAGCCATTGCTTGAAAATTGAATCTCTGGTCAGCATCCTTAAGTTCTTAATTTCCTGCTTGATTCCCACCTTTGTACTTGTCACTTTGAGATACACAGAACTTTTCATACTTTTGTACAATTGCAAGTTGTTGCAATATGCAGTGTGGTATAGCAGTTTAAACAATTTTGCTTTTAATTCTAGTTACAACAAATACAATACAAATTTATATTTATAGAGCACCTTTCACGTTGCGAACACGTGGACAATCAGTATTTCAGGCACGAGCTGGGAGTCCGGATCGGGGAAGGTGGCGGTCAGGTGGGGAAGGCAGGTGATCAAATGCAGGATCGAAGAGGGGGGGCGGGGTCTTGAAACGGGTCTGGAAGGAAGCAAGGAAAGGGGCAAGGTAGAGGGATGGAGTTCCAGATCGTGGGGGCAGAGTGACTGTAGATCTGCCTGCCAATGGTGGGGCGGGCTAGGCGGGGCACCTGAAGTAGGCCGGAGCTCGCTGAGCGCAGAAAGTGGGCAGATTGGCCGGGGATTAGGAGGTCGCAGAGGTAGGAGGAGCAAGGCCATGGAGAGCTTTGAAGGTGAGGATCAGGATCCTGAACTGAATCCTCTGTGTGATTGGAAGCCAGGGGAGTTGGGCGAGGATCAGGATGATAGGGTCGCGGAGCCTACTGCGGGAGAGGACATGGGCTGCAGAGTTCAGCATCTCCTCCCAGTTGGAGTTGGAGGAGAAGATGGGAGAGACGTGAGAGGGTGGACGGAGGGGCCGGTTTGTTGTGGAGAAGAGCAGACTGGGGTTGTCCTTGGCCTCCAAGATTATCTTGGAACAGAAAGACATAAATGTAAACAAATATTGGAAATGTTTGTATTACAAGGTTGTAAGCTGAGGTGTATAACTTTCTTAGAGTGTAATTTGTAGAGAGGACACTAAACCTTATGTTTTGCTTCTGCCAACAGTCACCAAAACATGTTTAATTTCTGGTACATCAGCCCAGGTGGCTTACTTTTTCTTTTCTCAGAGGGTAATTAATAACAGGTTGCAAAGGAGGGTGGTTGAAGCCAGGACACTGGACTCGTTTAAAAAGCAGTATGATGCTGTGTTGGTGGGGCTATAGGGTGGGTGATCTGGAATGATGAGGTTGGCGAGCTGAAGGATCTTCTTCATCCAAACTTATTTTGTGATCTACTGTTTGTGTGATCTTTCTGTGCACAAAACATATCATCAACAAAACAGTAATCACAACATTATCAGGTTTAGAGTACTTAGGGAACGGGACAAGGAACAATCAAAAGAAAAGATACTCAACTGGAAGAGGGCTAATTTCAATGAGTTAAAAAGGGAACTAACCAAGGTGGACTGGACAGAAGGATTGGCAGGTAAAATGGCTAATGAGAAATGGGAAGCCTTCAAGGAGGAGATAGTTCGGGAACAGAACAAATACATTCCAACAAAGGGGAAAGGTAGAGCATCCAAACATCCCTGGATGAATAAGGAAATTGGAATTAAAATAAAACAGAAAAAGGATGGTTATAATAGATATCAGGTCTAAAATACAGAAGATAATCAAATAGAATATAGAAAGTACAGAGAAGAACTGGAAAAGGAAATAAGAGAGGCAAAGAGATTGTATGAAAAAAGATTAGTTGGTAATGTAAAAAGGTACCAACTAAGGTATTTTATAAGCATATAAAGATTAAAAGGTTAGTCAAAGGTAGGGACCAATTAGGGACCAAAGAGGAAATCTTCTTGTGGAGGCAGAGGACGTGGCTGATGTACTGAATGTGTGCTTTGCATCTGTCTTCACAAAAGAAGAGGATGCAGCCAATGCCACAGTACTGGAGGAGAGGAGAGACATTGAATAAGATAAGAATAAACTGAGAGGAGGTATTAAAAAGGTTGTCGGTGCTCAAGATAGATAAGTCACCCAGTCCGGATGTGATGCATCCTAGGTTACTGAGGGAAGGAAGGGTGGAAATAATGGAGGCTCTGGCCACAATCTTTCAATCCTCCTTGGATACCGGGGGTGATGCCAGAGGACTGGAGGGTTGCAAATGATACTCCCCTGTACAAAAAGGAGCAGAAGGATAAATCTGGGAACTACAGACCAGTCAGCCTAACATCAGTAGTGGGGAAACTTCTAGAAACTATAATCTGGGACAAAATAAATTTTCACTTAGAATAATATGGGTTAATAAAGAACAGCCAACCCAGATTTGTTAAAGGCAAATCATGACTAACAAACCTGTTAAGAGTTTTTCGATGAAGTAAAGGAGAGGGTGGATGAAGATAGTGCAATTTATGTAGTTTATATGGATTTTCTAAAGGCATTTGATAAAATGCAACATAAGACACTTGTAAACAAAACATAAGCCCATGGTATTAAAGGGACAGCAGGGAGTGGTGGTGAAGGGTTGTTTTTTTTTGACTGGAGGGATGTGTGCAGTGGTGGCCCCCAGGGGTCAATATTGGGACCACTGCTGTTTTTGATCTATATAAATGACCTGGACTTGGGTGTAGAGAGTACAATTTCCAAGTTTGCAGATGATACTAAGTTAGGAAAAGTAGTAAACAGTGAGGAGGATAGTAGCAGACTGCAAATAGGCATAGACAGACTGGTAAAATGGGCAGACAGGTGGCAGATGAAGTTCAGTGTGGAGAAATGCAAAGTGGTGCATTTTGGAGGAAGAATTAGGAGAGGCAATATAAGCTGATAATAATAATCCTTGCATTTGATATAGCGCTTTTCACGTTGGGAGGACGTCCCAAAGCGCTTCACAGAACACACTGTAAAGTGAATTGACTGTATATCTGTGGGCGAACGCGGCAGCCAATTGCGCACAGCAATGTCCCACAAACAGTCGTAGATTGAAAATGACCAATTTATTATTGTTTTTGGTTTTGGAGGGATTATTATTAGGCTCTGTGTGGAGTAAGGAAACTTGCCCAAGGTTTCGCCCTCTGCCTGGAATTGAACTCAGGTCTCTCGCTTGCAAGGCGAGTGCTCTAACCACTAAGCTACAGGACTCCACAAGCTGATGGTACAATCTTAAAAGGGGTGAAGGAACAGAGAGACCTGGGGTTCATAGAAGTAAATCTTTGAAGGTGGCAGGACAGGAAGATAAAGCTGTTAAAAAAGCATATGTGATACTGGGCTTTATAAATAAGGGCATAGAATATAGAAGTCAGGAAGTTATGATAAACCTTTATAAAACACTGGTTAGGCCTCAACTAGAGACTGTGTTCAGTTCTGGGGACCACACTTCAGGAAGGATGTCAAGGCATTGGAGCTGGTGCAAAGGAGATGTACCAGGATGGTACCAGGAATGAGGGACTTCAGTTATCAGGAGAGGTTAGAGAAGTTAGGATTATTCTCCTTGGAGCAGAGAAGGTTAAGAGAAAACTTAATAGAAGTTTTCAAAATTATGAGTGGATTTCATAGGGTGAACAAGGAGAAACTGTTTCCACTGACGGGTGGGTCGGTAACCCGCGGACATCAATTTAAAACAGTTGTTAAAAGAAACAGAGGGGCGGTAAGGAGATTTTTTTTCACACAGCAAGTTGTTCGGATCTGGAATACATTGCCTGAAAGTATAGTGGAAACCGATTTGATAACAACTTTTAAGAGAGAAGTAGATAATTTTGGGGGGAAGACAAGTTTGCAGGGTTATGGGAAGAGAGCGGGGGAGTGGGAATGAATTGGATAGCTCTTTTCAAAGAGCCAGCACAGACATGATGAGCTGAATGGCCTCCTTCTGTGCTGCATAATTCTATGATTCTATGAACAACAAATCGCATTTATATATCAGGAGGATGTCCTAAACCCCTGGACAATGAAGGTTTGGCATCCGAGCTGCAGGTTGAGATCAGAGAGGGCTGGAGGTCGGCGGGCAAGGAGGAAAGATGACCAAAGGCACGGTTGAAGAGGAAGGTCTTGAGGGAGTGGACAGATTGATGAAGTTTTAATAGATTGTAGAGGAGGGAGGAGTAAGATTGTGGAGAGTTTTAAAGGTGAGGACAAAGATCTTGAACTCTATTCTCTGGGGAATGGCGAGCTAGTGAAGCAGGGCAAGGAATGAGTGATCGGCTCATGAAGCTTAGAGCAAGAGAGGACACAAGCTAATTCAGAAGTTCTGAATAATCTACAGCTTGTGGAGGGAAGAGTTGGGAAGGCTGTCGATCAGAGAGTTAGCATAATTAAGCCTGGACATAATGGAAGAATGTATGAATGTTTCAGCAGTCTGACAGTAGAGATAATGGCAGAGGCGGGCAATGTTATGGAAGTGGAGGAAGCAGAACGGGTCATGGCACAGATGTGAGGTTTAAGGGCAGTTGAGAATCGAACAAGACACCCAGATTCTGTATTGACTCGGTGAGATGGAAAGTGGATCCATGATGAGTGTTTCTCTCAGCGCTTGAGGTGAGAAGGTGCTGATGGGAGCCAAGCAAGAGAACCTCGGTCTTGACCACATTCAATGGAGAAAATGCCTCTCATCCAGGACTTTTGATGTATGACAGACAGCTGAGAACAAGGGTGGAGGCTGAGAGATAGAGTTAGTTACCATCCATACATGTATGTGGAAGTTAACCCCATATATCCCTGAGTGGGAGCATGTAAATATTAAAAAGGAGAGGACCGAGGACAGTGCCCTGGGGATCATCACACATGATGGTGCGAGGGCTAGAGGAGAAGTTGTTCGTGGAAACAAAGTGGAGTCAGTGGGGAAAAAATAAGAATGGAACCAGCCATGAAGGTGGAGGTGAGAGGACAAGCGGTGTAGAAGATAGAGTGATCAACAGTGTCAAAGCAGTGTAAAAATCAAGAAGGATCAGAAGACAGAGAATGTCCTGGCCACAATGGATAGAATGTCATTTGTAACTTTGACTAAGGCTGGCTCTGTACTGTGGGCATCACAAAAAACAGTTTGGAGAGGTTCAAACAGGAAGTAGCAGGAGAGGATAAAGCGAGGCTGGGAAGCAACGATTTTTTTCAGGACCTTGGAAAGAAAGGGAAGGAAAGAGATGGCTTGATAGTTTCAGAAGAGAGAAGGGTCAAGGGAAGGATTTTTGAGGGTGGGGATAATGACTACTGTTTTTAAGGGTGTGGGAATGGTGCCAGTAGATAGATGTCTGTGAGTAGGGGGACAAGGCAGAGGAAATGGGAGGTGAGTAGGGGGCTAGGGATGGGATCAAAGGAGAGGCTTGTGGGCTTCATTTGGGAAGTGACGAATGTGAGAGGGGGTGATGGGGTCAAGAGTGTGAAGGGAGGGATAGGTGGAAACGAGTGGGTGGGGTGGTTGTAGAAAGGGCTAAGGCAGCAGAGTGGATCTCCTCAATTTTGGACTCGGAAATTCTTCATTTCCTCACATTTGGAGTTAGACGAGAGGAAGTTCAAGGCATTGGAAGGTGGTCGGAGGAGCTAGTTTGTGGTGGAGAAAAGGACCCTGGAATTTTCCTTAGCCTCCAAGATGATCTTCAATAGAAGGATAATTTAGTTGAGGTGAGGGCGAAGTTATAGATTTTGATAGAGTCCAGAAAGATCTGGCGATGGACCATTAGATTGGATTTGAGCCAGGTGCATTCAGTGATTTGCACCTGTGACTTGAGGGAGTGGAGATGACTGGTGTACCAGGAGGACTTGCAGGAGTCGGAGGCAGTGTGGGAAGTGATGGGGGCAAGGTATTGAGGGTAACACAGAGAGAGTTATGGAAGATTGCAACCAAGGAAGTAAGCTCATTACTCTGGAGAAGTTCGAATGACTCAAGGGCGACAGAGAGGGAGTGGGGGCGACAATTTGTTGACAATTAAGTAGTGGTGGTAAGGGCTTGATTAGCGATACAGCGGACATTTTGTAGGACAATGTGGAGGGGACATGCAGCAGAGAAGTTTGCAGAGGGAGGGGAGGAGGATTGACAAGGGTATGAGTGAAAATAAGCTGCCATGTTCACCCACAAAACACACAGTGACTACATTTTACAGTATATCCTATGAAACGCTTTGGGACAGCCTCTCGTTGTGAAATGTGCTATACCAAAAGTAAGAATGATTATTATTACCTTTTTCAGAACATACCTCCCACTTTTCCAACTCGTTTATTGCTGACTTCTTGCTTCCTTAACTCGATCATTAGTAATGGAGCTTTCAGCACACTGCTCTTGTCCTCTGCCAAACTCACATTACCTTCCTATATTTTGAAGGCATTCCTCAATGCCTTCAAAGACCTCTCTTTCAAAACAAATTTTAAGCCCATCTTTGTACTTGTCATTCACTTTGAGATATTATTTTGTATAAAGGTTTTGTATAATTGCAAGTTATTACAATATACAGTGTTGTATAACAGTTTAACAATGGAATTTTGCTTTTAATTCTACTCAAATGTAGACAATTACGCATTTCATATTGTGAATTGTTTGTATTACAAGTATTTGGTTGTTGTAGGCTGAGGTGTATCACTCTCTTAAAGTGGATACTAAATCTTCTGTTTTGTTTCCGCCAACAGTCACAAAAAACACGTCAGAGTTCTAATATATCAGCTCAGGTGACTTACTTTTTCTTTACTCAGAGGGTAACTAACAACTGGAACAGGTTGCCAAGGAGTCCTGTAGCTCACTGATTAGAGCACTCGCCTTGTAAACGAGACACCTGGGTTCAATTCCAGGCAGAGGGCGAAACCTTCGGCAAGTTTCCCTACTCCACACGCCTAATAATAATCCCTCCAAAACTAAACAAAAATAAATTGGTCATTTTCAAATGTGCATTTCATATTGGGAAATGTTTGTATTACAAGTTGTTGGTTGTTGTAGGCTGACTTGTATCACTCTTTTATAGTGTAATTTGTAGAGTGGACACTAAAACTTCTGTTTTGTTTCTGCCAACAGTCACAAAAAACACACCAGAGTTCTAGTGTATCAGCCAAGGTGACTTACTCTTCTTTATTCAGAGGGTAATTAAGGACTGAAACAGATAGTCAAGGAGGGTGGTTGAAGCCAGGACACTGGACTTGTTTGAAAATAAGTGCATTAAACATTTGCATTTGGGTGCGGTAGGGTGGGTGTTCCAGAAAGATGAGATTGATGACCTGAAGGCCTTCTTGATCCAATCCACAGTATTTTTATTTAATACCTCACAGTTTTTAATGTTATATATTTCTTAATTCTCCATTAATTTTCAGACACTTTCCCTAATATCCAGTTTCTTCCCAGTAGAGACAAAAAAAAAAGAATAATTTGGTCGCTCAATTCACAATTCACACAATTGCTGTTCGCAATTGGCTGCTGCATTTGGCCACAAAATATACAGTCAATTCACTTCACAACGTATTCTGTGAAGTGCTTTATGATGTTTCAATGAATTTATAAGGCAATATATCAAATGCAAGGATTATTATTGTATAATAGTTTAAAAATCAAATTTTGCTTTTAATTCTACTTATAACAAATGTGCATTTCATATTGGGAAATGTTTGTCCAAGTTGTTGGTTGCTGTACGCTGAAGCGTACCACTCACTTATAGTGTAATTTGTAGAGTGGACACTAAACCTTCTGTTTTGTTTCTGCCAACAGTCACCAAAAACACGTCATTCTGTTACATCAGCCCAGGTGACTTTTTCTTTACTCAGAGGGTAATTAATAACTGGAACAGGTTGCCAAGGAGGCAAGGGGACTGGATTTGTTTAAAAAGCTATTTGATGCTGAGTTGGAGGGACAAGAGGTGGGGTGATCTGGAAGATGAGATTGAATAGGTTGAAGGCCCTTCATCATCCAAACCAATCTTGTGATCTACAATATTTGTATTTTGTATTTTAATGTTACATTTTTCTTTCAATTAATGCTCAGAGCCACTTTTCCTAATATCATATTTCTTCCCTGCAGAGGCCATGAAACTCTGAGTCACCACAGTTTCAATGTCAACCAATGGTGCAGCTCAATTCTAGGAGTAGATTTGTGTTAATTTAAATGTGGCTCTGGTAATAGAGCAGTTTTAAACCTTTCACATGTCATTCTTTTCCTAAATACTTTTCCCACTCTCTGCTACGGATATGAGAACAGCTTGTTTCAAAATGAGAGTATAATTTGTAAAGGGACACTAAACCGTCTCTTTTGTTTCTGCCACAGTCAGAAAGACGTCAGAGTTGTATTCCGTTAACTCAGGTGACTTAAACTTTTTTAACTCATTTAACGACTGGAACAGGTTATCAAGGAGGGTGGTTGAGGCCAGGACACTGGACTTACTTACTTAAAAAACACAGCTTGTTGAGCTGATGGTGGGATGGGTGATCAAGGGGGGATGAGATTGAACGGCGATGTATAAATGCATGTTGTTGTGATGATCTGAGGTATTTGTATTTAATACCTAATAGTTTTTAATGTTCCATTTTTGTTAACATTCTATTAATTAGTTTTAACGAGCTCAATTCTTGTATTTCCAGCCACTTTTCTACTTGTTCAAATAGCTGATTATTGTTCACAGAGAGAAACATTATCTAAAGCTACACAAACCACCGTCATTTTTAGAGTGGATAGTAAACCTTCTGTTTTGTTTCTGCCAACAGCAACCAAAATCACGTCAGAGTTCTATTACATCAGCCCAGGTGATTTTTTTTCTTTACTCAAAGGGTAATTAATAATTGGAACAGGTTACCAAGGAGGCAAGGACACTGGATTTGTCTAAAAAGCAATTTGATGCTGAGTTCTTAATTCTCCATTAATTTTCAGACACTTTCCCTAATATCCAATTTCTTCCCTGCAAAGGCAAAAAAAATAAGAATAATTTGGTCACACAATCCATGACTGTTTGTGGGACACTGCTGTTCGCAATTGACTGCTGCATTTGGCCCACAAAATATACAGTCAATTCACTTTACAACGTATTCTGTGAAGTGCTTTATGATGTTTCAATGAATTTATAAGGCAATATATCAAATGCAACGATTATTATTGTATAATAGTTTAAAAATCAAATTTTGCTTTTAATTCTACTTATAACAAATGTGCATTTCATATTGGGAAATGTTTGTCCAAGTTGTTGGTTGCTGTACGCTGAAGCGTACCACTCACTTATAGTGTAATTTGTAGAGTGGACACTAAACCTTCTGTTTTGTTTCTGCCAACAGTCACCAAAAACACGTCATTCTGTTACATCAGCCCAGGTGACTTTTTCTTTACTCAGAGGGTAATTAATAACTGGAACAGGTTGCCAAGGAGGCAAGGGGACTGGATTTGTTTAAAAAGCTATTTGATGCTGAGTTGGAGGGACAAGAGGTGGGGTGATCTGGAAGATGAGATTGAATAGGTTGAAGGCCCTTCATCATCCAATCCAATCTTGTGATCTACAATATTTGTATTTTGTATTTTAATGTTACATTTTTCTTTCAATTAATGTTCAGAGCCACTTTTCCTAATATCATATTTCTTCCCTGCAGAGGCCATGAAACTCTGAGTCACCACAGTTTCAATGTCAACCAATGGTGCAGCTCAATTCTAGGAGTAGATTTGTGTTAATTTAAATGTGGCTCTGGTAATAGAGCAGTGTTAAACCTTTCACATGTCATTCTTTTCCTAACTACTTTTCCCACTCTCTGCTATAGATGTGAGAACAGCTTGTTTCAAAATGAGAGTATAATTTGTAAAGGGACACTAAACTGTCTCTTTTGTTTCTGCCACAGTCAGAAAAACCACGTCAGAGTTCTATTCCGTCATCTCAGGTGACTTACATTTTTTAAATTAATTTAACGACTGGAACAGGTTATCAAGGAGGGTGGTTTAAGCCAGGACACTGGACTTATTTTAGAAAGTAGCTTGATGTTATATTGAGTTTATGGTGGGATGGGTGATCTGGGGGGATGAGATTGAACTGCGATGTATAAATGCATGTTGTTGTGATGATATGAGGTATTTGTATTTAGCACCTCATAGTTTTTAATGTTCCATTTTTGTTAACGTTCTGTGAATTCGTTTTAACGAGTTCAATTCATAAATATAATATTTGGTACAACTGTAATCGAAAACAAGAACAACGAACAACATCTTCTGTTACATTTTTCCCATTCTCCCGATACAAAAACATTCCATTCTTTATATTACATTCCTTCACCGCACAGAGGTTGTGCACACATTTTTTGGGACGCTCCCTTTAAAACAGTCGAGAGTTGCCCCAGTGTGCACTACATCCATGTGCGCGCCCTTCACACACCTAAAGCGCACTTGCCTCTTTCAGAAGGTGCCCCAATGTGCACTGTACACTTACATGTTTACCGTACATACATTTTCGGGACCACAATAACATCAACAACAATTTGCATAGCGCCTTTCACGTCGGGAGGACGTCCCAATGCACTGGACAGTCAGAGTTTTGGACTCAAGCTGGGAGTCGGGAGCAGGGAGGATGGAGGGAAGGGGGGGGAAGTAGGGTGATCGAAAGCATGGTCGAAGAGGAGGGTCTTGAGATGGGTCTTGAAGGAGGCAAGGGAGGGTGCAAGGTGGAGGGACAGCGTGATGGAGTTCCAGAGGGTGAGGGCAGAGTGACAGAAGGCCCGCCCACCATAGTGGGGAGAGCGAGGCGGTGGGGGGGGCGTGAAGCAGCCTGGAGTCCGCTGAGCGGAGGTAGCGAGCAGGATGGTAGGAAGTCGCAGAAGTAGGGGTGAGCAAGACCATGGAGGGCTTTGAAGGTGAGGACCAGGATTTTGAACTGTATCTTCTGTGTGATGGGAAACCAGTGGAGTTGGGTGAGGATGGGGCGAGAGGGTCATGGAGCCTGGTGCGGGAGAGCACACTGGCTGCAGAGTTCCGGACGATCTGCAGCCTGTGGAGGGAGGAGTTGGGGAGGCCGACAAGCAATGAGTTTGCATAGTCAAGCCTCGATGTAATGAAAGTTGTCTGAGGTTTTCGGCGGCCTGTGGTGTGAGACAGTGGCCAAGCTGGGCGACGTTGCGAATGTCGGTGAAGACAGAGTGGGTCATGGCACAGATGGGGGTCGAAAGAATAGTTGAGGGTCAAAACAAGACGCCAAGCTTCCGGACCGGCTTAGTAAGGTGGAGTGTGCATCCATGGATGGTGATGCTGTCAGTGCATGAGATGTGGAGGCACTGACGGGAGTCAATCAGAGCCTCGGTTTTGTTGATGTTCATCTGAAGAAAGTTAGCTCTCATCCAGGACTTGATGTCTGACAGGACAGCAGTAGTCCTGGAGTCAAGGGTGGAGGCAGAGTTGGGTATCATCCGCATACATGTGGAATTTGACCCCATGTCTGCGGATGATGTCTCCAAGAAGGAGCATATAGATATTGAACAGGAGGAGACCAAGGACAGAGACCTGAGGAATGCCGCACGAGACGTGTGGGGACTAGACGAGAAACCGTTTGTGTAGATGAAGTGAAGGCGGTGTGAGAGGTACAATCTGAACCAGTCAAGGACAGAGCCGTGAAGGTTGAGGTGAGAGGATAGAGTGGTCAATGGTTTCAAAGGCAGCAGAGAAGTCAAGGAGGACGAGGAGGCAGAGGGAACCCTGGTCGCAGATGGGCAAAATGTCATTTGTCACTTTGACCAGGGCTGTTTCTCTGCTGTGAGCAGCACGGAAACCCGATTAGAGGGGTTCATGAAGATAAAGGAAGGAGCAAAGTTGGGAAACAACAACTCATTCCAGGACCTTGGAGTAGGAAAGGGAGGCTGGAAATGGGGCGATAGTTTGCGAGTAGAGATGGATCCAGTTATTTTTAAGGATAGAAGTGATGACGGCCGCTTTTAATGAGGTGGGAAGAGCACCAGTGGACAGGGAGAGGTTTATGATGTCTGTGAGTAGAGGGGCAAGGAGGTGGAGCTGGGAGTTAAGGAGACAGGGATGGGATCAAGGGAGCAGGTGGTCGGTTTCATGCGGGTTATAGTGGTGGTGAGGGGAGTGGGAGACAGGTTCGAAGGTTTGTAGGGCGGGATGGGTAGGGGCTGGGATAGGGAGATGGGGAGGAAGTAGCAGACGGAATCGCAGAGGCAGCAGAGCGGATCCCCTCGACTTTGGATTCGAGAAATTCCAGCATCGCCTCGCAGTTGGCATTTGAGATGAGTATGCGTGAGGAGTGAGAGGGTGGGCGGAGGAGCCGGTTGGTGATGGAGAAGAGGAGCCTGGGGTTGTCCTTGGCCTCCAGGATTGTCTTGGAGTAGAACAACGATTTAGTGGAGGCAAGGGTTGTGCGGTAAGATTTGATAATGTCCGTCCAGATCTGCCGATGGACCATTAAGTCTGATTTAAACCAGGTGCATTTCAGTGGCAGGCACCCGTGCTTTAAGGGAGCGGAGGTGGCTGCTGTACCATGGTGACTTACGTGAATAGGAGACGGTTCGGGAAGAGAGGGGAGCAAGGGAATCAAGAGTGGAGGTGAGAGTGCTGTGGAGAATAGTGGCCGAGGAGGATAGTTCTTTGCTGGAGGAAGCCCAGAGCGGAAGGAGTTCAGATGACTCCAAGGCGGGAGTCCAAGAGGGAGGGAGGAGAGATTTCTTTTCTGGTGCAGTAGGAGATGGAGGTGGTGGTAGAAGAGGAATTGAGGAGTTAAGGGAGATGACATGATGGTCCGAGATTGCTTTGTTGATGATGGTGAAGTCCAAGACGGTGAAGCTCCGAGTAATCACCAGGTCGAGGGAATGACACGGCAGTTAGGTTAAGGGTTATGATGGAAGGTGTAGCCGGGTGATGTGGCCTCTATCAGGGAAGGTGTCACCTGGAGTGATCCAGGTTTCAGTGAGGGCGAGAATGTCGATGTTTTGGTCGACGATGAGATCTTGGATGGTGAGTGTTTTGTTGAAGAGGGAGCGGACATTTTGTAAGCCGATGTGGAGGGGACAGTTGGTGGAGGAATGTGGGGGCGAGGGGGGGGACTGACAGGAGGGTGAGGATGTGGATGAGGGAGGAGAGGTTGGCCCCCATGGTCAGGGAGTGATGGGCCTTGCGACGAGAATGGGGATTAGGGCAGTCAGAGTGGCTGCGGCGAGAATGGGGGTTAGGGCAGTCAGAGTGGACAGCCAGTGGCGACTCCCACAGTGGACCCGACGGAGAGGGAGGCTGTAGGACGGTTGAGCAGGGATAGGGGTCAGGGAGGGCGGTGGGAGAGGAGGACAGTGCGGGAGTAATGGAGGCAGAGGACAGGGTTGGGAGCATTAGGGAAGCAGCTTGGGTCGATCTTTGTTTCCATCTCGAACATCCTGTACATTTATATGGTTACCCTCATGTTTATTTTAGTCATAGTTTTGGGTGCGCTCATGGGCTACCCGCTGGGTGAGTCCTGAGTGGTTTGCAAAGGAGGAGCTCCTGCCAGCGTCAGGCCCAATTTGGCCTTTACCGCAGTTGAGCCAAGCTTCAGAATGTCCCTCAGTATATAGTCCCTGATCCTAATGTGCACGAGCCTGAGGCAGGCGCTCTCAGTCCCATCATTCTGCCAGAAGAACACCTGGTTTCGAGAGTGCCAAAGGGCCTCCTTTACCGAGTTTGTGATCCTCCAGGCACACTCGATGTGGGTTTCTCTGTGAGTGCCCGGGAAGAGGCTGTACAGCACCGAGTGCCGTGACAGTGGTCCCCAGGGATGAACCGCGAGAGTATCCATTCCATCTTTTTCCAAATCGCCTTTGCAAAACAACACTCCAGGAAAAGGTGGTCCACGGTCTCCTCACCTCTGCAGCTGGCCCGAGGGCAGCAGAGGCGAGGACCACTCGTTGATTGAGCAGGGGTCTGGGATGGTGTTCTTCAGGAATTTCTCAACATAGGATAGGTGTTTTGGCACGCTCCAACTGTGTGGAAAGTGGTTTGTGTTACTTTACATAATGTTTCTCTCTGTGAAAAATAAACAACTATTTGAACAAGTGGAAAAGTGGCTGGAAATAGAAGAATTGAACTTGTTTAGAATAATTCACAGAACATTAACAAAAATGGAACATTAAAAACTGGGAGGTATTTCCTTTTTTGTTAATGTTCTGTGAATTAGTTTTAACGAGCTCAATTCTTGTATTTCCAGCCACTTTTCTACTTGTTCAAATAGCTGATCATTTTTTACAGAGAGAAACATTATCTAAAGTTACACAAACCACCAGCATTTTTAGAGTGGAGAGTAAACCTTCTGTTTTGTTTCTGCCAACAGCAACCAAAATCACGTCAGAGTTCTATTACATCAGCCCAGGTGATTTTTTTTTCTTTACTCAGAGGGTAATTAACAATTGGAACAGGTTACCAAGGAGGTAAGGACACTGGATTTGTCTAAAAAGCAATTTGGAGGGCCAAGAGGTGGGGTGATCTGGAAGATGAGATTGAATAGGCTGAAAGCCCTTCATCATCCAAACCGATCTTGTGATCTACAATATTTGTATTTTGTATTTTAATGTTACATTTTTCTTTCAATTAATGTTCAGAGCCACTTTTCCTAATATCATATTTCTTCCCTGCAGAGGCGATAAAACACTGAGTCACCACAGTTTCAATGTCAACCAATGGTGCAGCTCAATTCTAGGAGTAGATTTGTGTTAATTTAAATGTGGCTCTGGTAATAGAGCAGTGTTAAACCTTTCACATGTCATTTTTTTCCTAACTACTTTTCCCACTCTCTGCTATAGATGTGAGAACAGCTTGTTTCAAAATGAGAGTATAATTTGTAAAGGGACACTAAACCGTCTCTTTTGTTTCTGCCACAGTCAGAAAAACCACGTCAGAGTTCTATTCCGTTAACTCAGGTGACTTACATTTTTTTAACTCATTTAACGACTGGAACAGGTTATCAAGGAGGGTGGTTGAGGCCAGGACACTGGACTTACTTAAAAAACACAGCTTGATGCTATGTTGAGCTGATGGTGGGATGGGTGATCAAGGGGGGATGAGATTGAACGGCGATGTATAAATGCATGTTGTTGTGATGATCTGAGGTATTTGTATTTAATACCTAATAGTTTTTAATGTTCCATTTTTGTTAACATTCTATGAATTAGTTTTAACGAGCTCAATTCTTGTATTTCCAGCCACTTTTCTACTTGTTCAAATAGCTGATTATTGTTCACAGAGAGAAACATTATCTAAAGTTACACAAACCGCCAAATAGTTTTATTACTGTAATATTGCCCCTAACGTATAGAAAAATGAATTGCTGGTATCCTCTCACTCCATTCTATTTTCTTTGATTCCCTATTCCCTCTGTGTCCATTTTAATTTTATCATAGTTTGAAAACGGGTTTGAATGGGTTGGAAATCATTGTTAAATAAGTATTGAAAACTTTGCTTGTACTTTCTGGTGCTCCTGTTGTCTGGAAATTGTCAGTTCTTATTTCATGAAGGATTTATAAAATCGCTTGGCGCACTGTGTTAATACCTGGTAAAACATAGGGGAATGTTACTTAAGACTTATGATATGGAAATACGTACATAATGTACATGTTTTGGCTGTTTATCCATGAAATTGGGAATTTATGCTTAGACTGTACACTAAAAATGTGTTATTTCCTCCACCAGCAGTCAGATTTCCAGAAAAAAATTACTTTTAAAATCAGTGGCATTTGCATTCATTCTTTCCGTCTTAAACATTTATGACCTTTTTGCTCATTTCCTTCCATGTATTTCATGCACTTTTCTATTTGCTCCAAAGCCTGATTGGAGGCGCTCCAATGCAGAGGCAGTGAAATCCTGTGTGTTGTGGTTTTAATATGCAGCAGCAATGCAACACAATTATGCATTTGTTAATGTGTCACTGTGGTCGGCCTATGAATTTGTGCATCACGTTTACCTAGGATTCACTGTGCCCCTGTACTCTCAAACTATATCAAAATTTACAAAACATTGATATTCAGAAAATATTTTTTATGGTCACTAAAATATTGTTTTTGTCCCAGCAGATGAAAACGAGCAGTGAATCTCTTTTTTCTATGGAGGTGACGTTATTTGAATAATACTTTCCATCTTTAATAGTTTAAGCTTTCTTTCCATCTATTTTCAGTTGTTTTTCTATTTGTTTCAATACCTGATTACTTCACTGCAAAGCAAATTGAACACTGTATGACCACAGTTTTAATATAAAGCGACCATTTTTGATGAAGTAACAGAGAAGGTGGATGAAGGCAGGCAGCTGATGTGTATGGGTTTTGAAAAAGGTGTTTGATAAAGGGTCACATAAGAGACTTGTAAATAAAATAGAAGCCCACGGTATTAAAGGGCAGCGGCAGGATGGATACAGAACTGTCTGGGAGACAGAAAGCAGAGTGGCGGTGAACAGTTATTTTTATGACTGGAGGGGGAAGTGTGCAGTGGTGGCCACCAGGGATCAGGAATGGGCACTGCTGTTTTTGATCTATATAAATGACTTGGACTTGGGTATAGGGAGTACAATTTCCAAGTTTGCAGATGATACTAAGCTGGAAAAGAAGTAAACAGTGAGGAGGATAGTAGCAGGCTTCAAATGGACATAGACAGACTGGTAAAATGGGCAGATACATGAAGCAAAGTGAAGCATTTTGGGAGGAAGAATGAGGAGAGGCAATATAAGCTAGATGGTGCAATCTTATAAGTAAATCTTTAAAGGTGGCAGGACAGGTAGATAAAGTAATTAAAAAGCATACGACATACTAGGCTTTATAAATAGGGGCATAGAATACAAAAGTTGGGAAGTTATGATGAACCCTTATAGAACACTAGTTAGGCCTCAGCGAGAGACTGTGTTCAGTTTTTGGCCCCACACTTTGGGAAGGATGTCAAGGCATTGGAGAGGGAACAAAGGAGATTTATTAGAATGGTACCAGAATGAGGGACTTCAGTTATGAGGAGAGGCTAGAAGAGCTAGGATTATTCTCCTTGGAATAGAGAAGTTTAAGTGGAGATTTAATAGCCCTAAGTTTTCAAAATTATGAGGGGATTCGATAGGGTGAAAAAGGAGAAACTATTTCCACTGGCAGGTGGGTCGATAACCAGAGGACACCGATTTAAAATAGTTGATAAAAGAAACGGGAGGTGAGAATTTTTTTCACTCAGTGAGTTGTTTATGTTTCATTATGTTTCATTGCCTGAAAGGGTGGTCGAAGCTGATTCAAAAACAACTTTTAAGATGAACTAGATAATTATTTGGGGAGGACAAGTTTGCAGGGCTATGGGGAGAGAACGGGGGAGTGGGACTGACTTGGATAGCTCTTTTCAAAGAGCCAACACAGACAAAATGGGCCGAATGGCCTCCTTCTGTGCTGTATAATTCTATGATTCTATTAATCCAACACAATTCACCGACCCTTCCTTGTGGATTATGATATGATGTCATTTACAGTGATTGTGCTAGATCCATGCATGAGATGCTGCACATCTGCAGAAACATCAGGCTCTCTGGGTTAACAAACACTAATATTACAGCAGTAAAGCTACTCAAACATCCTGCTATGTGTCCAAGTAAGACAATTCCAGTTATTTTAACATTTGGTAACATAGTACTTTAAGAAGAGCCAATGGGAAGAATTCTGTCCCTCAGGTTCCTGTCTACCCTCTAGGTCCAATTAGTAAGCCGAGCAGGCTATTAATGCTATCAGGCTTCGCTATCAGATTGCCAAGTTGATCAGAGAATTTTTTTAGCTCCCTCTGCTCTCGCTTACAAAGGCATGCCTCACACTGAAGCTAGCCTTACCTGCAAAGAGACCCCGTTTACCACATCGAGCCAAGGAAGATGGTCATTAAATGGGTAGTTTAAGACCGTTTCTCATGTTAAGGTGATTTGGCCAACTTCGCCTACAGGTTCTAGAGTGATAGCCTTTGTGGTAAATCCACTCATGGTTTGGACCTGAATCTCATATATGGATTGATGGAGACTTTCCAGTTAGTGCCTGGGAACTCTCATCCAGGAACATGACTCATTGCAATTTTCTCGCATCCTATAGATTGTAATTTTCTCCAGTATTGGCACTTTGCTGAAAGGAAGAATACTGCTCAATATTTCTAAAGTATATATATTAGGGCTGTACATAAATAAAGCTGTACCTGTTGCAACTTCGCTTGCAACCAACGGATCCAATATGGAATGTGGATTGACGCACAGACAACACACAAACAGACATTTCATCTTTTTACTCATCTAGAAGGACTCAGTGGGAAGATTTGGCGCTTTAAAAATGTAATTTTGTTGTTGCCACGGCTTAGCTTCGTCTGTGTTCTTTATTTTGTTCCCGCTGCTTGGCTATGTGCGTGCTTTGTGATACTGGATGCCACAGCGCCATGGTCAGCCATGCTTGCGTGCATACATACCTATGTGCTCTGTGACGCATGGTGCCACCAGGTGTAACTGCAGCGAAAAATGCAAAACTGAAAGTAACTCATGAACGATAGGAGATACCTGAAAACAATATGCCCATGCCACTCACAGATACAAGACCTTTTCGATTAATCAATAACTCAATCAGTTATTGAGATCCTTCTTGAAGCGCAGACAAACATTGTCCTTTTATTAGCATATAATATAATATATTATGCTGCCAGGGTATTCAGTCCATAACGACATCCTCTCTATCTGTGACCAGGGCTCCCTCTGCCTTCTCGTCCTCCTGGATCTCTCTGCCGTGTTCAACATAGTTGACCACGCCATCCTCCTCCACCGCATCCACCTTAGAGGGACTGCACTCGCATGGTTCGAGTCATATTTAACCGACCATCTCCATTTCATCTCATCAAATGGTTTCTCCTCCCGCCCCAACCTGGTCACCTGTGGGGTACCCCACAGTACAAGAGTAGGGAAGTCTTGCTGCAACTGTATAGGGCCTTGGTGAGATCGCACCGAGAGTATTGTGTGCAGTTTTGGTCTCCTTATTTAAAAAAGGACATACTTGCCCGAGAGGGGGTGCGGCGTAGATTCACTCGGTTAGTTCCTGGGATGAGGGGACTGACCTATGAGGATAGGCTGAATAAACTGGGGCTGTATTCTCTAGAGTACAGAAGAATTAGGGGAGATCTTATTGAAACATATAAGATTCTTAAAGGGCTGATAAAGTAGACACTGAAGGATTGTTTCCCCCGGTAGGAGAATCTTTAACAAGGGGTCACAGTCCTAAAATTAAGGGTCAGCCTTTTAGAACAGAGTTGAGGAAACATTTCTTCACTCACAGGGTAGTGAATTTATGGAATTCACTACCCCAGAAGGCTGTAGATGCTCAGTCCTTGAACATCTTCAAGGCTGAGACTGATAGATTTTTAAAAAATAGAGGTATTAGGGGATATGGGGATAGGGCAGGTAATCAGAGTTAGGTCTGAAGATCAGCCATGATCTTATCGAATGGCGGGGCAGGCTGGGGCTGAATCGCCTACTCCTGCTCCTAATGCTTACGTTCTTGTGTAATTCAGAAAATATTTATATGGTTTATATATTTAGCAATTTATGTAGTTAGTACTAAAAATGCATTTTTTTTTCTTCCATCAGTCCTCAACGAGCAGTTTGGCTTCCCATGACCAGGTGATGCATTATTTCCATTTAGAGTTCTCAGCTCTAACAATAAGGACATTAACTATTTATACTAAGAAATTATGCAGAGTAGACACTAAGAAGCTTTTCTTCATCCAGCAGACAGGAGATTCCCGTAGAAGTTCTTCTATTCATGCGGAGGTGATGTGTTATTTGCATTTATATTTTCCAGCTTTAAGAGTTCACTTCTTTCTCGTCTATTTCCTTCCAGCCTCTTTTATTTACTCAAACACTGCAGAGACATTAATAATAATAATCCTTGCATTTGATATAGAGTTTTTCACGTCTTTTTGACGTCTCAAAGCGCTTCACAGAATAGACTGTAAAGTGAATTAAATTAAATTAAACACCATGTATGGCTTTTATCCTAAACAATTGTGCAGCACAATACTGGGAGCACTCTCTTATAGACTTGTAAGCATGGCTCTGCGATATGACTGCAAACCAAGTGGTTATTAATATTATCCCGTATTATAGCCTCTAAAGTTTGCCCACTCTGGGTGTTAGATTGACTGGTCTATAATTACTCGGCTTTTTGAACCAAGGCATTAGCTCAGCTACCCTCCAGTCTTCTGACACAGCTTTCGTAAACAACCAAAATATTGCAGTCAGAGCATTTGTTTCCTCCCTGACTTCCCTCGGTGTTCTCGGATGCTGCCATCACGCCCCAGTAACTTGTCCTCTTTGAATCTATCAATTTCTTAAGCACCGCGTCTTTTCTATAGCTCTTCCTTCTAATGGCTGCACATCTTTCTCTTGTACACTAACTACCACTTTCTTCTGTAGAAACTGAGTCAAAATACTCTGGACTCCAAAAGTCAGAAAGTGATTGTGTTCATTAATATAATACAGTGGCAATAATCATTCTGTTTTTTTTCCTGCCAACAGTTTGATTCAGCTACTGTGGTTTCATCTAGACAGGTAACGTGTTATTTACATTTAGAGTTCTGCACCTTTAACAGTTCAATTTTTCCTTCATTTCCTTCTATCTGTTTTGAACTTACCAACTAATTTTCTAGCACTGTCATTATAGCCTTCAATTCCATATGGCTTAGTTTTAGCTAGTACTCTCTTATGTGGCACCTTATGAAATACATTATTCAAATTTATATATCAACCATTGACCCGCCTTTTTTTGTCACCTCTGAAGTTCAGTCAAGAATTTTTAAGTATTGAATTCACAGTTTCCAATATATTCATTTACCGCCATATTTCTAACTATTTCTGACTGATTTGTAAGGAAGTCACATGTGGCCTGCTCCCTTGTAGATTATAAGACAGGCTGCTCCAGAAAACACTTCTATGCATTTAAGAAATGTATTGCCTTTTCTACTTGTACCTCAAAACCTGACAATCTGCGTGCAAGTTAAAACCTCCCATTATCACCACATTATTTTTCTAACAAGTGAACCTAATCTATCTGTGCATATCGTATCCTCCGAACTTTAATTGGTTGCTTAAAAAAACATTGTTTTACATCTCCATTCTAGCTAAAACTAAGCCATATGGAATTGGAGGCTATTATGAAATTACATCATTCCATAGTGTGCAACTTGCACACTCCACCTTAAGGGGCAGCTGGGTCCCTTAAGGAGCAGTGCAAGACTAGTGTAAGACTTTTTATAGATTTAAGTGACCAGCGAGTGATCGTACGATGATGGAGAATGGCGGTGGAGGGAAGCATTAGTGAGGTGTAATATATCCGTGAGCAAAGGTCCAAAGGCTGTGTGTAACGCTCGCAGGAGTCCCCTGTTCCCCCGCCTCTGCCCTGCTCCACTGGTATGTGGATCGCTGGAAGGAGTTAAATATAAAGGTTACAATAAAAGTGCGCAGTGTCTGTCTGCGGACTGGACGTTTCCACTGCAGTAAACTGATAATTCGTCAGGAGTGGCGAGTTTCCTTCAAAATTAAAAAATAATTGGTCATGACTGTTTGTGGGCAATTGGTTGCTGCATTTCGCCCACAATGTATACAGTATATTCTGTGAAGCGCTTTGAGACATCTCGAAGATGTGATAAGGTGCTATAACAATTGCAAGGATTATTACTATCATCTCTTCTAGTTATATCCACAGTGATTCCTTTTGCTTACAAAATTCAAGTAAAGCTTTCCATTCATTAATAATGTCATTTTTCCTCTGAAACTCTTGTACCATTGTACTATATATTCAGCTTCCAATTCTTCCTAAGCTGTCAGCAGGTCTGTGTAAATAGGTGTAACAGCATACCCCTTCAGTTGTATTTATGCTTCTAATTCTCCATTTTATTTGTAATACTCTCAACATTAAGTTTAAGACATCTGATTTGTCTGCGTTCTTCATATAAACTTTCTACATTTGAGTGTTTTGAGATCACTAACTTTAAATGTTCGTTGTCAGAACAAAAAACTGCTTAACATTGCTTGTTCTCATGTGGCTTCACTCTTAATAAGTTATAATCTCCTGCTCCTTTGCAGTCACATGAAGAAATTATTCCTGGAGCAACATTGATGGTAAATGCTGATGTCAATACTGTATTTCAGACTATTTATTGTGCTTTTGTTTGATAATGTGAAGCATTTTGAGATGTCTCAGACATGATAAGGAGCTACATCAATGAAAGGATTATGATATTATTTATTATTATAATTGATCTTGTGAAGTCCTGTAGCTCAGTGGTTAAAGAGCACTCACTTTGCACATGGTACTCCACACAGAGCCTAATAATAATCCCTCCAAAACCAAAAACAATAATAAATTGGTCTTATTTAATCTACGACTGTTTGTGTGTGCAATTGGCTGCCGCGTTCGTGTCCGCGTTTGCCCACAAATATGCAGTCAATTCACTTTACAGTGTGTTCTGTGAAGTGCTTTGGGACGTCCTCCCGACATGAAAAGCATATCAAATGCAAGGATTATTATTATTATTATCTTATCGATCACTAGTGCTAGTATGCATTAACAACTGTCCCATTGTTTATATTTACCATGACTCCTAATCACATCCTGAAGATGGCACATTGGCTTTTTTAATGAGGTCTATGAATGTGAACTCAGCCCAGATCCTGGGTTGAAGTTTTGACCACAACAGTTCTTCTGCATGAAATGGAGCACAATCAGTAACATTTCGGTTTTGTCGTTTCATAAAGTATACAAAACATTGAAGTGATTTGTCAGTAGATGGTTACTATACTCTGTAGAGGTGAGCTGTACTGACTCCCTACCATTCGCATGAATGAGTTTGACTGTCACAGCTCTGTTGTCACATCCCTGTTCAGTTTCATGAGCCTCTGTGTGGGTAGCGTTTTTATTCCAGTGTTCACATGACACTGGAAGAGATCACGAGCAGATGTGAAATACTCTGCTGTGCCAATGACTCTAGTGGTCCAACCAATTCTGGCACAAATCAGAAAAGATGTTTGTTCTCCTGAAACTAAGATGTTTGCTTGTATAATACTGCAGGGTAATGAGCGTGAAAGCTTTAAAAGTGATATCTCCGAAGCCATTGTCGTGCAGGAAACTAATGCCTACGATTCACGCCAAGGACAGTGGTTACGCCGCAGGCGGCTAGATGGCGCCCTCAATAGAGTTCCTGTTGGCTTTTATCAGAAAATTTGGAAAATTTTACAAAAGGTAGGTTATGAGCAACATTTCCCAGTACATTTGTCAAATCTACATTTTTGCTACAAAGAGCTGACCTATTTTGCACAAATTATTTGTTTTTCAGTGCCGTGGGCTGTCCATTGAAGGTGTCATCCTTCCATCCTCGACAACTGAAGAGGTACATTTCTCAGGTTTTTTCTGTACTTTAAGCTTCAACAATTGGCCTCAAAACCCATCACAAAAGAACACCCTCTTGTGACATTTCCAATGACCTGAACAGCTATTATTCTAGTCTCTCAGGGACTGACACAGAGCCAACTAGTTGTAGGAGATTAGCCCAAGGTGATTTCCTCCTTTTTGTGGTTTAATATTTCCAACAAACATTGTAATTGATAGCTGAGATCACCTCTTGCACCTTACTTCTGCTTCTCTTCCCTTTCTCTTTCTCTCTTGCTACCCAAGCTTCACTAGTGTTTATCTATTGTCTAGGTAAACAAATCTATATACTGTAAGTTCAGCAGTAATTTCAAACACAGTTATTCAAACACTGTTTGGAATCATAGAATAATACAGCACAGAAGGAGGCCCATCGTGGCTATGCCAGCTCTTTGAAAAGAACTAGCAAAATCAATCCCTCTCCCCTGCTAGCCTCATAGCCTTGCACACCTCCCCAAATAATTATCTACTTGTCTCTTAAAACTTGTTATCGAATCGGTTTCCACCAGCCTTTCAGGCAATGCATTCCAGATCTGAACAACTTGCTGTGTGAAAACATTTCTCTTCCCCTCCCCTCTGTTTCTGTTAGCAACTATTTTAAATCGGTGTTGTCAGGTTACTCACCCACCAGTGGAAATAGTTTCTCCTTGTTCACCCCATCGAATCCCCTCATAATTTTGAAAACTTCTATTAAGTTTCCTCTTAACCTTCTCTGCTCCAAGGAGAATAATCCTCGCTTCTCTCGCCTCTCCTGATAACTGAATTCCCTCATTCCTGGTACCATCCTGGTCAATTTCCTTTGCACCCTCTCCAATGCCCTGACATCCTTCCTAAAGTGTGGTCTCCAGAACTGAACGCAGTCTGTAGTTGAGACCTAACCAGTGTTTTATAAAGGTTTATCATAACTTCCTGACTTGTATATTCTATGTCCCTATTGAAAAAGCCCAGTATCCTGTATACTTTTTTCACAGCTTTATCTACCTGTCCTGCCACCTTCAAAGATTTCCTTATATGACCCCCAGGTCTCTCTGTTCCTTCACCCCCTTTAAGATTGTACCATCAGCGCATATTGCCTCTCCTCATTCTTCCTCCAAAAATGCATCACTTCACATTTCTCCACATTAAACTTCATCTGCCACCTGTCTGCCCATGTTACCAGTCTCTCTATGCCTATTTGCAGTCTGTTACTATCCTCCTCACTGTTTGCTACTTTTCCTCGCTTAGTATCATCTGCAAACTTGGAAATTGTATTCCCTATACCCAAGTCCAGGTCATTTATGTAGATCAAAAAGAGCGGTGGTCCTGATAATGACCCCTGGGGGCCACCACTGGACACATCCCTCCAGTCAGAAAAGCAACCATTCACCACTACTCTCTGCTTTCTGTCTCCCAGACAGTTCGGTATCCGCTGCCACTGCCTCTTTAATATTGTGGGCTTCTATTTTGCTTACAAGTCTCTTATGTCGCATTTATATTTACTAGAAACTATAAGCAGTGAGACCAATATCTTTATGAATGCATTGACTGTAATACAATGCACCTTAATGTATTCTCTTGTGTCCTGTTTATAAAACTTGTACTGGAAAGACAAATTCAAACCAAATGCTGTGTACAGCGGGTTTCGTGGTTTAATATCATGCAAAGTAGATATTGCAAGGAATATCCGATTTATTCAAATGAATGCATTCTCATTCTTTCTGAGCAGATGACACCTGGTGAAATTAAGTTTGCTGTCCAGGTGGAGACTGTCCTGAACCGGGTGTCACAGCCAGAGTATCGGCAGCTTCTTGTCGAGGCGATCCTGGTCCTCACCTTGCTAGCAGACAAGGATGTAGCTTCCATTGGAGGAATTATTGAAGTTGAACGTATTGTGCATTTAGCAGATGATATATTTTACATGGAACAGGTAAAACACAATTTGTTCTACTTCTAGTATTGTATAGCATGTTAATGGCTGCTAAAGATGGCTGAAGAGCCGTGGGGTAACATCCTTTGCTATTTTTTTCCCAATTTCCTCATCTCCTTTCTTGATGGTGCAGACGCTCGACTTCTAGAATTTCACCTAGTTTTGAACTATAATACCATTCACAAAATACACAGTCAATTCACTTTACAGTTTATTCTGTGAAACAGTTTGAGACGTCTCGAAGACATGATAAAGCGCGATATCAAATGCAAGGATTATTATTATTTGTATTAATAGTTAAGATTGAGCAGAATTGTACAAAATTATTGAAAATTCAGTTTGAACTTGGAAAGTTGGTTTGGTTTACGATGTGCAAAAATCCAGTTTCAGACCTCCAATGTCCGAAATTTCTCTTCGGCTTAAGACTATTGTCTTTAAAATTTCTTAAATTCATTCTTAATTTGTGTACTGTAAAAATCAGCTTCCGAATTAAGACTGAATTTAAGATTGTTTTTCAAAATTTTGCCCAATCTTAAATTTTGTGACAATTGCCATAATCCTAAAAACTTGAGAATTTCATGTTGCTCCATGACATTGATAGCGCTCTGGTTCCTTATCCCTTATGGCCATCCGTTGTGTGAGCCCAGATAGTGTGGGTAGATCTTGTGATTGTGGAGGCAGCATAATTGAGCCTAAACGTGCTCTCACGTGCACTTCCTAGCAGACGTTACTCTGTAGTACTCAGGAAGGAAACCCCTGGCTTCTTTACTTTCCCCTTCCTAGCCTGGGGTCACTAATAGCCAATTGTTTTCCCCACCTGCTCCTCTGTTCAAAATCAGCTAACACAGGACAGGCCATGAACCAAACGTGTGATTGGTGTGGATTAGCGCTGCTTTATGGTAGTGCCTTTACCAAGCTCCCGGGGAGCTGATTGTATTGCTTTCACTCACTAATTTACTCACTGTGGGGATGACCTGGTATCAGACTCTTCCCTCCTTTTCCCTGTCACAGCAGCAGCTTGAGGTGTGGGGGTACATGTATAAAGAGAATTAACATTGTTTATACTCATCCATCTCGGAATTCCTTTTGGATCACAACTCTTACTTGTTGCTACCTCATTACCTTCTTAGAGCACACAACATTTAATGCTGTTTCTCTTTTTTTAGAAAGCCGAGGGTATTGACGAGAAGTTGCTTGTGAAGGATTCTGCCACTGGGATTTGTGAATTGCTGTATGACAGTGCTCCAAGTGGTCGCTTTGGCACCATGACTTACCTGTTGAAGGCCTGTGCAATGTATGTGAAAGAATTCCTGCCCAGCGGTGCATGCTCCCTGCAATAGATTCAAAAAGATCAAGGTGAAACCAGGGACCCCCAGTTCCCTGAAATGTGCTGCTTACAAGAAAATACGAGTGCGGCAATATTCAGCTTTGGAAATGGCTGTTTCCGTGAGCAACTGTGAAGCCCCCTCTCCTAGTCTCTTTATAGATTCAAGTCCATGTTCAGTCACCCACAATTATCGAAGATTGAATGCAGTTTTGCAGAGGATTCCATTTCCCTTATTGGGACATCACTGCTGCTTTTTTTGGGTGCCTTTCATAAACTTGCCCATGGTTTCTTTGTAAGTAGAAAATGGAGCGGATCTGGGCAACACACATTACCTAGTTTTGTATCAATCTTTTTAACGCACCAGCTAAAGTGAGATACACAAGCCTTTTTGCGCTACAGAGAGGATGGTGCGCAGTCTACTATTAATTACCGGGCTGATGGTCATGTTTTCAGATAACTAAAAATATATATTTTCTACACCTTGACTTTTAGAAGCAGTAAGATAATACAGTTCAAACGGTATTTAGTACTGTCTCAGGCTCCCAACTCCAGAGAGGTGAGGGCAAACCTTTTTTTTAATCCGCATGCCATAAGGTGCCCACATAGATGTATCAGATAGTTGCATGCTAATGTCAGGGGGGGAAGAAATATTTTTAAAAAAAGAACTTGTATCACTTGCCTGGAGTTGCAGTAGTGAGGGTGCCTCAATCCTCTCTCTTTCTCTGGCTGATAGTTTTTTATATTCTCGTGTTTTTAATACATACATTTACTGCTGAATCCTACACACCTGTTACAAGCGGTGAATTCCATGAGTGCCTGTTAGGAGGAAGTGCCACTCCTTGGACAGACATTTAGAAGGTGGGACTCAAGGCGGCAGCCTCTCAATGCAGGAAGTGTTGCATTGAAGATTGTGTTTCCAGCATATCATTAGAATTGGCCTTGCATGCTATGCTGTAGCTTCTCTGTTGCTGCCCCAGAGCTTCTTGGCATCACCTGGATTCTAATGTTGCATAAAATCTGGCACCAAGAGCAGATTTACAGAATTGTGTTGGCTTGGCAGAGCCCGGCCTCCTCTCAGGAGCAGATACGAAGAACCTTCCAGACAACAAACTAAACCTCTTGCCTCTTATTTTAAAAAAGGAAAAATAATTTTGTTTGGCCATAAGATATGAGTCATGTCTTGAATATTATTAAGAAGTAAAATTCATTTCAATTTGTTTCAGAAATATGGAGTATAAATATTTTTAATAGTTAAGGGGGAGATAGCCGTTTGTTCATTTTGGCAATTGTTTGTTGCTTTGTTTATTTAACGGATAATTTACTAAGGGGTGAGCCGTTCAGTATGTTAACAAAACGTTATTGTTTGAACAGTGAATTAGTCAGAACAACTTCAAAATGGTTTGTGATTGCAGTTGATCGTTATGCTGCATGACTGCTCCATAAGTGTTGAACAACATAATAGTTACTCTGAGCATTGTGAAAGGGGTACACATTACCTGTGTAATTGGGGGTGAATCTGGGTCACTATTCTGAACTGTGATTATTCAGGTAGGTACAGTCTTTTGTGTTTTGGACCAAACGCGGTCATTCTTCATTGGGTTCAGCACTTTTAAGCAACCTCAAAAAATATTTTGTTAATTGAGTTATGTACATGAAGATCTTTGTTTTGTGGTGCAAGTTATATTTTTTTCTTCAGTCATCTCCTTTCACCTGAACCCAGATACATACGTGATAGATTTCTTGCAGTGCATTTCAGTTTATAGTCAAATGAGTGGTCAATGGCTCCACTGAGAACAAGAACTGTCTCATTTGTGTCTCTCCCATTAAACTAGGTTCACTGCCAGTTATACCAATGCAGGATAATTTATTTACAAGACAAGCATAGTGGTGGTTAGAATCAATACAGGCCATGATACAGACAGGCACTGCCGTAACACTCAGTACAGAATTATTTATCAGGCAATGATACTGCTGGCTTCAATCAGAACAAGGTATGATACAGACAGAGTAATCACTTCTATGCTGCAGTGAATATCCATACTGGTTGCTCCACAGAGGAACGTACATTGTCAGCAGCAAATTCCTGGTGGGCACAAAATGGTGCTAACTGAGCTTCTAATGCCTGAAATATTGGTAGCCTAGGGTTGTGCTCCTACAATCTATTTGTTCCCTATGTAAGGTGCTTACTCCAGAGAATCACTTTAACATGCAGCATACCCGAACTTACATTTATGGAGCCCCCTTCACGCGGGGGTAGTGCCTAGAGCGCTTGGTAATCTGAGTGGTGGTGGAGTTTGGTGAAGATCTTGGTTCCACTGCATTTGCAGGCCAACTGCTGAGAACAGACGCCTGGCTGATGTTAGAAAAATATGATAGCAGATTTTGTGCATGCAATTATTTGAGAAAAGCAGTCAATGGGAAGAAGCAAGAACAAGTGCCATTTTAAGAAAAAAAATCTTGGTAACTGTTGGAGTGTTTTAGCAGAAAGTGACAATTTCTAAGAGTTACTGTGTGGCACTTATCAACTGAAACTTGATGCCTGTCTTCACTGACATAGCTTTTGTAATATCAGGAATTTTGCTAAGTAATAAATATCGGATTGTTACAGTTGGTGTCTATTTTTATTAATCATTGGCATTTCTGGGTCCTTTCCGTCCCAATACTTCCATTATTTCACTTTGAAATGTGTATGGCCATATATCAAATGCAAGAATCCTTATTATTTTTTAAGGGGAACATGTTTATCATTTGGGAACTATGAAATATTGGGGAATGTGAAATATTCCTGCACAAATGGATTATCTTTCCATCTCCATCCCCCAGTGCCTTCGCCGCTTCCTCCCTTTCCTCCTTCAAGGCCGGTCTCAAGACCTTTCTCTTTGGCCTTCAGCCTTCAGCTCCGCTCTCGACTCTCTACCCCTCCTCGCCCCCTCCCTGCCCTCCTCTCACCCTGACCATTCCCCCCCTCCTCGCCCCCTCCCTGCCCTCCCCTCACCCTGACCATTTCCCCCCAATGCTCGGGTCCTGACCCAACTGTACAGCGCCTCGGGACGTCCTCCCGACGTGAAAGGCGCTCTATAAATGCAATCTTGTTGTAGTAGTAGTAGAGGAAACGAGGAGAGAACAGGATTGGGATTAGGATGGATGGCTTCTTGGAGCAGCAAATAGCCACAAGAAAATGGGACACCCATTGTGTTATATATTTCAACAGTTCTATTATTGTCGAACAGAGACCACCTGTTGGGTGATAATTTCTCACTTTTCATCCCTGTCGTTACTTTGAAAGAAACAATGGGAGTGAGATGCGAAATAAACCTTTGCATTTGATATCAGCACTTAAATTGTTGAAATGTCACCAAGTGCTGCACAGTAAAGTAGTTCTGACGAAGGGGCCGTGAACCCGAGACGTTGACTCCCTTTCCCGGCCGCTGCCGCCTGACCTCTGCCGCGTGCGCCGCCGCCGCCGCCACCACCGCCGCCTCTCTCTTTGTTACAAGTCGTTAGTGTCGGAAGTGTCATTTGCAGATGCACTCGTGCAGCCAATGTGTACACAGCAATGCCCCACAAATACCTCCCTCCCCCCCCTCCCTCCACCCCCTCCCCCACCGCCCGCTGACCCCAGCGCCGTCCAGCGCCTCGGGACGTCCTCCTCCCGACGCGAAAGGTTAATCTTGTTGGTGCGGCCAAACGGTTGGGTCGGGGGGTCGGGTCGGGTCGGGGGGTCGCTGACCGGACCACCGCGAGAGATCAGACAGGGGGTCCCGGGTTGGGGGGGTGGGGGTGAGGGGGAGTGCGGTGACCCCCCAGGACCAAGCAATTAAAAATCACAACCACAGCCCCAACTTCCACCAAAAGTAGCCCAACGTCCTGGTCTGTGCTGTGTATAGAGAGCGTTAATATATATTTAAACGGACACCGCCCAAAGCCTTCCCCCCGCCCACCGCACAGCGAAACCCGCACACACCGCCCAAAGCCTTCCCCCCGCCCACCGCACAGCGAAACCCCGCACACACCGCCCAAAGCCTTCCCCCCGCCCACCGCACAGCGAAACCCCGCACACACCGCCCAAAGCCTTCCCCCCGCCCACCGCACAGCGAAACCCCGCTGTGCGGGGTTTCGCTGTGCGGTGGGCGGGGGGAAGGCTTTGGGCGGCAAACCGCCCGGACACCGCCACCGGAAGCGCCGCCGCCCGGACGCCACCAGCGGGTGCACCGCCCGGACACCACCACCGGAAGCGCCGCCCGGACACCGCCACCGGAAGCGCCGCCGCCCGGACGCCGCCAGCGGGTGCACCGCGCGGGCCGCCATGCAGCCCGGACCGGTCGCAGACTCGGGGGAACCCGTCGCCGCCGCCGCCGCCGCCGCCGCCACCGCCACCGCCTACATCTACGCCCCGGAGTACATCGAGAAATGCGACTCCCTGTCCAAGGTCACCAAACGGGTGAGAGGCTGTCGGCCCCGGGGGGGGGGAGGGCGGGGGGGGGGGAGAGGGGCTGTGTCTGCCCCGGGGGGGGGGGGAGGGGCTGTGTCTGCCCCCGGGGGGGGGGGGGAGGGGCTGTGTCTGTCCCGGGGGGGAGGGGCTGTGTCTGCCCCAGGGGGGGGGGAGGGGCTGTGTCTGCCCCCGGGGGGGGGGGGGGGAGGGGCTGTGTCTGCCCCGGGGGGGGGGGGGCTGTGTCTGCCCCGGGTGGGGGGGGGGGGGGCTGTGTCTGCCCCGGGGAGGGGCTGTGTCTGCCCCGGGTGGGGGGGTGGGGCTGTGTCTGCCCCGGGGGGGGGGAGGGGCTGTGTCTGCCCCGGGGGGGGAGGGGCTGTGTCTGCCCCGGGGCGGGGGGGGGGCTGTGTCTGCCCCGGGGGGGGGAGGGGCTGTGTCTGCCCCGGGGGGGGGAGGGGCTGTGTCTGCCCCGGGTGGGGGGGGGGGGCTGTGTCTGCCCCGGGGGGGGGGAGGGGGGGGCTGTGTCTGCCCCGGGGTGGGGGAGGGGGGGGCTGTGTCTGCCCCGGGGGGGGGGGGGGGGGCTGTGTCTGCCCCGGGGGGGGGGGGGGGGGGCTGTGTCTACCCCGGGGGGCGGGGGGAGGGGCTGTGTCTGCCCCGGGGGGGCAAAGCCCACCTAACACTAACCCCTGTGTCGCCCCCTTTCTGAGTGGCATTTTCACAGCTTTTGAAACTGTAAGAAAAGTCTTCACAGAAGTCTTTATTAAAGGAGGAAACCGCCCAAAGCCACAGGACAACAACAAGACCCCTCCTCCCCCGATGGGCGTCAACCCGCCCAATCCTGCTGGTAGGAGCCGAGAGAGCTCTACCCGACCCTCACCCACTCCTGCCATCACCCCGTGGGCACTGCCCCACATCAGGTCCAGCCATCTCCTGGCGCTAAACATTCAGAACCATAACTTTGTGGAGTCCTGTAGCTCAGTGGTTAGAGCACTCGCTTTGCAAGTGAGAGACCTGAGTTCAATTCCAGGCAGAGGGCGAAACCTTGGGCAAGTTTCCTTACTCCACACAGAGCCTAATAATAATCCTCCAAAACCACAAACAATAATAAATTGGTCATTTTCAATCTACGACTGTTTGTGGTACATTGCTGTGTGCAATTGGCTGCCGCGTTCGCCCACAAATATACAGTCAATTCACTTTACAGTGTGTTCTGTGAAGCGCTTTGGGACGTCCTCCCGACGTGAAAAGCGCTATATCAAATGCAAGGATTATTATTATAACAATTTACAGCACAGAAGAAACCCCTTCAGCCCATTGTGTCCACGTCAGCTCACTCAAACGCAATCCTTTCAGTCCCACTTACCCCCCTTTCCCTCCATACCCCTGTAGCTCCTATTGTTAAACTGTTCTGTTTCCCTCTTGAAGGTCAATATGGATTTTGTCTCAAACACCGCTTCTGACAGACGTTCCATATCCTGAACTCTGTATCTGAAAAAAAAATCTCATTTTCCCATTTTCTCATTCACTAACTATCTTAGCAATTCCCCGTCAGGATGAAATGTTGGGCAAGTTTCCTTACTCCACACGCCTGGGTTTATTTTGCCGTAAGTAGGAATCCGGTTGGTGGTCGATTTGCGGATCGCGTTTCCGGGGTAATGATTCCTTCAAAAAAAATTGGTCACTTCATTACCACGACAGTTTGTGGGACGCTGCTGTGCTCAATTGGCTGCCGCATTTCACCCATAAAATATACAGTCAATTCACTTTGCAGTGTATTCTGAGAACCACTTTGAGATGTCTCGATGTGATGAAGCGCTATAACAAATGCAAGGATTATTATTATCTTAAATTGATGCCCTCTAGTGCTGTCTCATTGACCAGTGGAAATAATTTCTTTCTATTTACTCTTATCAAACCCCTAGTAATTTTAAAGACCTCTATCAGGTCACCTCTCAAGAGACAAAATCCCAGTTCCTTCAGTCTTTTCTCATAGGCCAAATCACTCATCCTTGGTATCATCCTAGTAAACCTCCTCAGGACCTTCTCTATCACCTTAACATCTTTCCTAAAGTGAGGTGACCAATACCGGACACAATATTCTAACTGCGGTCTAACTAATGTTTTATATAAGTTTGGCATTACTCTTTCCTTTCATATCTTATACCCCTATTTATAAAACCTAAGATTTCATTAGTTCTTTTGACAGCTTTGTCCAGTGTATCCTGTGAAGTGTTTTGAGATGTCTCGACGTGATAAGATGCTATATCAAATGTAAGGATTATTATTATATTAGAATTAGACTTTTAGACTAACATTTTTAGCACTTTTACCTATTCCACCTCAGTCCCCAGAGAGACGCAGCTAAAGTCTAACCTTCTTTGTGTAAAGAAAACAGTTGAGGTCTCTTCCCTTTCCCCGCCCACCGGGAGGTCCGAGGGCCTCACTGTGCTGCTGGTTGGCTGCCTGAGTAGCCTGAAACCAGGTGAAACGAACATGCTTTCTAATTGTATTATTGTTCATAAATGTCCTCTCTTTTCACTTGCCCTATCACAACAGATAAGGGAGTGTGAGTCAGTGTTCTCAGGGGTCGCAGGCACAATCCCATGCTGCATTGACAGCCCTATAAAAAATAATAATCCTTGCAGTTGATATAGTGCTTTCCATGTCTTCTAGATGTCACAAAGTGCTTCACAGAATATACTGTAAAGTGAATTGACTTTTTTTTGTGGGCGAAACGCAGCAGCCAATTGCGCGCAGCAGCCCTGCATCATAGTGTTACCTTGTCACGTTCCCTGACTAATCCGTGCTCTCTCTCTCCCTCAGGCCAGTATGGTGCATTCTCTGATTGCCTCTTACGGATTGCTGAAGTACATGAGGTAAAGTACCCTGAAAATAACTTTGTAAGCATTGGGCTTTGTCTTCATTTCTATTCTGTTAAACAATAGAAAGGACTGTTTATGGGAAGCTTCCATCTCTACATTAAACCTTAGTTTTATGAAGCGCTTTGAGATCATCTCTCTATGTGAAAGAACAACTTGCATTTATATAGCGCCCCTCACACAGTGTAGCGTCCCAGAGCACTTTTTTAAAAAAATTGAAAGGCCCTATATAAATTTAAAATTGTTGTTTTATTACATCAGAGGCTTTAATGGTGCATCAGGATACAGAACTCTCTTAAATTCCATCTTCATTTGGAGGCTGTTCTGCTTAAGAATTGTGGAAAAGCAATTTCCAAATTTAGATTGAATGTCAGAATTGACCACAATTCTGGTTTAAACAATAAAAGAAGCCCAAACCCTCTATTCAGGTTGACACTGAGTGCCGGATCAAACTGGGATCAGGGAGTTTCTTTCCTTCCTCTGTTCTGAGGTCAGTGACTTTTAGCCTCTTTAGCCAAATAACAGCAGTGTCGATGTGAAATGAATGAATGAAAAGCTTTTGTAGACTGTAGATAAGGAGATCAGCAAACCTGTATCTCTCTGCCCCCCCCTCCACCCCCACTCACAATTCATATTTATCTTTGTTTCAATGATTTAAAAATTGTTTTGAGGAGACCCAGTGGAATATTTTCTCCTTTAGCTTCCTGATGTCACAAGTGTCACTGTGTGTAAATCTGATTCTGCCTCTTGGTTTGGGACAGGGCATTGCTGATCTAAATCATTGCTTGCGACAACGGTAATCCTGAATTTGTCCCAATGAGTGTTTGCTGATCTCTGGGTAAGCAGCAAGCTAAACTTTCTGTCATTTCCGGTCAGTGTTACATTTTACACTTTCTAGATGGCTCAAAGTTCCTTTTTGTGTATTTTTCAAATCTCTTTCTTTCTCACTGGCACCAATGCTAGCGTTAGAAATAGTTGTATTGGTTCAAGCATTCATATCCTGCCTTTGTGCTGCCAGATTCAGGTGAAGAATCTCTGCTGTTTCCCACAGGCTGGTGAAACCCCGAGTGGCTTCCATGGCGGAGATGGCCATGTTTCACACGGACGCTTACCTGGAACATCTGCGGAAAATCAGTGAAGACGGCGATGATGACAATCCCGAATCCTTGGAGTACGGACTGGGTGAGAGTGCGGCTGCTCACTTTCCTTTATTCATCATCATATGTTTCTCAACATGAGGGAATGTCAGCGCTGAGCAGCGTAACACTTTATCCATCGTCGGTAATAGCACTGGTTAGACACACAGTAAAGCTCCCTCTACAGTGTCCTTCCACACTCCCAAGTCAGTGACAGCGCAGGTTAGATACAGAGTAAAGCTCTCTCTGTACTGTCCGTCCACACTCCCAAGTCAGTCTCTTGCCTCTGAGTCAGAAGGTTGTGGTTTTAAGCCCCAGGTCGGGACTTTAAACACAGTCAAAGCTGACACTCCAATGCTGCAGAAGAGCTACATTGGTTTGCCTGTTCAGGTGAGTGTTGCTTTATAGTAAAATTCTATGAATTGAGATGTGAAAGGTTATATCAAATGCAAGGATTCTTATTGAGGTACGGCAACACCATCAATAGCTTGCATTTATATAGAGCCCCTCACATCATGCGGGTTAGTGATTCGGAGAGCTTAGCACAGTTAGATACAGAGTAAAGCTTCACCTACAGAGTCCAATTCAGTACTCCCAGATCAGATGTGTGCTGTTGGACCAGTATGTCTCCCCCCTAAGCATATGTCAGTCAGGAAGCTTGATGCCAATACAGAGAGAGATCAGAAAGTGCTGTTTCCCCAGTCCAGTGTGTAGCTTGGGTCACAGAGATAAGAAAATATTTTGAGCTCACACGCCTCCCTTGTAAGTGTGGTTTCACAAGCGTATTAAACCACCTTGGAGTTTAAGAATATACGTGTTGACGATCAAATCGCCACTGAGCACATGCACTGTGCTGAAGAGATTTCCCAATGGGGCGCTGCTCAGGGATGTGTGCACTACTGATGGGAACCAGCCGGTGGCATCAGATCTCCAGGACAAACCTATTCCGCAGCACTGAAGGCAGAAACCTCACAGATCAGTCCATCCTCACTCAGCTTCAGATCAAAGTGAACTCCCCACCTGTGGAAGACTGAACAGTCTGTGCTGAGCAGAGGCGCCGACTGGGGCTGAACTGTCCCCAGCAAAACCCAAATACGAATATCTCTTCACTTTGCAGTCCCCTCTCCTGTCCCCCCCCCCACCCCCTCCTCCCGCCCCCGTGAACTAGCACAGAACACGGGTTGTGTGTGCAGAGCAGGTTTATAATGTGAGGAGCAGAGATATGTTGGCTCCGTCTGCTACTGGTATAACGGCTCTATTGTACTGCTCCACAGAGAGCAGGGTGCTGGGTCATGCCTGAGATTCCTCACACAGTGAGCTCTTCGTGTCTTGAGACAGAGAGAGAGAGAGAGAAAGAGAGCGTGTGAGTCCAGTGGGGGTGTTGCAGGGGAGAAACTGACCATTGGGGTAGACAATGAGGAGACGTCTAGCATTTCAGAAAAAGGGGTGGATTGCATATGATTGTCCCCAAGTCACTCCATTCGCCGGCAGGGCAAAATGTTGGGCAAGTTTCCTTTACACGCCTCTGTTTACCGAGGAGTAAGTAGGAATCTGGTTGTTAGTTGATTGGCGGATCGCTTTTCCAGGGGTAATAATTCCTTCAAAAAAATGTTTTAGTATTAAAATAGATATTATTATAATATTATATTATTGTCATTATTATAATTATTATAATAAATTATTATTATTACTATTATCCCACGACTGGTCCCACTCCATCATGGAGGAATGTGAGCTCATAGAACTCTCATTCTCTTTCACTTAAACCTGATCTGACAAAGGACCTTCTGTGGGATTCTCAACAGCCTATATTGGAAAGAGGCAACAGACAACCGTATCGGGTACTTGTGCCCGGGTAAGATTCCCACTGCTCCCTCTATCCCAATTGGCCTTTGAGAAATGCTCTCTCCGTTGCTCTCTGTGTACAGGAGACCACATCTCCAATGCATGGGAACCAGCCCTGAACTCTGGTGTTTACAACTAGATAGATTGATTTGAAGTGTGGGGTGTTGGGGTGGGGGGGGAAATCTGTGTTTGTGTGTGGTGGGGGGTTAGGGTTAGAGTTAGTGTCTGGATATAAAGCCATAGTATCCAGTTACTCTAACACATTCATGCACTCTTTGGCCGGATGCGCAAGATGAGATGATGTGCTTGTTTGGTTTTGGAAAGCCTGACGGGACCCACCGGGACATCAGACCACAACCCTCTCTTCTCCCACGTCTAGTGCCCAATTGAATAATCCAGTCGTTCAGGATAACCGCCAGCCAGGAAACATCCAGCCCTGCATCCTCCCGCCCACCCTCTCCGCATTGTTCTAATAATAGCAGTTTGTGATGTGAAGACAGTAGCTCCTGTTAACAGAGTTGATTCCTGGCTGTTTAATAATAATAATAATCCTTGCATTTGATATAGCGTCTCATCACGTCGTTGAGACATCTCAAAGCGCTTCGCACAATATACTTTAAAGTGAATTGACTGTTTATTTTGTGAGCGAAATCACAGCAGGTTGGGTTGTAAAGCTGCTTTCATCGACCCCATTCTGTTTTTCTTTCCGAATATTTTCTTATCCGTTTCTACGCAACCCCCCTCCTGTACCGCCGATAATTCTACCACGTCCACTTTAGTTTTACATTCCCACTGCAAAGTCCGGGAGTCAGGAGGTTATAAGACATTTAACCCCTCGTGCACTGTGGCCTGAAGTCCAAAGGGGCTCTTTTATCGATTTTTTTCTCTCTTGCTAATATCCTACATTCCCCTTCCTGCCCTGAAGGGCTTAGATTATTTTTTCCTTCAGTGGCACCCTGTGCATTCCCCCAAGTTTCCATTCTTCATTTATGAGCCTTGACGGTTAATCTGAACAGGTTATTTACCTGTGGGTGGATTGGGGAAGTTGAGCCCAATCTGGCACTAACACAAATATTTACAGCAATTGGCACTGTTTAGTGCTCAGAATTTTTCCCTTCCTGAATCCAGAGCATATTTTTATCTCCAGCTGAGACCAGCTAACTCAGCACTAACTCAGTGTTGGAACCCTGAGTCTGTGGCTCAGTGCTGACAGCTCTTTAATGCCTGTGTGCTTCGTATAAAAATAAAAGTCCTTGTATTTGATATAGCGCTTTATCACGTGTTTGAGACATCTCAAAGTGCTTCACTGAATATACTGTTAAGTGAATTGACTGTGTATTTGTGGGCGAAACCCGGTAGACAATTGTGCACAGCAATGTCCCACAAATAGTCATGAATTGAGTGGGGGGAGGGATTACCCTAAGATCACCTCATAGCGTTGTAGCTTTGATCAGTACAAGGTGTGTGCGGAGGAAGGCCTGTTGTTACTGAACTTCAGAACACCAGTGTGCACATGGACTATGTGTGGGAACTTACTCCTCCACTGTACATTAGTTCCCAGCAGTAGACTTGGGAATGGTGCCTCCGGCAAAGAGGGAATTATCCATGTCCACGCAACGCTAGTGAAAATAAGTTTTATCATGTGAAGTTGGACCCAGATAAACATCAAGGCTACTCCTGTGGTCACAGACTAATCCATTTTTCGATAGGAACAATAAACATCAGAGACGTCGAGTAACTCTACTCCATCACAGTCTCCTGAATTAAAGTGGGACTAAACATAGGCACCAAATGCAGATGTATTGCTCCTAATGGGGTTATTCTGCTATGTCGGACCTTCAGCCTTTCTGCCCCATCCTTTGGAACTCCACCTCACAGGTCCTTCACCTCGCCCCCTCCCTTGCCTCCTTCAAGACTCATCTCAAGACACCCTTCTTCGATCGCGCTCTGTTCAGCCTCCCACCTCCACCCCTCCTGGTCCAAACCCCAGCTCAGGTGCACATCCTTGACAGTCCAGCACCTTGGGATATCATCCCGAAGTGAAAGGCACTGTGTAAATGTAATATTTTATTGTTGTTTTAATTGTTGACTGATTTCTCCCCATCTCTGCCATCTCCAGGCTATGACTGTCCTGCTATCGAGGGAGTGTTTGACTTTGCTGCTGCAGTAGCCGGGGCCTCTCTCACTGCCGCTCAGTGCCTGATTGATAAAACCTGCCAAGTTGCCATAAACTGGCCTGGAGGCTGGCATCACGCAAAGAAGTAAGTGCCTTCCCCCACCCCTGGCAGTGCTCCTGAGGACCTCACTCAAGAAAGGCTACGTATGAGACACTGGCTGTTCATTACTAGTTTACAATGGGAAATCCAATTGCAAACGTGTGACAAAAAGATTGTTGGTGTTAGTAATCCTTGCGTGACCGACCTCGCTGTGCGTGCGATTCTCAGCCTTTCAAAAAGGCCTCGAGTAAAGTAATATAAATATAATTCTTACATTTGATACAGCGGTCGAAGGGACCTGCCCTGAAGGAGGCAAGGGCGGGAGAGAGGCGAAGGGATTGTAGGATGGAGTTCCAATGGGTGGAGGCAGAAAGGCTGAAGGCCCGACCACCGATGGTGGGGCGGGGAATGTGGAGCGGCCGGAGCCTGCTGAGCGGAGGGAGCTGACAGGTTGATATGGGTTTAGCAGCTCGCAGAGCTAGAGAGAGGAGCAAGGCCATGGAGAGCTTTGAAGGCAAGGGCGAGGATTTTGAACTCTATCCTCTGGGGTATGGGGAGCTAGTGGAGCCGTGCAAGGATGGGGGTGATAGCGTCACGGAGCACAGTGTTCAAAGAGAGCTCCAAGACCTTTCCACTGTCCAGCTTAATAATATTGCATGATAATCTTAAAGCGGCAAAATTCCGACTGACATGAAACATTGAGAAGAGTCGAGCCTTTTATTCCAAAAAGCTTTACATGAGTTAAGTTAGGTCGCAGACAGTGTGCCTGCTCTCACGTTATCTGGCACCTGTTTTTATTTATTTGTTTTGGGCAGCCCTGGGGGCACTCGTCCTTGGGCGGGCAGCTGGTTTGCATTTCAGCGGTCCTCACTCAGACAGCTGGTCCGCTGGAGAAGGGGACATTTTATGTTGTTTTCAGCCAGTGTCCAAATCCCTGAACAGGAGAGGCCAGAGAGGGGTTGGGCAGATAGAGAGAGAGAGGCACACACATGCACACACACACAAAGGGAGAATAGCCAGGCAGATAGTGAGACTCATCCACAAGGCAGGGTGGGGGCTGGGAGCTGAGAGAGGCTGGCAGATTGAGAGACGTGACGTACTTATCAAACGAGAGGAATGAAGAATGAGGAGTCAGACCCACAAACTCTGATAATCAGGCAGATCAGTAAATGTGTGGACAGAATGAGTCGGGCAGACTGGAGCGTGGTGGTGGGGGGAGAGAACCTTAGGATATAATAAAGTGGTAGAAAATCTGAGTGTGATCTCTGAAGAGACCTGTGAATCAGAGAGAGAGTAGCTCGGTGGGGGCTTGGAAAATTAAGTGACCTGCAGACTGGAGATAGCCCTGGCAGATGATAGACCAGTAGATTGAGCGAATGAGGCAAGATAAGCACAGGCCACATTAGGAAACACTTAAATAAAGAGCATTTTAATGATACATAATGGTACAAAGTGCTTCACAGCAATTACTGTCAGCCTGGCTCAGCACTTTCACCTCTGAGTCAGAAGATTGTGGATTCAAACCCCACAGTGGGGCTTTGAGCTCACAGAGCAGGCTGATACTCTTGAGTACAGTGCTGGGGGATCACTTCATTGTCAGAGGTAGCGTCTTTCCGATGAGATTTTAAACCCGTTCAGGCAAATGTTAAAGATCCAGCACTATTCAAAAAGAGAAATATTTCCTGGTGTCCCCCAGATATTGATGTGTACAAATAGGCTGCTACTACCTCCTCTTCGAGCGTGCCTTTGGTCAGCCTCCTATCCCTAGCCTCCCTGCCCTCTACCCCTCCTGATCCCAACCCCCTGCTCGAGGCAAAATCCCTGACTATCCAACATCTTGGGATGTACTCCTGACGGGAAAGGCGCTGTACAAATGTAATTTGTTGTGGTGTTCGCCTTCATTGCACTTTACAGTAAAATCTTTAAAACCACTTAAGACATCGCAACGAGGTGAAAGGCACTATATTATGTACTAGGATTATTCTTACGCTACTCTCTAATGTAGTGACTGCTTTTGTACAGAAACGGAGCAGCCACACACATACACCTCTTTTGTCCCCCTGAGAGTGAGCTGAAACTCTCCATGAACAATTGCCTCGAACAAACTACAAAACAGTCACTGCTTGCCAGTTATTACTGTAAACCAGTGTAAGATTTTAGGACATGAGTAGACACTGTATATTTCTACAGTGTATCCTGTGAAGCACTTTGAGACATTTCAATGATGTGATAAGGCGCTACATGCAAGGATTGTTATTATTATCTTTCCCCTCCTCACGACTCCTACCTCCAGCTCAGGTAGGATCGTTAAGCCTCGGGACGTCCTTCCAATGTGAAAGGCGCCGTATAGGTGTAAATTTATACTGTATCATACTGAAGTCTACACTTAATTGATTTCTCTGAGTTGTGAGGAGGTGAGAGATTTGTCGATCTGGTTAACATTCTGCCTTCTATTTTCTGAGTTCACGTAGCCACTAAACATCGTTAAGAGACATGTTCTGGGCAGGTCTGATGAACTTTGTGGAGTTACATGGAAATAAATCCATCAGCTCCTCTCATCATTGCCACTGAGGCAGCACTTTATCGCTGTTGTCGACTTCGAGACCGAGGCTTCGTACTGAGACCAGAGTTTGTCGGTGACTCTGAAGTCTGCTGTAAAAGTGTCGCTTGTGCTGGGAAAGGGGAGAGACCTTCTTCCACAGTGAAGCTACCGCTAGGGTTAATGTTTTACTTGGTGCACCCCAGGTTGGGTGCAAGTAGCACAAGAGATAGACGTCTAGGTTTGGAGTGATTATGGGATTACCCAGGGCATTACCCCAGCCTCTCCTAGAGAAGGTGACAAATACAAATTTACATTTATATAGAGCCTTTCACGTCAGGAGCACGTGCCAAGGCACTCGGCAATCCTGTCTTGATAATCCAAATAATAATTTGATATAGCGCCTTATCACATCATTAAGATAATAATATTAATCCTTGCATTTGATATATGGGACGTCCCAAAGCGCTTCACAGAACACACTGTAAAGTGAATTGACTGTATATTTGTGGGCGAACGCGGCAGCCAATTGCGCACAGCAATGTCCCACAAACAGTTGTAGATCGAAAATGACCAATTTATTATTGTTTTTGGTTTTGGAGGATTATTATTAGGCTCTGTGTGGAGTAAGGAAACTTGCCCGAGGTTTCGCCCTCTGCCTGGATTGAACTCAGGTCTCTCACTTGCAAAGCGAGTGCTCTAACCACTGAGCTACAGGACTCCACATGTTTCAAATATATTATAAAAGTGGATTGACTCTGAGCGAAACGATGCAGCCAATTGCACACAGCAGCGTCCCACAAACAGTCGTGGATTGAGTAACTTTTTTTTGGAATTATATATATTAATTTGAAGGGATTATTATCCCCGGAAAGGGATCCACCAATCAACTAACAACCGGGTTCCTAGTTACTGGGTAAACAGAGGTGTGTGGAGTAACAAAATTTGCCTAAGGTTTTGCCTTGGCTGGGAATCGAACCCAGAATCTTTTACTAACAGGCGAGTGCACTAACCACTATATTACGGGACTCCTAACAAGGAACACACATTCATATGGCGCTTTTCACTTAAATGTAATGTATTGAAGAGCTTCACAGAATGAGATGAATCATAACTAGCGTTAATGTGTTATTGTCATAACGTTAATTAATGTTTAAGAGCTCGAGACGCCACCTCATGTAAAGGGCACAATTTAAATGCAAGTTGTTGTTGAGTGGGGAGGCGTTGGGCAAGAAGTGGCCCCACTTAGCCATACAGCAGCTCAGCTCTTGCGAACACTGAGCCGCAGAGTTGATTCACTTAACAATGGAGGAGTCCGATGCCAAGCCGGGGAGAGGGAGGAGGTGACCGTAACAGCAACATCCCACACACTGACGAGCCAATTAACTAGAATTTGGGGGGTTAATTAGGATGAGGAGGGAATATTACTCTGGAGAAAATCTTTGGAAAAGGGAGAATCCCTTCACATTCACCTGAATTACAAGGCAGTTGGGACCAAAATGAATGACTGAGTCGTAAAAAGGGATGGTGATCTGGAAATAATTAAGCAAACAAGCAATAAGTTTGGATATAATACAGATTGTGGCTGCGCAGGCAAACTGGGCCAGCAATCTCTACGGTCAACAATGAGATGAGAAGTGAAATAATATTAATAATAACCCTTGCATTTGATATAATCACATCTTCGAGACGTCTCAAAGCGCTTCACGGGATATACTGTAAAGTGAATGGACTGTATATTTTATGGGCAAAACGCAGCAGCCAATTACGCACAGCAGCGTCCCACATAACAGTCGTGGATTGAAGTGACCAATTTTTTTTTGAAGGAGTTCTTACCCCCGGAAAAGCGATCTGCCAATCGACTAACAACCGGGTTCCTACTTACTGCTAGGTAAACAGGCATTTGGATTAAGGAAACTTGCCTAAGGTTTCGTCCTGTTCAGGAATCGAACCCGGGTCCTCTCGCTTGCAAGGCAAGTGCTCTAACGACTGAGCTACAGGAAATGAGCAGAAATGTCAGGGTACCGTTCTCCCCTCGCTTCCTGCTCCTCAGTTCCTTTGGAAACAGATCTCTCACCAAGTGCTGATATTTCTCAGATATTTTCCCTTTAATCTCAACGGGACCCACTCACTTGTGTGGAAACACCCTGAAAAAAGCTGCATCACTTCAAGGGCCTTCTCTTCGACCGCACATTCAGTCACCCTCCTACCCCCACCCTCCCCACCCTCCACCCCTCCTGATCCCAACCCTCAGCTCAGGTGCAAATCCTTGACTGTCCAGCACCTTGGGACATCTCCCGATGTGAGAGGCGCTGTGTAAATATAATTTCCTATTATTGTTATCACACCTAATCTTTTCTGGTGTTCACCACAGGGACGAAGCCTCTGGCTTCTGCTACTTGAACGACGCTGTCCTGGGCATCTTGAAGCTCCGCGAGAAGTTTGACCGAGTTCTGTACGTGGATCTGGACCTGCACCATGGCGATGGTAAGCCTGAGGTTGTCCGGGGGAGAGGGTGGGCGAGAACTGGCCCCACTGTAGTCATACAGCAGCTCAGTTCTCACTAACACTGAGCCGCAGAACTCTCCAGTAGCCTGGTTGGCTGATCTCAGATGCAGCTTCGATTGGCCCCGGTGTTAGGGAAGAGCAAATCAACAACAACTTGTATTTATGTAGTGCCCTTCACTTAACAATGGCGGAGTCCGACACCAAGTCAGGGAGAGGAAGGATGTGACCTTAGGCACGATCGAAGAGGAAGGTCTTAAGTTATTGTCTGAAAATGGGGAATGAGGGGGCAAGACGGAAGGGTTGAGGGAGAGAGTTCCAGAGTTTCGGGGTCTTGCAGCTGAAAGCACGGCCGGCTATGTGGAGTAGAGGACAAGCTGGGGGCAGCTGAGCAGAGGCGACAGGTTCTGGATTGGGAAAGAAACAGATCGAAGAGGTAGGGAGGTGCCAGGGCGTGAAGGGATTTATAGACGAGCGTGAGAATTTTGAAGTCCCATCCATGCTGTGTGCCAGTGGAGCCTGGTGAGGACTGAGGTGATGGGGGTGGAGAGGAGAGTTTAGCGTGGGTGAGAAAATGGGCGGCAGAGTTTTGGAGCAGTTGGATTTTGTGGACAGTGGAGTTGGGGAGACCAGCGAGGAGGGCATTGGAATAGTCGTGGTGGGAGGTGACAAAGAAACCTCCCTTCAACAAGGTTCTCACCCCAGAGGGTCTTGTGAACTTCACCTTACAAACATGGTCTGAAGAAAGTGTCTTAATTTGAGATTGTGCAGAACAAAAGACACAGTCGTTCCGCTTTACGATATTTTGAAGCACTTTGAGATGTCTGAATGAAATGATCCTTGCTATATCAACTTCAAGGATTATTTATTTACGTGTTTATTTATTTGGGGTTTCCTGCAGTTTTTTTTGAAAGCCAGCTTTGAAATGTAGGCCGACACGACAATCTTCCAAAATTCTGTACTATCTTTCATTTGAAGACAGTGATCAGCCAGGGTTCCTGTTGCTGATGGCTATTCAGTGGTGCTGGGGTTGGGGGGGGGTGTGAATGAGGACAGAGTTAATACTCTGCACTGATGGAGGGAGGAGATTCTGCCAACCTCAGCCTCGCACTGAGAATGGCTGAGATTCAGGAAAACTCTCATACCATCTCCTCAGTCAGGGCAGTTTTTCTATTGGAAAGTCGTTGAGACAAAAAAAAACATTTTCTCAGTATTGTCTGTGTTCCTGTCCCCCTCTCGCCCCCCCACCCCACCGCCCTAAGCTCAGCGCAACCTCAGAACTGCTCGGAAAGGTTTCATGGAAAGAGACACAGACCTCGAGATGACACCCCGATAGCGTGCTCGCTGCTGTTTTTTTTTAATTTGTTTTTTTCCAAACTGCACTGGCAAGAGTTCCTAACAAGGTTCTGGCTGGGTGGCCATCTGTTAGTGCTCCGGAAAATCAAAGGGTTTTATGAAGTAATTTACTGGTAAAAGTAACTTTAAAGGCGTAGTTTGCCTGTGAGATCAGCGCAGTGATTTACAGCAGGCGGACGGGTTTATCAAGCCTGCCCCAGCACACCTGGGCCCTATTAGTGGGATTCATGCCTCATGCTTTCCATGCACAGAACAAGATGGTGGCTAATGAGCGCTCACTCTCATTTCCCAACAAACAAATGATTATACCAAGCGTCTCACTGTTTGCTTGTGTGTTGGAGTTTAGGGGTGTGGAACGCTTTAACTGGCGTGTGGTCGTTTGGAATTTGTTGAGGAATTTTGAGCTTTATTGTAGGAGTTTCCATATGTATGTGACCTGCTTGAAACAAACTCTCAATCTGGTTTGGATACTTCTAAACATGGTGGTGCGTTTTTTGCTTAAGTCAGACGCCCGGCTGAACCCCCAAAAATGGGTGTGTTAATAGTTTAAAGGTGTGTAACAGTTTAAATATGTGCAACGGTTTAAGTATGTGTAATGATTTAGGGGGTCACTAACAGTTTATGGGCACACACACACTGGATATCAAATGGGAGCAGGAAGCCTGGCTTCTTTTTTTTTGCACCTAACCAGGAGCATTGAGACCCATTGTGGTACGCTGACTGAGATCAACTCACCCAGCTCACACAGGCCTGCTTCATGTCCCCATGTTTGTTTCTGGTAAACTTTGAGGGCTGGAGGAACAAACACATTGGATAGCAGACAGGTGGATATTAAAGATCCCACGGTACAGTTGTAAAGAGAAGGGAGTTTCTCCTAGTGGAGAATCCCTCGGGTGAATTAGTCATTGACGTTATGGCTGTTAATAATAATAATAATAATCCTTGCATTTGATATAGCGCCTTGTTCAGACGTCTCAAAGCACTTCGCAGAATATACCGTAAAGTGAATTGACTTTACTTTGCGGGCATCATCGAAGAATTTCTCCTGATGTCCTGGCCAATAATCACCCCAAATAAAAACAAATTGGTGACTCACTCCGTGTTTCGCCCACAAAATACACAGACAGTTCACTTTACAGTATATGCTGTGAAGCGCTTTGAGACGTCTCAATGAAATGATAGGGCGCTATATCAAATGCAGGGATATTAAAAAAAATCTAATCTCAAGGGTGTATTGCACGTCACCTCAGCAATAACACTTCATTGTGCGTCTCTAACACCAACAACAAAATTACATTTGTAAAGCACTTGTCACGTTGGGAGGATGTCCCAAGACACTGGACAGTCAGAGTTACGGACCCGAGCTGGGGATCGGGGTGGGGGAGGGTGGAGGGCAGGGAAGGAAGCAGGGAGATCGAAAGCACGGTCGAAGAAGAGGGTCTTGAGATGGGTCTTGAAGGTGGCGAGGGAGGGGCCGAGACAGAGAAACTGGGATGGAGTTCGAGAGGGTGGGGGAGAGTGGCAGAAGGCCAGCCCGCCAATAGTGGGGCGAGCGAGGCGGGGGATGTGAAGCAGGCCAGAGCCTGCTGCGTGGAGGGAGCGAGCAGGATGGTAGGTGGTTAGGAGGTTGTAGAGGTAGGGGGGAGCAAGACAGTGGAGGGCTTTGAAGGTGAGGACCAGGATCTTGAACTGTATCCTCTGCGTGATGGGAAGCCAGTGGAGTCGGGCGAGGATGGGGGTGATAGGGTCACGGAGCCTGGTGCGGGAGAGGACATGGGCTCCAGAGTTCTGGATGATCTGCAGCCTGTGGAGGGAGGAATTTGCATAGTCGAGCCTCAATGTAATGGAAGCATGTATGAGAGTTTCAATGGCTTGTGTTGTGAGACAGTGGCAGAGCTGAGTGACGTTGTGGGGGTAGGACTGTGGGATGGAGTTCCAGAGTGTGTGGGCAGAAAGGCTGTAGGCCCGCCCACCAATGGTGGGGCGGGCAAGGCAGGGGACAAGTTGGATTTGATATGACCAATACATAACAAATACACAAGTACACAAGGATTATTATAAGCACTGGACGCTATTTGCTAACGAACCGCATACTCCTGTTCTCCAGGCGTGGAAGATGCATTCAGTTTCACATCTAAAGTAATGACCGTGTCTCTTCACAAGTACTCCCCTGGATTCTTCCCAGGTAAGTCCATCATCTCTCTTTGGGATTGGGGCATCTGCACATATTTCCTGGCATCTTCCTGGCAGCCTCCTTCATGGTCTCTGTATGTTTCTTCAAGGCACGGGCGATGTGAATGACGTGGGAATGGGGAAAGGGAGGTACTACACCGTGAATGTCCCACTGCAAGATGGCACTCCAGACACCCGCTACTGCCAAATCTGTCAAAGGTAGGAGCTGCCCCCAAACCTGATCATCACACGTCTGCTTTGCCGTGAAACATTGCACAGAGGGATGGGAACTCTCACCGATGTGTTGAGGCACTATATCAGATGCAAGGATTATTATTATTATTGTATTATTACAATAATATTTGTTCCGTCAACGCTTGATTTCAGTGACTGAATCCCCAGGCCTGGCACCGCTGTCTATAAACAGCCTGTAAAGACTTCAAGCTGGCAAATGTGAAAACCGGTGAGCGTGGAAATAGCAGAAGGTGAACCAGCCTGTGAGATCCATTAGTAAATAATCTGTGGGAGTCTTGACCTAAATAACTTGTAACTTTGCTGCTCGTCGGCTAGGAGGTCAGGATGACTCATTGAGTATTTGTTGTTGTATCGCTGTTTGCACTGTGTATTTATAGAAAGGGGAATTTTTGACAGCAGGCGCAAGAGGACAAAACAGCAGGAATGTGGGAATCAGAGTAAGTCTGGTATCTGTTTGTAACTCTAATGGACAACTGAAGATGAGAAGTTATAAGACTCTCAACAAAATAATAATAAACCTTGCATTTGATTAGTGCCTTATCAGGTCATCGAGACGCCTCAAAGCACTTCACGGAATATACTGTGAAGTGGATTGACTGGAATTTGTGGGCGAAACTCGGCAGCCAAAAACACACAGCAGTGTCCCACAAACAGTCATGAATTGGGTGACCCAATTTTTTGGGGGGTGGGTAATTATTCACCCCCCCCCACTGCCAGATAGTCAGGAAGCTAGTCTTTAACTGATCTTTAACTGGTAATGCTGGTCTTTAACTCTCTACTGCTCATTCAGAAATGCCCAGCTCTCTGAAGCCTGTCCCATTGACTTATTTCACATTGTGTAATTCCCACATGAATTCATTTCCAAGGCTCGGCGTCTGGGAATGAGTCCGTATCCCACGACACAGGGTCTGGGAATGAATCCATGTCTGTGGCAGTTTGTGGGAATGTCGATGTGATGCATTGCCAAAGTTACCCACGTGCTACAGGGGGCATCATCAGGAGCCTGATTATACAAGCCACATACAGTGGAGACTTGAGTGCACTAAAATACTCCCAAGCGCTAAGGCTACACAGTGTCAGTAGCGTAAATACAGTACAACTCGCATAAATCGTATAATCGCCCAAGTTGTACATTTACCCAAGTCTCATTCAGTTTCTGATCAAAAACAATTCGATTTCTCTTTGCAATTTGCAGTGATCACCTTCTAAACTCGTAATGCTGCTCCCCTACTCTCCATTACTCCCGCACTTACTGACTGCTTTGAATCGTGGGACATGACATCCTGATCTGTCCACCCATACACACTTAACAGCTCTACTGAATTACACTTGCGCAGTGTAGATTATTGATTAAATCAGAGTTTATACAACTTGTAAATTTTGCCTGCAACCTGGACTTCATGCAACTCATATTAAATGGTCTTTCTGACACGACTTATGTGACTTTTACTGTATAAAACACAAACCCCACCCCAAACAGCAGATAAAAATAATGAATAGTGTTCGCTAATTGTTATTTTTTTATTAGGTGTTACTTAATGTCCTTTCGCCAGAAAACTCTGAGGTTTGTAAATAAGATGTGCTGTCTCAAAGGAGAGGTCTTTTTGGAAAAAAGCGATCCTGCCCTTTGGCTGGGCCATAAAGGTTACTGGCACTGCACGGAAGTGCTGCCACTTTAATGCAGAGTCACTTCAACAAAAAAGCTGTTTATTCCCTCCTTTACTTGTGACAAGTGCACTTGTCTGCTTTAAATAAAGAGCCCAGGTTATGTGGTGGTTGCTGAATAGCAATAACAAATTGCATTTGTACAGCGCCATTCACGTCAGGAGGACGTACGAAGGCGCTGGACAGTCAAGGATTTGACCTGAGCTGGGGGTTGCGATCAGGATGGGTAGAGGGCAGGGAGTGTGCCCGAAGATGCGGTCGAAGAGGAGGGTTTTGACGGACCTTGAAGGAGGCAAGCGAACCCACAGCCTTCTGACTCAGAGGCGAGAGTGCTGCCACTAAGCCAGGCTGACACACAAGCATTTGTTGTATTTCTTTCTTCGTTGCTGGCTGTTGCTTGTCATGGCAAAAGTTTAATCCGTGCCAGTCTGGGACAAACCCAGGGCCATCAGTCCTGCATAGCCTGTCACACTGACCCACTGCTGGCCAGAAACAGCAGCAGATTGATATCATCTCCTGGGAGCCCTGAGGCTGGAAACACAATACGTGCGCCAGGCTGGCAAAGCACTGCACAGAGGGTCAGTGCACCGAGCTGCAGCTTCATTTGGTCATTGAATGCACTTAACCAATTGCTGCAGCTCGGTACAGCTGCTGCAGCCTCAGCGCTCGCTGTGTGTTATTGGCTTACTTTACTATAACATCTCCTCCATCCAGGTTGTCAAGCAGCTAGAAAAACAACATTGATTTTAACACTCTTACGTTTCTTCATGTCTTCTCTCTGTTTTTGTTCAGTAAAGTAAAATTGAGTAAAGATTACTCAAGTCACTTGTAGGGAGTTACTCAGCCTGATGAAGGAAATTAATCTACATTCAGGTGGGCAATAACTAGCTCCCACCTGGTTACTGACCACATCTAACCCAAGGTTTTGCCCTCTGCCTGGAATTGAACTCAGGTCTCTCACTTGCAAAGCGAGTGCTCTAACCACTGAGCTACAGGACTCCACATATTTGACTGCAACATCAACCATCTCTCAAATATCTCCCTCACAGCTTGGACTTCACAGAGCATTTGTGTTCTGCCCAGTTGAAAGAAATTGTTGTTAAATCGTAATAATATAATAATAATAATCTTTGCATTTGATATAGTGCTTTTCACGTCTTCTAAACATCTCAAAGCGCTTCACAGAATATACTGTAAAGTGAATTGACTGTATTTTTATGGGCGAAATGCGGCAGCCAATTGCGCACAGCAGTGTCCCACAAACAGTCGTGGATTGAGTGACCAAATTATTATTGTTTTTTTCTCGAGCGATTATTATCAGGTGTGTGGAGTAAGGAAACTTGCCCAAGGTGGAGTCCTGTAGCTCAGTGGTTAGAGCACTCGCTTTGTAAGCGAGAGACCTGAGTTCAATTCCAGGCAGAGGGCGAAACCTTGGGCAAGTTTCCTTACTCCACACAGAGCCTAATAATAATCCCTTCAAAACCCACAACAATAATAAATTGATCATTTTCAATCTACGACTGTTTGTGGGACATTGCTGTGCGCAATTGGCTGCCGCGTTTGCCCACAAATATACAGTCAATACACTTTACAGTATATTCTGTGAAGCGCTTTGGGACGTCCTCCCGACGTGAAAAGCGCTATATCAAATGCAAGGATTATTATTATATTATTATCTATGTGGAGTCCAGTAGCTCTGTGGTTAGAGCACTCACCTCACAAGCAAGAGGACCGGGGTTCGATTCCCGGGCAGGGCAAAACCTTAGGCAAATTTCCTTACTCCACATGTCTACTTTTTCTTAGCAGTAAGTAGGAACCCAGCTGTTAGTCGATTGGCGGTTCACTTTCTGGGGTAATAACTCCTTCACCCAAAAAAATGTGATCACTCAATCCACGACTGTTTGTGGGACACTGCTGCGCGCAATTGGCTGCCACATTTCGCCCACAAAATATACAGTCAATTCACTTTACAGTGTGTTCTGTGAAGCGCTTTGAGATGTCTCAAAGAAGTGATAAGGCGCTACATCAAATCAAGGATTATTATCATTATTATCTGTACTGATATTACTCCAGCTTCCTCACACTGTTGGGCTCAGTAATTTAGATGTTCAAATAATAACATTCAAACAGCACTACCACTCAGTTTGCTGGGGTTGTTTATTTGCTCTTGATGAGCTCACTCCCAGGGTTGTGTGCGGTGAGGGTTAACATGAGGAGGAATGTCTCAATCCGAGCGAGCGGGCGCTCCAGGCACTGTCACCGAGCGATGCTCTTTGCTTGTTTAATATTGTTCTAATTATGGTTTTGTAATATTAAACACTGCAATATCCTGCGAGCTCTGTCTGTAATGAATGAGATGTCTGCAGAGGGATTAGCCCAGGAAAAGTCACTATGTGTACCTCACTACAAGTGCCAGTCTGTGCAGTACAACAGTGGCAGAGCCTGACGCCGAGGGGGGTGGAGGAAGTGACCGTAAGCACGAGGTCAAACAGGAGGAGCAAAGAGAAAAGTACATGTGGATACCGAGGGGCTCAGCTGCCCGTCTGGGCTCTTTGGGGTTTAGTTACTGCTTTTCATTATTAACTATAATATCCATTTTCTTCAATATATTATTAGCTTAAACTGTGCTAATGACGTGACTGAGGTCTATTGCTCTGTGGTTGCTTACTCTACGCCATCAGCGGATCTGTCACTTACAGGGAGGGAGAATCAGTCCATCCCAGAGAGCTGCTTTCCTGTAGAATTCTAGCAGAAAGCTCGAGAGGTGAGCTGGCAGGGGACCGCATGTGCATTTCCTGTCCACGTTTTGCTCATTATAGGACAGGAAGAGACTCATAGATAACGAGGAACAACCTTGGTTGTTCACTGATCTGTGCCTCTGGCTGGACAGGGCCAACGATAAAGTTCCACATGTGGGACCTTCGGAAGATTAAAGTCCATCCAACCAATGCCAGATTAGTTGTATGGATTGACAATTGGCTCGGCAATAGGAAGCACATGGGAATTGGTGAAGGCCTGATGTGAGGGTAATGACGAGTACCTCGGGTAGCCTTTCTGGGTTCATTGTATCCGTGAAAGACACGGATGAGAGTACATCTTACAGTTTAGTATTTACTGATGGTGGCAAGCTATGTGAGCAGCTAAATAATACAGGGGGAGTCAGAAGTCCTTACTCATAGAGTTTTTAATTATTAATTATGTTTTTTTGACATCATCAGCAAAATACATTTGTATAACACCCTCTCACAAGGACATCCCAAGGTGCTGGACAGTCAGGGATTTGGACCTGAGCAAGGGGTTGGGATCAGTAGAGCGTGCAGTGAAGGGGTAGGAGGGTGACTGATAGCACGATCGATGAGGAAGGTCTTGAAGGAGGCAAGGGAGGGAGCCAGGCGAAGGGAATGTGGGTTGGAGTTCCAAAGGGTTCGGGCAGAGGCTGAAAGCCCGACCGCCAATGGTGGGGGGCATGGAGACATGGTTAAGGCAATATTTGTGGAGAGTATGCAGCTTTTACAGGAGAAGTCTTTTGTCACCGAGTTGATATGTGTAAACGTCTATATAGCCTGCAGTTGGAACATCTCCTATAGGCCAATGAATAAGGACTTTTGATTCACCCTATATGAGGGGGGAAATAGCTTGTAAGGAAAATATGACCAAATACCTTTTGGTTTGACTGCCACTGGTGTTAAGATTAATGGTTAATGTCTGCATTCCGGCTCTTCTCGTCTGCAGTGTGTTGAAAGAGGTGTACGCGTCCTTCCACCCCGAGGCTGTGGTCTGCCAGTTGGGAGCAGACACCATCGCTGGAGACCCCATGTGTTCCTTTAACATGACGCCAGTCGGAGTGGCCAAGTGCTTACGTTACATCCTGAACTGGCAGCTGCCAACTCTGGTTCTTGGAGGAGGTGGGTCCATTTTCCTTTTGTCCCGGTGAATTATTTAACATTGAGCTGGTTAGACTCCAGCAGTTACGCCAACGCACACTCTGGGCTGCCTCTCGTTTCCACTTTCCAGAATTAGGTAAGCAGGATGTGTCCCTCCAGGGAGAGAGAGCGCATTCCATTCCAACAGTCTATCTCTGGAATTTCCATGTGTGGGTGGGATGCATGGAAATCTTGGCTTGGATAGTCTTAAGCATGGTGATGGGTTTCCTCATGCATCAGACATTTGGCTGACCAAAAATCAAAGTTAACTTAGAATATGACTGATAACTGCATGTCGGAGAGAAACACAAGAGTTTAATAGCTCTAGAGTGCTATATAGGTGTATTTCATGCTTGTGTTGGGGAGGGGGGTGGTGAATGGTACCAGGCACATAGATCAGATAGGTTGCCACTCTTCAATGCAATGAAAAGATCCCTGGTCACGAAGTCCAAGTGGTGGGATCTGTAAGGACATCTCACACCCTCCCTCTCCACTTGAGCATTCTGTCTGAAAACTGTGTTTTTGACTGTGCCTTCAACCACCTCCCTTCCCCCCCCTCCCCCGCTCTTACCACCCAGCTCAGGACGTCGATGCAAAGAAGTTTCCCTACATGATGGCTGCATGCACAACTATTTGTGGGACACTGCTGTGCGCAATTGTCTGCCACATTTCGCCCACAAAAAATACACAGTCACTTCACTTTACAGTATAATTCTGTGAAGCGCTTTGAAAAGTCTCAACAATGTGATAAGGGGCTATATCAAATACAATAATTATTATTTATTATTATTAGTGCAATGTAATGAGTATAGTGAAACAGTGCAACAGAACAGTGAATAACACTGTTGACAAACCTTCTTGTCTAACAAATCCTGGGGAGATGGTGGAAGCAGAAAATGTCATTTGTTTCAAGAACAAATTAGATAGATTTCTGCTAGAAAATAAGATCTCGGGATACAGTCTATGGTTTGGTACACGATATGTGGTGAGATTGCCAGGGTGGTGGAAGGCGAACTGGATGATCTACTTTCACCGAGCAAATTCTTATGTTCTTATGAATTCTTTGTGTGTGTCTGGCTTTTCTCTTGGAGACAGGGGGCTATAACCATGCCAACACGGCGCGCTGCTGGACATACCTGACTGCTATTATCCTCGGAAAAATACTACCCTCAGAGATTCCCGATCACGAGGTAAGGCTTCAACAGGCTCCTGTTTCTTGCTGCTCGTCTGCTGAGTCACCGCAGTTAATCAAACATGGGACCTTGCCTTTCAATACCCACTTGTAATCAAGTGGCAGCACAACAATAACTCACTGTCTCTCTGGCCGCTGCAGAATGCCGTGCTTGTTCTGCTCTGAAGTCAACCCCTGACTGAAGGGCTCGGCATCTTCTCTGTTAATCATCAAGAGACCCCAGTCCACGGTCTCCTTCTGCTCGTCAGTCCAGCACTGACAGCAATATCAATGGGGAGCTTTGCGGTTTTAGCTGGTTAGACTCCAGCAGTTACCCCAGTGCGCACTCCGGGGTCCCCAATCCTAGGCTCTAGCCAACCTGCGCATAATACTCTCCGGAATTAGGTACGCAGGATGTGTCCCTCCAGGGAGAGAGTGTGCATTCTATTTCAGACATGGAAATTTCCATGTGCAGGTGGAATACATACATGGAATTCTCAGTTTGATTTGAACATAAGAAATGCTGGACAAAAAAAAACAAGGTCCATCTAGTTCGTCTTCCACCTTCCTGGTGGTCGCATGTACATATGTCCCAAACTACCTATGTACTCTATCCCATAATTGGATACTCTTAAGCATGGTGATGGGTTTTCACACGAGTCAGACACCGGCTGCCCCCAAAAATCTGTCTGTACAGTACATTGCTTTAGGTGCCGCAAATACTCTCTGAATACTCTCTGTGCCCTTCACAATCTTTCACTTTTGCTTTGATTTAAATCTTTGACTTTAAACCACAAAGTCCTATTTGACTTGGGAGCTTTGATGCTGAGGGTGGACCACACACTGGCCAATGACCCCTGACAGTGAGTCTCTCTTACCCTCAGTTCCTCACACAATACAGTTCCTCTTTGCCCTCGGTGCCTCCAACATGCAGTTCCACGTACCCCCACCTTCACACACTTCAGCATATCATGAACAGGGTTGTTTATAGCAAAGATGGTGTCTGTAAATGGGGGAGCAGCAAAGAGAATTTTAGGCCATAAATGCCAGTCATTAACCCCTACTATGCTGTACACAACTTCTTTTTCCCGCCACTCGTAAGCACCAGTCACACTTCCACAAAGCCCTTTTTATTGTGAGCTTTGATGCTGAGGTCAGTATGAAAGACTGAGGTCCATTTATCTAGAGATTCCATGGCACTATTGGAAAAGAAAAGGGAGTTGCTCTCCCGATGACTTGGCAAACATTCCCCCAGATAAAATTGGTCAAACTGCCTGTTTGTGGGACTTTGCTGTGTGCAAATTGACATCTGAGTTTACCGGCAAAATAGACAGTCATTGCACTTTGCAGTATATCCTGTGAAGCAATTTGAGACCGCCTCCCAACATGACGGGCGCTATATCAAATCCAAGGATTATTATATTATTTCAGGACAGGAATGTTTGATTTTTTTTTCCCTTCCCAAAGGGAATACAGTTGGCCTCAATCCACAGGTCTTTGAGGTCAGTTGTTGCCAGTCTGGCTGGTCTGGCTGAGGTCACCCAGCTCAACTGGCAATCTCACATGGCACCTCCCCAGACTGTGGAAATTAACTTACTGAGAAGATTTGGGGAAAGATTTAAATTAGTTTTTAATGCATTGGGTTGAAAAAAGTGGTTGTTTGCAATGAGCCTCTCAGTCACTAATGGGGAAGTCCTGACAGTGACGGGCTATTTTCTCAGCCGATTTGTGATCTACATAGAAACACAGATATTTACAGCACTGAAGGAGGCCATTCAACACTCCTTGTGTCTCATAGAAAACTGCACTTTCAATCCCACTGTCCCATACCCATCCTAAACCCATTGTGGGTCTCAAGAGGTAAATAGGTATATGAAAGATAGGAGCCATTTAAGCTTCTGAAACCCACAATGGATTCTGCCTCTAACCACCATAGCTGGCAGCACATTTGGAAAGGCATTCATTGCACATCCCAACAATTTCTGAGTGAAAAGGAAATCGGAGGTTTTGGAACAGGAATGCCATGAGTCTGGGCTGACTGCAGGGTTTCCTTGTTCGCGCCTGAGCTGCTATGACTGAATCCTGTTGTTAAACCATCATTTTTCCAACCCGACATGCCAAGAATGGTAGTAACTGTGAGAAGAGTTGCTCGATGGGAAACTCAGGGTCAGTGTGAGGGGCTGTCTCACCTCAACCACAACAACGTGCATTTAGACAGCAGCCCCTCGTGTAAAGTAGCGTCCCAGAGCACTTGACGTCATCTCACTTCAGTCTGTGTCCTGACAGCAAGTTTAAGGTTGTCAGAAGCTCCTTATGTTTCACCTGAGTCTCTTCTGTTGCAGACAACAATCCCTGGCATCTTGAGCAGCCTATAAATCCGGTGTCACTGTGCCAACTGCCAATCCAATATTTACACAGCGTCTTTTTAAATACTTCTGCCTTGTTGCAAGTTGTAAGGATTTTTTTTGCCTGCGTAGGGTAACACCTGAAATAGGGGGTGGGGTTGGGAAATGTAAGCAGTGGGGGCACAGAGATAATTCAGTGTGTGGAGCTCTCATAATAATAATCTTTGCATTTGATACAACGCCTCATCACGTTTTCAAAAGCACTTCACAGAATATACTGTAAAGTGAAAACAAAACACAAAATACTGCAGATGCTAGAAATCTGAAACAAAAACAGAAGTCGCTGGGAACACTCAGCAGGTCAGGCAGCATCCATGGAGAAAGGAAAGTGAATTATGGTTATGGACCCAAAACACGCTGAGTGTTCCCAGCGACTTCTGTTTTTGATCCTGTAATGTGAATTGACCGTATATTTTATGGGCGAAACACAGCGGCCAATTGCTCACAGCAGTGTTCCACAAACAGTCTGGATTCACTGACCACATGATTATTTTTGAAAGGATTATTATCCTGGAAAAGTGATCCGTCAATCAGCTAACAACCGGGTTCCTGCTTACTGCTAGATAAACAGGCGTGTGGAGTAAGGAAACTTGCCTTAGGTTTCTCTCTGCCCGGGAATCAAACTCAGTCCTCTCGCTTGCGAAGCAAGTACTCTAACCACTAAGTTACAGGACTCCTCTGTGCGATACCTGGATGCGATTGGCTTCCTCTTCCCAACACCAGGTGGGGGAACTGCCCAGGCAGCCCAAGTGCTTTCCCTCAGCATCTGAGTTCTGCCACTGAATACAGAGCGGATCCATCTCTGCTGGGACAGCAGTCACCACTGCACACAGCCTCAGTGCCCTGGGTTAGCGAGCGAGAGACCTGATTACTGCTCCTAATTTCTATTCAGTGACTCCTGCTGGAGGTAGTCAGTCAGACTCAAATAGTCAAGTCCTGAGATCTCTATATCAAAATTGTGCAAAATCTTGAGAAATCTCGGTGTCTTAATTTGGAAGCTGGTTCTTTTGAAGACATGCAGAGAAACAGCTTGCAGCTTAAGACTATGTGGAATCCTGTAGCGTATTGGCAAGAGCACTTGCCTCCCAAGCGAGAGGACCTAGGGCTTTGAGATGTCTCAACAACGTGATGATGCACTATATCAAATACAAGCATTATTATTATTATTATTCAGGAATTATTCAAAATTCTACATGGTTCCAAAACTTTTTAAGACCGTGTTCTCAGGGCAAAGACCAGGTGGAATTTTGAAGCCTCTTCCCACTGTGTCAAGCAACTTGCTGACCATCTGTCAGGCCAGTGTATGATTAATGGCCAGGAGGTAAAGAGAAGCTCTGATGCTCCACAGTGTGTTTCCAATCATGGTTTTAGTGCATGAGGAACGCTGGCTCAGCCCTCCAGAGGTCTCCAGCGTCAGTCTTACTCCACACACCTCTGTTTACCTAGTAGTAAGTAGGAACCCGCTTGTTATTCAATTGGTGGGTCGCTTTTCCGGGGGTAATAAAACCTCCAAAAAAAGGGAGAGAAATGTTATATTAATAAATTTGTCACTCAAACCACGACTGTTTGTGGGACACTGCTGTGCGTAATTGGCTGCAGTGCTTCGCCCACAAACTATACAGTCAATTCACTTTGCAGTACATTCTGGGAAGCGCTTTGAGACGTCACAAAGACACGATAAGGCGTTATATCAAACACAAGGATTATTATTATTCCCAAGAACAGCTCCATCATTCCTGTCCCCATCCACTTGTAGTGAACTTTATGTGGGCCGAGTGGGGAGAGGGATTCTATTCACATGGTACCAGTTTGAACTATGTTCATTATCTCCATCGTTCTCACGCACAGTGGAGAGAAAAAACACCCAGATCCCACCTCCTTTCAGAGAGCAGGTGACTGAGCTTCCAGCAGTGAGTGCACCACTGGCTTCCTCACAGTCAGCTCACTCTCGCTCGCTCACTGTAAATCGCAACACGCGGAGAGGAGCCACAGGAGGCGAGGGAAGTACAGCTCCCTCATAGCTGCTGTTGGGTTTTACAGCTGTTGAGTGGAATCTGTTATGTGTGTATTAGTCACTAGTTACTGAATGATCTGTCAACGCCAGGAGTAACTGGGGAGGTACTTCCTGCCATGACTATATGGCAGTACTGTGTGGCTGGAGGTTTTACTGCCCTTTGAAATGCTGCTGAACCTGAATAGTGAGCTTGGTCTGTTTGGGTCGACTTGGATTGAAGCTGGTTTGCTGGCTCTCGAGTACCGGCTACTTCGCTTGGTGTAAACTCGCAAACTGCAAAGTCTCTTGAACACGTGCTCGCTTTCCAGATGTCTTTCCTATTGTGAAGCGTAAATGTCATTACATTTTAAATTAAAAATGAAAAAATTAATAATCTGGTCACTCAATCCACCGCTGATTATGGGACACTGCTGTGTGCGATTGGCTGCTGCGTTTCGCCCACAAAATATACAGTCGATTCACTTTACAGTGTACTCTGTGAAGCGCTTTGAGACGTCTCAATAACATGATAAGGCGCTATATCAAATGCAAGGATTATTCTTCCCCCCCCCCCCCCCCGCAATTCACTCACACCAACACTGGCAAAACACAACCACTCACACTCTCATATACATACATATTCACACACTCTCTCTTTCACACATACACACACTTTCTCTTAGGCACACATACTCTCTTACACGCTCTCACACACATGCTCACTCAGCCTCACACACTATGCTACCACACTTACATACGCACACTTGTGCATACAAAATTAAGGCAATACTAACATTCTAGAGCGTGAGATAAATTTAATCTGGGTTTTCAGAAGAGAGTTAGAAACTTCTTAACAACTGAACGCCTCAATCAGGGTGCAGTGTGTGAGCCACTCCTGGTGTCCGTGCTGCTATAGAAACCGAATGGACTCAATTGTCTCGAGAGGCGGAGTGCTGTGAGCTTGTGTGGGATGCTGGCATGTTCCCCAGTGCAGAGAGCAGGCCTCAGGAGAGAGAGATTTAAATTTCCTCTCAATTTACGACTGACCTCTTGAGGTCACCTTGACTTCATTTGGCCTTTGGATGAGACGTTAAAGCGAGGTCCTGTCTTCCTGTTCAGGTGGGCAATTAAGATCCCATAGCGCTATTTAAAAAGAGAAGGGAATTTCTCTCTCCTTGTGTCCTGGCCAACAAACCCAACAGCGCCTGTAAATTGGTTATTCATTTAATGGCTGTTTATGGGACACTGCTGTGTGCAAATTGGCTGCTGCATTTGCCTGAAAAATACAGTCACTGCACTTTACAGTAAAACCTGTGAAACCGCTGAGACATTTTGACGATGTGATAAGGCGCTGTATCAAATGCAAGCATTTTTTAAAAAGACTAAACATTTTAAATCACCTTGGCTTCATGTGCCCCGCAGCCCCACGCTATCTGGAACAAACCAGACTTCCAATAAGCTCTTACCAATAACATTGTTCTCACTCACTCCAAGGTATAATGTGGCTCCAGCCCTTCAGGCCCTGTTATGTTAACCTGATTTCCATCACAGTATTTTATAGACTATGGGCCAGATTACGTGCTGGAAATCACCCCCAGCTGCAGGACCGATCAGAACGATTCCCAACGCATCGAACAGTTACTTAGCACGATTCAAGGTGAGCATTTCAGTTTCATTATAGGAGAAACCGTAAACGCACATGATCGCAAATTTCTACCTCCGTCATGGATACCCAGGCTTGCCCGAGTGGAAAGATGATTTGAGATTTCTACCCCATTTTTTTCCCAAAATTTCTACCTCGATCCTTCAGATGAATCTTTAAACCGAGGTCCCGTTTGTCTGTTCAGGTGGACGTTAAAGATCCCACGGTGTTATTCGAAAAGTGAAGGGAGTTTCTCTCTGCCAGTGTCCTGGCTAACAATTCCCAAAATAAAATTGGTCACTCACTCTACGCCTCTGGGACACTGCTGTGCACAATCGGCTACCTCTGTTCGCTGACAAATACACAGTCACTCCACTTTACAGTATATCCTGTGAAGCGCTTTGAGACGTCTTGACGACCTGCTAAGGCGCTACATCAAATGCAAGAATTATTATTATCATTTCCCAGGATCGAATCCTGCACCGCAATCAGAGCACATCCCCTGTGTGGGCCTCTGTCTATCTCATCCACAGAGATCAGAGGTCCAGAATAATGATGATCTTGGGCTTATTAACATTGTGTAGATGTTTGGAACATTTCTGAAATCGACACTTTATTTGGAAGCTGGTTTTTCACACCTTTGGAACCGGCTTCCAACTTAAAACCTAATTTGAGAATTTGCCGAATCAATGCAACTTTTAAAAATTTTACAGTGAGGTCTGAAGGCTAAGATCATGAAGAAACTTGGGCGTCTGCTTTTATCCTGCCCACACCCCCTCCCCACAATAATGGAGAGATCCATTCCACAGCCAGAGCATAGACTACACTACCATGGGCTGCATGGTTTGGGTGGTGGTGGAGGGGGTTTACTGGGCTTGACATTGAAATCTGTAGAAAGTAATTGTTTTAACAACAACAGTTTGTATTTACACAGCGCCCCTCACCCAGGCTAGAATCCCAGAGCACTTAACAGTGGCGGAGCACGATGCCGAGCCGGGGGGAGGTGAAGGTGACCCTAGGCACAGTCTATCAGGAAAGTCTTCAGGAATAAAGAATGAAATGTCCAGCTCCGAATCCCGGCCTCTCTCACGTGGGGGAGTGTTGGGTTTCCCATCGAATGTCGATTGACACAGGGTTGCCACTTGATATTGCTGTGGTCACACTGCTGTTGTAACTTAATAAGTTCACAAATCCACACAGACATAAAGATTTTACCCTGAAAGGGCTGCCAGGCACGGTCTTGCTTTCAGAAACTAATCTCTTGTCTAGCTGCAAAGGTGAGGAAATGATGCTTCAGTTGTACGGAGCCTTGGGTCAGTTTATGGGGCACTGTTGTTCGTTTCGCCCACAAAATATACAGTCAATTCAATTTACAATTTCACCAAAATGATACCAGGTCTTAAAAGGTTAAATTATACGGACAGGTTGCTTAAACGTGGCTTGTATTCCCTTGAGCTTAGAGGGTTGAGGGGTGATCTATTCAAGGTGTTTAAAATGATAAAGGGATTCGATAAGATAGATACGGAGAAACTATTTCTTCTGGTGGGGAATCCAGAACAAGGGAATCATCTTAAAATTAGAGCTGGACCATTTAGGAATGAAATCAGGAAGCACTGATTCACACAACGGGTAAGTGGAAATCTGGAACTCTCTCCCCAAAGGGCTGTGGATGCTGGATCCATTCACATTATCAAGACTTAGGTGGATATCTTTTTCTTAGGTCCAGGGTATCAAGGGATAATAATAATCCTTGCATTTGATATTGCACCTTATCATGTGTTCGCAATATCTCATGGATCAAAGGAGGGTAAATGGAGTTGAGGTAGAGATCAGCCATGATTTAATAGAATGGCGGAACAGGCTTGATGAGCTGAATGGCCTCCTGTTCCTATGTTCCTACCAGCACAGGAATTGTTCTAACAAGGACGGGAGGGACCTGGGCCTCCAGGCATGATCTGCTCAGCACATCTCAATGGGCATAATGCATTGCATGCAGCCCAACCCAGGGAATGTGTGTGACTGAGCCATCATAGATCAGGGAGGTCAACACCTTGTCTGTTCTGAGTTAGGTGTTCTCAGCTGGGGCAGCAGTGGGGGTACTGTAATCAGCTGTGATGGCCCTTGGCCCACAAATATACAGTCAATTCACTTTACAGTGTGTTCTGTGAAGCGCTTTGGGACGTCCTCCCGACGTGAAAAGCGCTATATCAAATGCAAGGATTATTATTATTGGCGAGGGAGGGGAAGCCTTTATACTTACATTGGATAGAACCCAAACCGTCATCTCTGGATTGACTGTTAATATATTGAACAGTTCAGGGTGTTCACAAAGTCCTGTTACCCCGCCGTGTTTTTTTTTGCAGTACCCTGACCAACAACTGAAACGTGTGGAAGAATAATGATAATTGTATTGAGAAGTTACTTAATTGTATTCAGTAAAAGTGTTTAACTGTATTCAGACGTCCAGAGGATTAGTCGGAGTGAGTGAGTGAGCGAGCGAGCAAAACATTGTTACCCTTGTCTCATCTCTAACGGAAAAAAAAATCATTGTTAGAGAAAAACACACACACGGGGGGGGGGGGGGAACAGGACTTTGTGAACACTCTGTACTGCGAAGCAATGGGAAAAAATTCATTTAAAAAACAATTATTTTCTATGTGTGTGTTTTCCAGGAAATCTGAAGAATGTAATTTAATATGTGACGGGGGTGAACGGAAGAGAAGAAGAGCCTTTTAACGCTGGAGGTTACAGCTCCAGGGGAGGCGGGGATGGAACAACTTGGAAGTTGCGAGTCAGCAGATGTGATTGTCCAGACCCGAAGCCCCGGTTTAACCCTTTCCTGTTCACCTACACAGACCAATCCCCGCAGAGGCTCAAAGACTGTACATCACCCTGTCGCTTGGTCCCCTTTTCTTTATTAACCTCGGTTGCTGTCAATATACTTTTATTCCTATTCAGATGCTGCTTACAATCTGACGCACCACGTCAGTGGAGTCTTGGTTTAACTGGTACCCTCCCCCCCCCCACACACACACACGCGCAAACAAACATGGGGAACGGGCAGCCATCAGTGAAACCATGGAGATTGGGGGAGAAAAACACGGACACTGGAAATCCTAGATAAGAGCTGGGAATGGGCAACAGGTCGGGCGGCATCTGAAGGAGAACGAGAGTTAACTTTTCGGGAATGAGAAATCATCTGAACTGAGAGGATCTACAAAATACACAAAACTACACTTTATAATATATCCTATGAAGCGCTTTGAGACGTCTCAACGACGTGATAAGGCTGTATATCAAATGCAAGGTTTATTATTATTAACCCGACTGTCGGCTGCCGGGCGACCTGCTCTGCCTTTTCCCCGCTGTTTTTATTCTGATTTTATTCCACCCTTTTGCCATGTGTCAGATGCTCTCAATCCTGGCAGAGCAAGCTGTGCCCCCCACACAGGTACTGGTGCTCTAGAGCAACAGCAAAGGGAGGGAATAAATGAGGAGCTTGGTACCAAAGCGGGTGGTGGCTGGTTCCAGGTGTAGATTTCCACATCTCCTGCTTTGCTGTCTGTCTTGAATATCAGCCAAGGTTTGGGTCGCTGGGTGGAGGAGGGAGGGAGAGGGATATATAGGGCTGTGTGTAATGACTTAATGGAGTCGAGGATTTACACAATGGAGGAATCCCAAGTATGAAAGGGGGAATTGCAAAGCTTTGGGGACATCTGATTGTCCCTCGGGGTGGGGGGGGGGGAGGGTGGGGGGCGCGGTGGGAGGGAAGGTATACATAAGAGACAGTAATTTTAATTTGGGGATGGGAAGTGAGCAAAGGTTTTCCCCGAAAGATCCAGATGGTGCCTCTCCAAGGAGCTGCCTCCTTTTAACTTGATCCTCATTTCTCCCTCATCTGTTTTGCTGTTTGTGTGTTTGTTTGTTTTGGATCCGTGTGGTTGCTTCAGCAATCCGTGGAGGGGTGAGTCCGGGGGGGGCGAGGGGGAGAGAAACCTGGCACATAGGCTACCGTGGGTAAACCTCTCATCAGTTGAGATGTTTGCTCCCAGGAATCTTTTCAGTCTCTATTTCCCCCCCTTATTCCCACCCCAAAACTACAGAACTACAGTTCTCGTGGTGCCAGGGATTCAGAAACCAGCTGTGTTTTTTGCAAAAGGAAGCAAAGAGGGTTTATTTTTTTCCGTTTGTTTTTCGAAACCTTCTTTAGAGCGAGGAGGACAGCTGCCGGCAATTACCAGCAGGATTTTTCACCCCAAAGTTTCTTTTTTACTGGTCAAAGGAAATGTTTTTAACCCTTATCCCGCGGGTTAAGCAGGCAATCTCTTTCGCTTTCACATCTCGAGCGAGCGATGCTATGTGCAAGGGGTCTTGTGTTAGTTAGTTGGTGGTTAGTGATAATGATTATTGGTTACATTGGTACAGAGGGAGTCTGGCACAGGATAGTGGCGGGGAGGATTTACTGAGCCAACAGTATGATGGAGCTAGATACAGAGCTACAATCTATTACTCAGGGCACTGGCTAAGAGACAGCTATGAGGGAGCTGGATTAACATTAGGAGAGATGCAATCCGCACTCACAGCCCTAGTTTGGAGACATTAGTGTGCTGGGTTAGCTGGTTTCAGCCCAAGCGATGATTGACTAACCCTCTGTGGTACAGAGAGGTAAAACGTAGCCCTTAAATTAGCCAGGGCTCCTGCTCCTCACGTTAGAAGTAGCTGAGTTAGGAGCTGGGTAAGGACAGCTGTGACTTACACGTGATGTTGGATGCTCCCAGGATGAAAACTGACCAGGGTGAGGCCCGGGGGAGGGGGCTGTGTCTTGGTACCCCAACAAGAGTCTTAATGAAAAGACTTTCCGTGCGTTTGAGTTAAGGGGAGAGAATGAGATTCTTAATGGGTTTCTGGACCAATCTTTCTGTTAGTTATTTGGTTATTGGGTCCCGTTGACTGGTCTCATCTACAATTGTGACCAACATCAGCACCGCGCCCCCACCCCCCACCCCCCCAGCATTTCTCTGTGAAGCCCACCCGACCTCTCGGAGAGGGTAAAGATCTCGAAACCCTCCAGCCACCATTGATCCATCCAGTCACCGCCAACATCACTCGACTCTAATGGAGCTTTTTGTAAGGCAAAACACATGCCATTTCAGTGTATTTTTAAGTTGCAAGTGTGCAACAATGCCTCTGCCTTTACTAAGGGGTCGGTCACAGAATTTGTACCAATGATGATTACGTTTCCAACAGCTGAAATGTGATTTTTTTTGTACATTGTTGATGTTACTCTTTCGTGTTTTTAATGTTTTCATGTTGATCAGGAAGTGTTTATTAATAAATGCAGTTACAGGTTCACTGTCTTTCTCTTTAGTCTGCTGCTGTTCATCTTGAACAGGCTTTCCAGAGGTGACTTTAGCCGTCATGCTATGGGTTTGTCTGTTCCCTCCAATGGCACCAGTAAAACCTTAGGCAAGTTTTCTTACTCCACAACCTCTTTACCTACAGCAGTAAGTAGGAACCCGGTTATTAGTCGATCAGAGGATCGCTTTCTGGAGTAATAATCCCTCAAAAAAAGTCACTCAATTCAAGACCGTTTGTGAGACACTACTGTGCACAATTGGCTGCTGTGTTTCACCCACAAAATACAATCAATCCACCACATTATATCCTGTCAAGCAACTTTGAGACATCTCAATGTGATGAGGCACTCTTATCAAATGCAAAAATAATAATTATTATTATTTGAGACGGCAACATTTGAAGATGCAAGTGTATAAAGGGGGCGTGGTGGGGGGGAGGGGGCAATCACTGGAGGTTTCCATTGCCTTGTGCCGCATTGGAATGATCTGTGTTGTAAAACAGGAAAGATAGACAAGCGCTCCCCCCCCCACCACCACCATAGCTAGAGGATAATAATAATAATAATCCTTGCATTTGATATAGGGCCTTATCACATCTTCCAGATGTCTCAAGCGCTTCCCAGAATATACTGTAAATATACTGTAAAGTGAATTGACTATATTTTGTGGGCGAAACAGGATTGATAGACTGTAGAGCTCTGCTCGGGCCCTGCCCAAAGATGTTGCTGTATAAAAGCCCCTTATCCAAGTCAGGCAATGCTCCAGCATTGCATGATGCAGAACATGAACATGTCCTAATGACTGGTCCAGGATCAGAGTCCAGTGGAGAAAGGAAACTCGCCTAAGGTTTCACCCTGACCAAGAATCAAACCCAGGTTTGATAAGTAATATGCAACGGGATTCCAAACTCCCATAGACCACATGGTTACAGTGCTCTATCTGCCAGTGGCAGAGCAGTGGGTTCGATTCCGCAGTTTAGAGCTACTTTTGCTAAGCTGGCCTGACATCTATGATCTGAAATTCCATCTGGTCCGTCACACCATTTTGTCTTAAGATTGAAAATGGTGCAGAACTGTGGAAAATCCTTAAATGTAGCCTTAATTTAGGACACGGTTTCCTGCAGTTCATAAGAGGATAGGCTTCCAAATTAGGGCCGGATTTAAGAATTTTCGACTATTCTGTGCAATCTTAAATTGTAAGACACACTAAACATAATATCAAATCTAAGAATTATTAATAATAATCCTTGCATTTTATTATTGCAAAATAGTCTTACAGGTTAAAACTGGGTGGAATTTTAAGGCCAGACAAGTGTTATTGATATGAGCACTGATGCTACAATAATAAAAATAATAATTCATGCATTTGATCGTGGTTTATTTTTTTAAAAAGGGATTATTACCCTCGGAAAATGATCCGCCAATCGCCTAACAACTGGGTTCCTGCTTACTATCAGGTAAACAGTGGCGTGTAGAGTAAAGAAACTTGCCTAAGTTTCATCCTGCCAGGGAATCGAGCCCATTTCCTCTCACTTGCAAAGCGAGCTCACAAACCACTACCCTAAAGGACAATTGATTTATTTGTTGTATTTGGTGGTAGATCTTTTAATCCCATTTCCCCATATCCCTTAATGCCCAAGTATTTATATATAAAATGTCTGAGCAGCCTCTGCCAAGTCTCAGTGAGCAGCACAAAAATAAAATCCTTAATTTAGCACCAGAATGGCAAACTAACACCCAGAGATTTGATGTGCAAACTGGAAAATGTCAGGCTGACACTCTCGTGAGGTGAAGACAAGGGCACACATTTATTATGTTCCTTCCTGGGTCATGTTTTACCTATTCCTGAGGCCAGTGTCCATCAACAGGGATGTGCTCTATTTATCAAGCCCTCACATCCCTCACTCCACCTTGCGCACAAACACACACGCACACACATGTTAAAGAGAGACAGATGGAGAGATTGTAGACAGGGGATTGTGAGGTGGTCCACAGCACACGTTGTGTGGAAGTGACGGAGCTGTGAAGATCTTTCTCGCTGGAAATTAGTTTGTTTGGAATGCAAAGCGGAGGGTGGTATTGAAAAGTAAGTGTGTTTAACGGGTGGTCTTCAGATTGCCCCGAATACCAAGATATACTGTTATTGAAGTGATGATTAGGCAGCTCTTTTGTGTGTTAAAAAAAAACTCTGAACATCTGCCCTTTCTGCTGAATGGAACCTTGTCTGTGCAAAAACGCGGAGCAGAGTAACTTTCAAAAGGGCCCTTGAAAAGGGGAAATACAGCCGGGCTGTGGGGTGAGAGCGGGGGAGTGGGATGGCTCTTTCAAATGGGTCAAGTGGCCTCCTTCTGTGCTGTAACATTGTATGATTTCATGAGCAGAGAGTGTGCTAAACAAAGTGACCCGATTGCCAGGTTAAACACAGTTTGTGACGCACCACAAATGGAACAATTCTGTGGAGGAAGATTTCACCCCCAACTACGGTCCTCACCCACTGCTCTCCCAGCAACCTGGCAATTGCTATTATCTTTTCGTTTAATTTGATTTATTGTTATCCAGTTTAAAGTTTTGTCCTTTATATAATGACTGGGTGATCGCTCGTTTGTGGAGTCTCGTAGCATAGTGGTTAGTGCGCTCGCCTCACAAGTGAGAGGACCCACGTTCGATTCCTGGGGCAAGGCACAGGCAAGTTTCCTTACTCCACACACCTGTTTACCGAGCAGTAAGTTGTTAGTCAATCGGCGATTGCTTTCCGGTGGTAATAACCCCTCCCCAAAAAAATACGGTCACTCAATTCGCGACTGTTTGTGGGGACGGTGCTGTGCGCAATTGGCTGCTGCGTTTTGCCCACAAAATATACAGTCAATGCACTTTATGGTGTATTCTGTGAAGCGCTTTGAGATGTCTCGTAAGACCTCATAAGGCCTTATATCAAATGCAAGGATTATTATTATTATTATTATTATTATTATTATTATTATTATTATCCTTGGTTCCTCAATTTGAAAAAAAACACAACCCTTTTCCAAATGGTGAAGCAGATCCCTGTTATCAGACTGTATAACTGTGAAGTATTTATCTGCCTCCAAGGCACTGACTGAGTGTGATGTTAATCCCAGGAGTCAGGTCAAAAAATGCGCAGATTGTGTGTGTGTGAGAGAGAGAGAGTGTCCAGTGCGTGTTTTGCAGTCTGCTGGTGCTGGGGGGAAACTGCACTTTGTGTGAGTGAATGCTGATGGGACAGAATAAAGTCCGGAGACCAGAGAAAAAGCTTTCATTTACACTGTGCCTTCCACAGGGGGAGTGGGTCTCACCTTCTTACAGCCCCAGCACAGCCCCAGCTCTGCCCAGCACAGCACAGCCCCAGCCCAGCACAGCCCCAGCTCTGCCCCAGCACAGCACAGCCCCAGCTCTGCCCCAGCCCAGCACAGCACAGCCCCAGCTCTGCCCCAGCACAGCACAGCCCCAGCCCAGCACAGCCCCAGCTCTGCCCCAGCACAGCACAGCCCCAGCTCTGCCCCAGCCCAGCACAGCACAGCCCCAGCTCTGCCCCAGCACAGCACAGCCCCAGCCCAGCACAGCCCCAGCTCTGCCCCAGCCCAGCCCAGCACAGCCCCAGCTCTGCCCCAGCCCAGCACAGCACAGCCCCAGCCCAGCCCAGCACAGCCCCAGCTCTGCCCCAGCCCAGCTCAGCCCCAGCCCAGCACAGCACAGCACAGCCCCAGCTCTGCCCCAGCCCAGCACAGCACAGCCCCAGCCCAGCACAGCACAGCCCCAGCTCTGCCCCAGCCCAGCACAGCCCCAGCTCTGCCCCAGCCCAGCACAGCCCCAGCTCTGCCCCAGCCCAGCACAGCCCCAGCTCTGCACCAGCACAGCACAGCTCAGCCCCAGCCCAGCACAGCCCCAGCTCTGCCCCAGCCCAGCCCAGCCCCAGCCCAGCACAGCCCCAGCTCTGCCCCAGCCCAGCACAGCACAGCCCAGCTCTGCCCCAACCCAGCACAGCCCCAGCTCTGCCCCAGCCCAGCACAGCCCCAGCTCTGCCCCAGCCCAGCTCTGCCCACAGCCCAGCACAGCACAGCACAGCCCAGCACAGCTCTGCCCACAGCCCCAGCACAGCACAGCATAGCCCCAGCCCTAGCCCAGCACACAGCCCCAGCCCTGCCCCACCCCAGCACAGCCCAGCTCTAGCCCAGCACAGCCCAGCCGAGCACAGCCCAAGCCCAGCCCAGCCAGGGAGCCAGGAGCCTCCACACTCAGGTACTTACTGTGCTGTGATAGCTGTGTGCTGTGTGTGTGCTGTGTGGGTGCGTGTGCTGTGTGTGTGCTGGACTGTCCTGTCCTGTGCCCAGCCCCCTGCCCTGCCCCTGACTGACCCTGGAGCAGGAGGAGGGGGCAGAGGGATGTGTGAGAAGGGATCAGAGCTGCTCAGCTCTCAGCCTGGGTCCTTGACGGCGAGCAGCGGAACTCACTCACTCACTCACTTACTCTCTCACTCACTTACATTATATCGCTCCCTCTAGTCCTCACTCACTCTATCCCTTCCTCGTTCACTCCCTCTATAATAATAATAATCCTCGCGTTTTGATATAGCGCCTTTCACGTCTTCTCGACGTCTCAAAGCGCTTCACAGAACAGTGAATGTAATTGTGGGCGAAACGCGGAGGTCAATTGCGCACAGTAGTGTCCCACAAACAGTCGTGGGTTAAAATGACCAATTTTATTATTGTTTTTTTTCTTGAGGGATTATTATTAGGCGTGTGGAGTAAGGAAACTTGCCCAAGGTTTCGCCCTGACCTGGGAATCAAACCCAGGTCTCTCACTTGTGAGGTGAGTGCTCCAACCACTGAGCTACAGGACTCTCTCCCTCATTCACTCTATCCCTCATTCCTCCCTCACTGATACACTCTCTCCCTCCTTCACTCCCTCACTCCGTCTATCCCTCACTCCCTCTCTCTCTCTCACTTTCTCTATCCTTCACTGCTTAATAAACAATGCATTAGTAACTGCACATTTACTGTAAATTGGAGGTTCATCAAATGGCTGTTTGTAGGATTCATCATCAAAAGTTGATCCAGAGAGTAGGGATCAGTTTCTTAATATCACAGACACAGCACAGACAGAGACGTTGCTCTAAGAGGATCAGACTCCCTGAGGGATCACTGCAGCCTTTTAAATAGATAATATTCCTTACATTTGATACAGCATATTAACTCGTATTAATCACCTCCTAACTCGTAACACCGCTCCCGTACCCTCCATTACTCCCGCATTTATTGCAGAAAACTCAGTCTTAACCCATTGAAATGCGCAGAAAGACTTCATTTCCCGAGATTCTACCATACGGCGATGGGTCAAGACATTGGATCGCAGGAAACGTCGTCTTGACCCTTCGCCTCATGCATTTACCGGCTGCATTTAATTACACAGACGCAGTGTAAATTATTGATTAAATTGGATTTTTACGATTTATACAAGTTGACCTGCAACTCAGATTTTGAGTAGGTCATATTAAATAATTATATTTATCCTTGCATTTGATACTTTGCCTTATCATGCCGTTGAGACATCTCAAGAGTACACTGTAAAGCGAAGTGACTGTATGTTTTGTGGGCAAAACATGTTATGATCCCTACAGATATGAATTGTGTGAGTTTAACTGTCGTATGAGTTTCATGTTGAATTTGTCTAGCTTTTATTACGTAGAGTTTTAGTTATAGTTTTACTATTTCTGTTCTCAGTGACATTCTTCTGCTCCATCTTCAGTCTGTGGGGATTAGAGAGTTCAGATTTGTAGGAAGTCCTTTAAAGTGCTCCGTGTATGTCTGTATTATACAACCAACAGATTGGAGCTGATCCTATCAGCTTGATCTAAATCACAGGCTCGTTTGCAAATGGTTCCTTTGCACTGGGAAGCTGGCCTTCTGGCAACTTGGACTCATTCATATAATAATAACCCTTTTATTTGATATAGCGCCCTGTCGCTTAATTTACAGTGTATTCTGTGAAGCGCTTTGAGACATCTCGACGACATGATAAGTACTTATCAAGACATTTCAAAGCACTTTACAGAATAGATTGTAAAGTGAATCGACTGTGTATTTATTGGGCAAAATGCTGCCAATTACAGACAGCAGGGTCCCACAAACAGTCGTGGATTGAGTGACCAAATATTTTTATTACCCCTTGAAAGTGATCTGCCAATTGACTAACAACCAGGTTCCTACTGACTGTTCAGTAAACAGAGGCGTGTGGAGTAAGGAAACTTGCCTAAACTTTGCCCGTCTGGGAATCGAAGCCAGGTGCTCTCGCTTGAGTGGTGAGCGCGAGTGAGAGAGAGATTGTGCAGGTGTTGTGGTCGGGTTGTGCTGTGTGATCATTAGCGGTGATGAGGTGGCTGATCTGGGTGGATGTGCCGCTGGATTCACTTTTATTCCCTTCCTCTGCAGGTCTGTATCGTAGTCAGTCCAGCGTGTGGTGCCCCTGGGAGTGAGGGAGCGTGAAGGGGCCGCCATGTTGCACTACGGAGGCTCGGTGGGGAGGAGCCGGGTTCCTGTTAACGCGGGGCTCCTCGCCCCCTCGTGCGGAGTCCAACAGCAGCAGTTCACCCTGCACAGCCCTCAGCTGCTGGCCAGCCTCCAGCTCCAAAAGCTCAACAGCCAGTATCACAGCTCTCCCCTGCCCTCTGCTCCCCCCCCAGGGGACACACTGACTCCAGTCCCTCCCCAGCCACCGGCACAGGGGCCCCCGGCCCCTCCCTCGCCCCACCCCCCCGGCATCATCGACACCGACCTGATTGACGAGGACGTGCTGATGGGCCTGGTCCAGGAGCTGGGGTTGGACCGAGCCGCTGAGCTGCCTGAACTCTGGCTCGGACACAACGAGTTTGACTTTGCCTCGGACTTGGCCACCGGCAACGCGGTGACCTGCTGACCTGCCCTTTCATCCCTGGACCCAACCAATCACAACGAGAACTCCGCACCCATCCCAACTCCTTACTGAACTGGTCCCAAGTCGTTCCTTTACTGAGCAGATCTGAACCGCTCTACAAGTGATGGAGACACTTATGTTTGCAGACTATAATCCGCTCCGTGGGACGTCCTCCCGATGTGAAAGGCGCTATACACATGTAATTAGTTGTTGTTTGTACTGATCCATTCCCACCCTGGAATGACTTGCCTTCTGCTAACGTGCTCTGACTGGCTTCAATGCAACTTGACTGTTGCTTGTGGATGAAAAGGTTCCCAAACCAACTTGAGCGGCGGAGAGAAAGAGAGCTTTAAGGAGCTTTTTACAGGGAACTGCGCCAGGAACTGACAGGGAGCCTGAAGCCAAACTGGCGACGCTTCTAAATACACAAGAGTTCTAGAAAAAAACAGAGTTGAGGATCAATATTGCTGTTTTAGTGTGCCTTAAGTAGGTTGCTGTCTGTAAGTCATTCTTCCTACTGTTTTCTTCTGTAGTATCAAGTTTCATTTCCTTTCAAGTTACAGCAGCAAAATGCCTCTCCATCACTTCTGTGGTCAGTCATTAACAGCACAGCTCTGGAGGAGGAGGTGTGCATCCCCTTGTGGACACAAATGGAATTACCAACTGGAATCATTCTGTTGTGAAGGTTCTGTGCTCTCAATGGCAATCTATGTGGTTCCAGCTGGTTAGACTCCAGCAGTTACCTCAACACACAGCCTGGCTCATCGGTATGCCAGTTACTAGGGGCAGGAATTCTTCTTACTCAGCTCCTGTTAACCTGACAAGCCAAAACCCTAACGGGTAGGATGGTTCTAGCTGAACAAGCAATGGGAAAGCTTGCCAGACAATGATATCAATGGGAAGCTATGTGGTTTTAGCTGGTTACACTCCAGCAGTTATTCCATGCGCACTCTGGGGTCCCCAAGCCTTGGCTCTTGCCAACCTGTGCATAATACTTTCCGGAATTAGGTGAACAGGATGTGTCCCTCCAGGGAGAGAGAGCGCATTCCATTCCAACAATCTGTCTCTGGGATTTCCATGTGTAGATGGGATACATGGAATTCTCAGTTTGGTTTGGATACTCTTCAGCATGGTGATGGGTGTCCGTACGTGTCAGACACCCGCCTGAGCAGCGGGGGGTTTGCTGCACTTGTTCACAATTGTCAGGATCAGAGAATGGGGCAAATCGGAGAGATAGAGAGGGAGAGAGAGAGAGAGAGATAGAGAGAGAGACGCCTGCTGGAAAGTGCCTGTCAAGGGAAGATCTCAGTTATGATCAATCACATGATGGTTCTCACTATTGGGTTTGAATGTCGGACACCTGGACCCCAGTGTTGTCATGTCAGCGCCCCCTGGAGAGGATAAGGAGGAACTGCAGGAGAAAGTAACAGAAACAAAAATCTTTAATTCTTCCCACATGTTATTGATGGTCTGTCCTGGTGCCATGTCCTTCCTTCCTGTCTGGAGCACCACTTACACAGATAGACAGACAGACAGAGACAGACAGACTGGCAGACACACACACAGACATACGCACACACACACACACACACGCACCTTGGCCTCCGCTATTCTTGGTTTAAAGACCGAATGAAATTATTCTGAGTCTTGTTTGTAACAGGAAATGGCTTTTTTAATGCCGGAACATTGTTTTACACACTACCGAATTACTACCTTTCCTGCACTCTTTGACAGAGGCTGTTTGCTAGCTGGACACTTTATAGATGCATGCGTTAAAATATATTTCACTGGGGTGAAACTATGGCACTTTTTCTTCAACTGGATGGCAATGCCCTATAGATACTTGTATTCTTAACAGCATTGTTACTGAATAAATCATTTTGTCAGATACAAGGGAAGTGTATATGGTATGAATGGTTTATAGGATTTGTGTTGCTGTGGACCTCACTGGTCAAGTTTGGCCTCTTTACTAATGGTAAATGCTTCAGTGCTGTGTGTAGTCAGTTCTGGGGGAAAGCGTTTGGGAAAAATGCTCAGTAAAAAGAATAATAATAAAAATCCTTGCATTTGATATAGCGCTTTGATAAGTTGTTGAGACGTCTCAAAGCGCTTCACAGGGTTTACTGTAAAGTGGATTAACTGTGTGTTTCGTGGCTGAAATATGGCAGCCAGTAATGCCAGCAGCGAACCACTAACGGCCGTGGAGTGAGTGATCAACTTTATTTTGGGGATTGTTGGCTGGGACACTGGGGGAAGAGAGAAATTCCCTTCTCTTTTTGAGTAGTTCCATGGGATCTTTAACGTTCACCTGAACTGACAGATGGGACCTTGGTTTATCATTTTATCCAAAGGACGGCACCTCCGATAATGCAACACACCCCCAGCATTGCATTGGAGTGTCAGCTTAGACTGTGTGATTCCCGGTCTCGATATAGGGCTTGAACCCACAGGACAGGAGTAAAGGAGAAGTTGGTTAAAAAGGCTTCTTTGCATGACTGTTACAGGAGCTGTCCAATCAGCACCGTTGTGGATACTATAATAAAAGTAATAATAATCCTTGTACGTCTTCGAGACATGATAAGGCGCTAAATACTAAAGCATTAAAGGAGAAATAAGACTTTCTTTACAGAGGCTGGTGGGAATGTGGAATTCTCTGCCACAATCCCCCTGTTGAGGAAGACTTTATAAATCATTTTATAAAAATGTAGGTGCTTGAAAAAAGGATCCTTAAAAAATATGGTGAATGAGCAGGAGAATGACTCACACAGGAGAAAAACATCCTCACAAACGTAATGGGCTTAAAGGTCGGTTCCATTCTATGATATTAGGATAGTATCGAACATTGCAAGGGCATTTCTCCAGGAGAAACTCCCTTACGATGTTCCAACAATTTCCTCAGTTAATATTGGGCATTCACATTGGGACATTGCTGTGCGCAAATTGGCTACCTTGTTGGGCTACAAGATACAGTCATTAAGCTTTACACTATATCCTGCGAAGCACTTTGATATGTTCTCCAGATGTGAAAGGTACAACATGAATTGAAAGCATTATAGAATTATTATAAATCTATTTGGCCCATTGAGTCCATTTCTTGGGACCTCCCCAACACATGGTGTCTCCAACGAGAGCTGTAAACTTCCACAATCTTTTCCTCCACCCCCCGCACTGTCTCGTGTGGTGTCCCTCAGGGCTCTGTCCTCGGTCCCCTCCTCTTCACCCTCTATATGCTCCCCCTCGGTGACATCATCCGCAGACATGGGGTTAACTCCCACATGTATGCGGATGACACCCAACTCTACCTTTCCTCCTCTACCCTCAACTCCACGACCCCCGATGTCCTGACAGCTGTCTGTCCGACATCGAGTCCTGGACGAGAGACAACTTTCTTGAGCTCAACGTGCGCAAAACTGAGGCCCTCCTGATTGGCTCACGTCAGCGCCTCCGCACCTCAGGCGCTGACACCATCAGCATCCAAGGCCGCACTCTCCACCTCTCAAAGCCATCAGGAACCTCGGGGTTCTGTTCGACCCTGAGCTGTCCTTTCTCCCTCATATCCGCACCACAACTGGCACCGCCTTCCATCACCTCCGGAACATCGCCAGAATAAGGCACTACCTCACCCCTCACGCTGCTGAAACTCTGGTTCATGCCTTTATCACCTCAAGGCTGGACTATGGGAACTCTCTCCTCGTCGGCCTTCCCGGCCCTCCCTCCACACTGCAGGTCATTCAGAACTCTGCAGCTCGTGTACTGTCCCGCACCAGTGACCACATCACTCCCACCCTCGCCCTCACCCTCACCCTCGCTCGCCTCCACTGGCTCCCCATCCCCAGAGGATCGAATTCAAGATCCTCATCCTCACCTACAAGGCCATTCACGGCCTCGCTCCCTCCTACCTCTCCGAACTACTATCCCCCCACGTACCCCCCCCGTACCCTCCGTTCCTCTGGCTCCGGTCTGCTCCACATCCCCCGCCCCAACCATCGGTGGCCTTCAGCCTCTCAGCCCCGAGGCTCTGGAACTCTGTCCCCAGTGCCTTCGCCGCTTCCTCCCTTTCCTCCTTCAAGGCCGGTCTCAAGACCTTTCTCTTTGACCTTCAGCCTTCAGCTCCCCTCTCAACTCTCTACCCCCTCCTCGCTCCCCCCCTTCCCTCCCCACACCCTGACCTTTCCCCCCCCAATGCTCGGGTCCTGACCCAACTGTACAGCGCTTTGGGACGTCCTCCCGACGTGAAAGGCGTGAAAAATCTATAAATGGAATCTTGTTGTTGTTGTAAACTAACAGGTAAATAATAATAATATCCTTGCATTTCATGTAGCGCTTTATCACGTCTTCGAGTTGTCTCAAAGTGCTTCACAGAATACGCTCTAAAGTGAATTGACTACATTTTGTGGGCGAAACACGGAAGCCAATTGCGCACAGCAGTGTCCCACAAAACAGTTGATTGAATGACCAAATTATTGTTTTTTAAAAAATTATGTAGAAGGGATTATTATCCCCAGAAAAGTGATCCGCCAAACGACCAACAGCCGGGTTCCTATTTACTGCTATTTACCGCTAGGTAAACAGAGGCGTGCGGAGTCAAGAAACTTGCCCAACGTTTTGCCCTGCCCTGGAATCAAACCCAGGTCCTCTCGCTTACGAGGCGAGCGCTCTAACCACTGAGGTACAGGTCTCCGCCTTCCGGGTGAAAGTTTCAAGAAGAGAAAATGCCCAAGTCTCCGTGGTTCCCCAAGTATTCATTGGTCACCACAAGACTATCGGGGCCGAACCCACACTCATCACTGGAGAACCAAAAATCAGGTTAAATATCCAAACAACCAGCGAGCGTGCAGGCTCCAGGGTTTGACTCCATTTCCCTCTGTACATACTCTTATCCACTCACATTCTCTCCACTGAACTCAGTAACATGCGCTGATGTGCTGTTCCACCTCCTGTACCGACGCGGCCAACGTTGTCGTCCTTCGTGTGCGTGGGCAGGAGTGAGCATCGGCCGAGGTCCCGTCTGCCTGCTCAGGTGGATGTTAAAGATCCCGCGGCGCTATTCCAAAAGAGCTCTGTCCCGGTCTCCTGGCCAACAACCCCCCCCCACTCCCCACTGCCCCACGGCCCCCCGCCCCGGGTAAACCTGGGTGTTCACCCCATGGCTGTTTGATGGCCCATGACCATCGGTGGTCGGGCCTTCAGCCTCTCAGCCCCGAGGCTCTGGAACTCCATCCCCAGTGCCTTCGCCGCTTCCTCCCTTTCCTCCTTCAAGGCCGGTCTCAAAACCTTTCTCTTTGACCTTCAGCCTTCAGCTCCCCTCTCGACTCTCTTCCCCCTTCTCGCTCCCTCCCTCCCCTCACCCTGACCATTTCCCCCCTCCTCGCTCCCTCCCTTCCCTCCCCTCCCCCTGACCATTTCCCCCCCAATGCTCGGGTCATGACCCAACTGTGCAGCGCCTTGGGACGTCCTCCTGACGTGAAAGGCGCTTTATAAATGGAATCTTGTTGTTGTTGTTGTTGTGGGGCTTCGCTGTTTGCACACGTGCTCCGGCATTCGCCCGCAAACACACAGTCACTCCACTTCACCGTAAAGCTTGTGAAGTGCATAATAATAATAATAATAATAATGAATGATGATGATGAATCCTTGCACTCCATCCAGCGCCTCGTCGCACGGTGGCGGCGTATCGAAGCGCTTCGCACCACAGACTGGGAAGTGTAGTGACTGTGCGTCATCAGCACCGAGACTTCCTCCCGACGGGAAGCGAGACACAGCGCTGCAGCAAAACTGCAAAGATTATTATGATGATTGTTATTATGATGATTGTTATGAGGATTATTGCTGTGGTCCCGGTCTCGGGCTGCACTCCCCTCAGACGAGGTTTTGCCAGAAAATAAAATACCTTTTTTTTTAATTCAATACCTTTTGTGGCTGAGGAACGGAACCGAACACCGGGCGTTGCCTCCCGCGGGTGGGGGACTGGCCCACGCCGGGTCTCCGAAGGGAAACCCCCGACAAAAAAAAAGCTTCGCCCACGTTTCGCTTCTCATCCATTTAAAATGGCGCCGCCGCCGCCGCCCCGAAGCCGTTCGTTGGGGCGAACAGTGACGGCAACGAACCGCCCGCCCCAAAAAACCCGCCCAAAAACCCGCCCCAACCCGCGCTCCGCAATGGCCGGGGCGGTTGCCACGGGAACGCGGGGCTGCCTGCGCGCGCAGTCCCACCCGGCCCGGCCCGGCTGACCTCTGACCCCGCCGGGAGCTGCCGTGCGCGCTGCATTGTGGGTCGCCCAGCCTTTTCCCCTCAGACACAGTCATGGTGAGGAGCTGCGGCCGCCGAGCGCCGCCGCGCAATCCGCCGCCATCCGCGCCCAGCGAGCCCGAAAACCCGCCACCCTCACCGCCCGCCGTGCGGGAGCTGCCCGGGAGCGCGGCCGCATGGGAATTGCTGCCGCATCGGCCGTTTCCGAGTCGCTCTCTTCGAGTAGCGAGACGGCTGTGCCCGGCGTCGCGCCCCGAGCGGGCGGCCATTATTGGCCCTCGCTGGACACCCGCGCCGCTTCCCGCCCGGTGCTGTGGCCGCAAAGCCTCGGGTTGGCGTCGGATATAATGCGGTTCGAAACGCGTTACAGCCGAGGAGTTCGCAGTTAGTTGGCGGTTTGGTTGGTGTGAGGCCGCGGCCATCAGGGGCTGAACCCCGGGCTCGCGGGCCCGCCCGGGAGGCGCTGCGGCAAACACGGCGTCAGCATCACGGCGTCCGTCCGCAGGACAGACTCTAACCCGCTGTCATCTTTCCCCACAGGCCCGAGGTCCAAAGAAGCACCTGAAGCGCTTGGCAGCGCCCCGGCACTGGATGCTGGACAAGCTGACGGGGGTGTTTGTAAGTGTCCGTCTCATAGGTACCCCCCCCCCCCCCGGGGGAGGGGTTTGGTGGGGGGAGTGGGGGGGAGATATGTGGAAATAATATTTTTAATTGAAATGAGCTCACAGGTTGGCGCTGTCTTGTCGTTGCCTTTCGTATACGTGGAGAGAGTGTATTTGTGTTAACGTAAATACGGTCGACTGACCTCCTGACTCTCTCCCCAAGTAGAGGCTGCAGATTATTCAGAACTCTGCAGGTTGTCACCTCTCTCCCCCCCCCCCCACCCCCTCCCGCACTAAGGTTTGTGAGCCGATCGCCCCATCCTCACCCGGTTTCACTGCCCCCCCCCCCCCGAGGATCGAGTTCAAGATCTTCATTCTCGCCTTCAAAGCCCTCTACGGTTGTGCTTCTCCCTACCCCTGTGAGCTATTAACACTTCAAAAGCCTCTCTGCTTATCTCCATGGCCCCCTCCCTGCCCAGTCCACGATCGTGGTCGGGGTTTCGGCCCTCACCCTCTGAAACTTCATCCCGCATTCTCTCTGCCTCACACCCTCCCTTTTCTCCTTCAAGGCTCACCACAACACCTTCCTTTTTCAACCATGCCTTCAGTCATCTTCCCTTCTCCACGCCTCTCTAATCCCATTTTGCAGCGCGGGTGCAAACCCCTCACTGTCCAGTGCTTTGGGGCATCCTCCAGATGTAAAAGGCGCTATGTAAATGCATTTTAATGTTAATCTAGTAAGTCTCTGCCTGGCAAATGCCTTCATCTCTGCAATTGAACATCCACAGCTCCATCTGCGGTCATTATCATTTTCTGTGAGGGGAGTGGGTACAGCGTAGCTACAGTAAATATACATTCACCAAATTTTACAGTGAAACTTGGGAATAGCTGTCAGATGTCTTCATGATGTAAAAGAAGCCATATCGAATGCAGCGATTACTATTCCCTAATCTGTTTTCAGTCCCTTTCAGTGTTTAACGTTGGTTTAATTATTCTATGTTTTGTAATCGTAATCCTTGCATTTGATATAATGCCGAGAGCATCTCAAAGGCTTCACAAAGCTCCAAGTGAAGTGACAGCAAATGTTACCTGCTTGTGCTTAATGTGGATGGAGAAAGGTGGTTAAAGATATAGGTGATTTCTCACCTGGGAGCTAAACATGAGCACATGTGAAGTTTAGGCACTTCAATTGGGTTACAGTGTTAATTTTATTTATAAAGTATGGGACAAGCATCGATTTTTTTAAAAAAAGGTAACTTCCTTTGTTCCAATCTTGTTCCAATTCGTGTTAAATGTTTGCTGCAACTAGAGAGACGTGATTATCCTTGCTTTTGATTTCAGTGACTTTAATGCCAACATCTCACAGTATTTCCCAAAGTCAGCAGAACCCCGTTATAACATGGTGATTTAGGACCATAGTTTCAGTCCCTGCGTTAAACAAATATCTGCCAGTCAGCACTTCCTAATCTCAGGTTGCTACTGACATCAGTAAGCTGTACATCTGAGCAGAAACCCAACCGGTCAGCAGCAGGTGCTCTTGCATGCATTTCCAGCCATTGTTTGGATGGTGCTGATGCTGGAAGGTTTTCTGTGTGCGTGTGAGAGTGAGAGAAGCCTACCCTATATTGCAGGTCAATTTGCCATTTACCCCTCTCTCTGCCTTCAAACCTCACTAAACAAAACTTTCACCATGCTTTTGGTTAATCCCATTAAATTTTCTCCCTTCTCAATGTTGTTTTGCTCATACTCTTTTTTCCCCCCCACCTCACACTATTTTTGTGAAGAGCTTTGAGAAGTTCTTTCTATATAAAAAGCACTATTTAAATGCAAGTTGTGCCCTTTAGAAGAGTCCTTTCTGCAGTTGTCAGTTCAGTTGGCAGAACTCTGAGTTGTGTGTTCATGTCCCGCGTAGGACCTTTTGAGCTCAAGGTATTGGGAGCACGACATTGTCAAAAGCCTTTTGCTTTGCATGAGATATTAAACGAGGTCTCATCTGCTTCTTCAAATAGACATTAAAAGTTCTATAACACTATTCAAATAGAGAAGCAAGTTTCTCCTAGAGTCCTGGCCATGTTTGCTGACAAATTACAGTATGTGCCCCTGACATCAATTACCTGTGCTGTGATGATTTGACATTATCAAATGCAAGCTTTTTATGATTGGTTGAGCTGCTTGTGCTCAGATTAAAGCCACTTATAGACGTATTAGTTCAGGCCACTTGCCTTTGACTGGAAGAAGATTAAGAAAATCAGGAAATGTAAGGTAGATGTATACTTTCAGAAGAATGTCCTAAGTGCAATGTTGTGGGGTGTATGTTGCTGGCAATATCCCGCCCCAGAAAATGGAGAGGGGCTTTAGAGCTGTACAATAATGTATAGCCTTTACTGTCAGTGTCGGTGCTCCACTCTGCTGACCCGGAGACATGCCTTTTCTTTGTCAGGCTCCACGTCCGTCTACTGGTCCCCACAAACTTCGGGAATGTCTTCCCCTCATCATTTTCCTCAGAAACCGTCTGAAGTACGCTTTGACCGGTGATGAAGTGAAGAAGATCTGCATGCAGAGATTCATTAAGATTGATGGCAAGGTTCGCACCGATATCACCTACCCAGCTGGCTTCATGGGTAAGTGTGGGGGTTCCTCCCTGGAGCCTTGTTGTTGAGCAGCATCTCCGCTCTTACTTCTGGACTATACTTAATCCTTCCAAGTCCTGCCCATGAGCCAGGCTGGCTGTGCTGTCATCAGCAGTACCCTGGAATACTGTGGACCCACCTGGCTCAACAACCGGACTATCGAGACCAACCACAGTTGTGTTGGCTCGATTCTGACATTCCTTTGCCAAACATTCCCCTTGAGACAGTTCAGCTCCAACTGAAAGCACTGTCTCTGTCACTGGGAAATGAACTTTTTCTTCTGCCAAAATTGGATTCATTTTGAAAGAATGCTTGGGAGCAGTGGAGCTGGTATGTATTCTCTCCTTCCCTTGCTTTGAATGAATCCTGGTGTATCCTTGGTATTGTCTCGTCTTAGTTTTGTGTCCCAAGTGCTAGATGCAGTAAGATGGTGGGATATGGGGGGGTAGCTCTTGAGACCTGGGTTTGTGACTGGTGGTAATAAACCATAAATATGTTGTTTCCAAAATAATTTCAAATACTTGTGAATCAGATAAGTATGTTCTATATCGTTCTATGTATCACTTGTGTCTGGGTTTCCAACACAGTTAGGGTATCCTGAAGGTGTTTGTCCCACTTACTGGCCAGTTAAGTGTATTTGCCCCTACCTTTTTGTATATGGACTTTGTGCTGGAATATAGTTCCATGGACACCAAAGCAGTGGTTCATCATGTGTGAGCCTGGATGGTGAATGTCATTAGGCTGGTAACCAATGTCACTTTCTTTAGTTTAAAAAAAACCCGGTCGCCCACAAGTGCACACTTTGCAGTGAATCCCGTGACGTGCTTTGTAATAACTCAACCATGTGTGATAAGGTGCTGCATAAAATGCGTAGATTATTAAAAGTTAATATATAATACAGTGCCACAGACTACTACAATGAGCATGGGGAAACAGTTTGAGTGCAACAATTGCTTTAGTGCTTCCTGGGCTGAAGAGGACAACCCCAGTCCCTGACTGGAAAGTGCCTGTTTGGATGCGTTGGACTTCACTGATATTTTGCCTCCAAGGCTAACCAGCTGTCTCACTCATGATGAATGGCTATTTGGTGAACTCTGCTCCCCATGAATCAACACTCAGTTGAAGGCAGGTGAGGGCCCCGGATGCGGAGAGAAGATAGTACATGTGAAGCCCCACAGTTTGTCTGATATAGGCATGTTCTGATCACTGCTGGCTCTCGGTAGGTGAATGTGAATTGGAATTAGAAGCTTTTTGTACTCAACGTTTCACTTTGTTTGCAGATGTCATCAGCATTGACAAGACTAATGAACACTTCCGTCTGATCTATGACACCAAGGGGCGTTTTGCAGTGCACAGAATCACCGCCGAGGAAGCCAAGGTAACTGAGTGACTGAGTGAGCATTGACAGCGTGTCTGTAAAATGGTGGATGTCTGCTTGAGCAACATATGACTGGGAGGGTTGGGGCTCAGAGAGGTGTAAACTCAAGGTCCGTTAACAGATCAGCAGTGCCATAGAGAACTTCGTAAAGGCTGAAATCACCACTGTCAGATCCTCTGATTGCAGATATGAGTGAATGGCAGTTCATTCCCCTTTGGGATTTTAATGCTTCTGGTGTTGTTTACGCACAAAACAACATTACATTGTGCTCAATTAAGGACATTGTGGATTCTCTTTTAACACTTTGCCCGTAGTGTTGGCCTCAGTGTTACTGTACAAGACACCAATTCATTCCTCCTTTAATCTGGAAGTTGTCACGTTTTGCGTCATTGGCTATGTTTTTTTTAACACCTCTTGTCCCTCCTGTGGGCAAGTCTCTCAGTTTTGTGGCTGAGTGTGTGATCGTCTGGCTTCTGTGCGATTGTTGCTTCTACACAAGAGCACGGCTGAAATTTGCAGTTGGTGACCTGCCTATCAGTATGCCTGCACTCAAAGGATTGTCGAATCACTGAAGTATGGTTGAGCTACAGGGACAGGAGTCCAACTGTGCCCAGTGTGCTATTGAGGAGTTTCATTCCCTTTGCCTGTGATACAGTATGTAGAACGTAAAATAATAAACCACGACACTGCTTGAAGTATAACCTCATAATAAAGACCGTGCTTATAGTTCTAAAACTTCTGAAAGCCATCCTTGCTTCTGGCTAACCTGGTAGGGACTGCAATGTAGTTCCTTTCACATGCTCAGCACTCTAAAGCAAGAGAATATAAGGCTGATTGAACAAGCATGTTTCAGAGTGTTGTTGTTGTAAGCCATCTGATGTTTAATACTCTTCTCGGCTGTGATGGGGAACTCTTGCTTCAGGAAATCGATCATGTTGCACATGCTTTGGTGATCATAAAATCTAAAACTAATACAGCTCCTCCTGGTAGCTAGAGAGTAATACTACCAGTTCAGCAGAATTCGGCCATATCGACTGGAGGAGGCCATTCAACCCCTTGAGCCTTTCTGCCATTCTATTGGATTATGGCTGATCTGTACCTCAACTCCAATTACCTGCCTTTGCCCCATATCCCTTGATACCCTGACTTAACAAATATCTATCCACCTCAGTCTTGAAAATGTGAATGGGTCCAATATCCACAGCCTTTTGGGTGGGGTGGGCGGAGAGTTCTAGATTTTCACTATCCTTTGTGTGAAAAAGTGCTTCCTGATTTCACTCCTAAATGGCCGAGCTCTAATTTTAAGATGATGCCCCTTGTTCTGGATTTCCCCACTAGAGAAAATATTTTCACGGTATTTACCCTACCAGATCCCTTTCTTATTTTAAAGTGGAGTCCTGTAGCTCAGTGGTTAGAGCACTCGCTTTGCAAGGATCATTAAACCTGAGTTTAATTCCAGGCAGGACGAAACCTTGGGCAAGTTTCCTTACTCCACACAGAGCCTAATAATAATCCCTCCAAAAACCCAAAACAATAATAAATTGGTCATTTTCAATCTACGACTGTTTGTGGGACATTGCTGTGCGCAATTGGCTGCCGCGTTTGCCCACAAATATACAGTCAATTCACTTTGCAGTGTGTTCTGTGAAGCGCTTTGGGACGTCCTCCCGACGTGAAAAGCGCTATATCAAATGCAAGGATTATTATTATTATTAAAAACCTCAAATCAGATCATCCCTCAACCTTCTAAAGTCAAGGGAATACAGACCAAATTTAGCATCTCCTGGGGTAACCAGCACAGCAGCTTGGGCAGCCCTGGGTTAGGGAGGGACACGTACAAGGGGCCATGCTGGAGGGTGCACGTGTGGGATGTTGCATGTGCGGTGGTGTGTTCCGAGAGAGTAAGGCACTAAATGTCTTCCGAACAGTGTCTGACCAGAGAGGAAATTGATTTGTTCCACAGAGGAGAAAATATAGTGGGGATCTGCAACAGGTTGTTGATGCTGTGTGTTGTATTTGTGTTGCAGTACAAACTGTGCAAGGTCAGGAAGATCCTCGTAGGTACCAAGGGCATCCCTCACCTGGTTACACACGACGCCCGCACCATCCGCTACCCCGATCCTATGATCAAAGTCACCGACACCGTGCAGATCGATCTGGAGACCGGCAAGATCACAGACTTCATCAAGTTCGACACAGGTCAGTTTGGTGTCTTAAGAGCCATGGGTGTGTGGAGGGAGAGGAGTGTGGCTGATGGACATGTTGCAGTGAATGGTGGGTTCTGCGTCAATAGAGACTCGAATGCAGCTTGGGAACACAGGAACAGGCGTAGGCCATTCAGGCTTCCCCCCTCCCTGAGTCTGTTCAGCCTTCTATAAGATCATGGCTGATCTGTACCTCAATTCCACCTTTGCCCTTTATCATTTAACTAACAAAACCTTTCCACCTCAATCTTGAAAATTTGAATCTGTGATTTGAAATTGTACCTACTTGTGTAAAGAGAATAAGAGAGAATGATGGATTACCGCTTAGAAATTATGTGTTGGTTGTTGTTGTTGTTGATGGTGGTAATAGTCACTACTTCTTTATTTCAGTATTCTGTGTAATTGTAAATTTATATTGTTCTGACCTCCCCCCACCCTGGCCCAGGCTACACTTGTATCCTCCTACAAAGCTTCAGTTTGCATTTTCAGTATCTACGTGTTTTTTTTCAGAGAAATCCATTATGTTTAAGGTTTTTCTTTCATTCCTAAATTCATCCTGTGAATTATCGAGGAGCTCCAGAGTATTGACGTTGAGTTAGTTGGAATGTGATAAATGTCTAATCCTATAGATCTTTTCTCAATAGTATCTTTGTCTCATCAGGCAACTTGTGCATGGTTACCGGAGGTGCTAACTTGGGTCGTATTGGCGTGATTACCAATCGGGAGAGGCACCCTGGCTCTTTTGATGTCGTTCACGTCAAGGATGCCAATGGCAACAGCTTTGCTACCAGGCTGTCCAACATCTTTGTAATTGGAAAGGTAATAATAATAATCCTTGCATTCGATATAGTGCCTTATTGTATCATTGAGACATCTCAAAGGGCTTCACAGAATATACTGTAAAGTGAATTGACTTTATTTTGTGGGCAAAACGTTATGCAGCAAGTCTGGTGTGTGAGCAGGTTGGGGCATACAAACAGTCAATGGTGGCTGGATTAGATAATGAGAACCCCTGGAGAGTCTGGACAGCAATGTGCCCAGAGGCTCGCTCACTGCTGTGAAGAACTTAATTTTCATAACTTGCCATAGCATTTGAACATATTCCTGTGGGGCAAACCGGCTTGCTTATTTTGCTACAAATTATGTACTGTCCTTTTTTTTGTGTGGTGGGGGGGTAGAATCTAATTCCTTGTTAATCCAGAGAAATGAGCAGTCATCAGTGTCATTTTAGTGCAGTGTTTTTTGTTTGAGCAAAGAGTAAACATTTTTATATTCGTGCACTGCATACAGATGAGTTGAGTGAGGGGTGGAAGGGATACACACTGTACGGGTAGACTTTTATTTCAAAAAGTTTTATTTAAGAAAGGTTAACGAAGCAACTATGTATACAACAATCAAATAGACACTGTCCTGTGGTGGTATAAAGACACATGTTCAACTTTTGAGTAGTTTTCTTTATAACCATTTGTTGAAAATGGCCATTTTACATTGAGTGCTGCTGATAAAATGTGCTGTCACTTTGTTTAACAGAAGAGGCCGTTATTGCAACTAAAATTATTGTAAGTTGTTATTATAATGTGAATGGGAGGTGTATTTGAGATGAATAATGATGGTGAGCAAAGAGGATGAATATTGTCGTTGATGGGAAGGCTAGGGCAGTGAAGGATATTCTGATCAGTATCCTATAGGATTGATGGCCTTGGAACCCACTTCCTTGGGAGCTCGGAGCAGGCTCTTCTCGAGAGCCTCCCTTAATTTTCACGGGGCCAGACTGCCTTGGGGCTTTGAAGCTAAGCTGCCTGAGCCGAGTAAAACGTGCTATCTGTAAGCTATTGTATATTGCAGTTCTCCTGCTCACTTTTCTAAATAGAGCTGCTCCAAGGACTTCCTCCCCATCAGGCAATCTGTGTGTGGTTATTGAACTTGAGGGTTGGTCAGTGATAAGTTGGGTTCTGTATCAGAGTAAAATCATAGGTTCTTTTATGGACAGGAGAATATGTTGAGATCAGTGCATTTCTTTTTTCTGTTTGCTATTATGCTCTTAAGTTCTGTAATGCTGTATCAGGTACTATGGAAATCCACTGATGTTGACTGCGTTGATTTTAGCTTCTGTGTCTTTCCCCCCACCCCTCGGTTTAATTTGCTTGTTTAAAATTGTCTGGAATCAACACTGAAACTGGAGATGCAACCTGCAGTTTTAACCGGCTGTTTCTGTGTTTCCAGGGTAACAAGCCATGGGTTTCCCTGCCCCGTGGGAAGGGAATCCGTCTCACTATTGCTGAGGAGAGAGACAAGAGGCTGGCTGCCAAACAGAGCAGCGGTTGAGTATCTGAATTCTACAGTACCCCCAAACACATAAAACTGTCTTTATGTACCTCGTCTTGTGTGTTTTTTGTGTGTCTCCCGCACACCATCTCGTATAGGATGAAACTGCAGCAATATTTCATTACTTTGCTGTGGATATATTTTCAAGATACTGAACAGGAACACAATTCAGCATTTGCAAAACAAATGTGCTCTCTGTGGAATCCTGTAGTGTAGTGTTTAGCACACTTGCCTAGCAAGCGAGAGGACCCAGGTTCGATTCTGGGACGGTGCGAAACCCGAGGCAAGCCACACACCTCTGCTCAGTAGTTAGTTGGAACCTGGTTGTTAGTCGATTGGTGAATCACTTTCCGGGGTGGGGGGTGGGGGTTGATGGTTTCTGCCAGTGCGGCAAGCAAGTGGTCTGGTTTTCCTCGGATATTCCCTGACACCAGGTTACGCACCTCAGAGTGTAGTCACTGTGTGGGCAGCAGCTTCTGCACCGTAAACACATTCACATTGTGTGAACTGCCATCTTTGGATACAAAGGGCGACCATTATAATCCTTTACCCATTTGCCTGTGAGTGGGCTGAGGTCTGATGGTGGTGTGGCCTGCACTGCCTGTTGACTTGTGATATTGTTACTTTAGAGCTACTCCACACTCCTGCTGTCTTGTGATCTGGCTTCACTTACCCAGCGCTTTTAGTGTAGGAGAACATCTTGCAGAGGCGGAGCAGAGGATAAGAGATGGGGAGGGGGTGACTGGGGTGGATTAGCTCCCAAGACATTCACAAAAGAGAAAGGATTCCCTCCAGATTACTTGACCAGGTGTCTGTCCTACCTGTGGCAGAGTTTAGCAATGGGCCATGGCAACAGTGACCTAGAAGACCTGTCCCATGAGACCCCGTCTACACAGAAAAGTCTCAATTGAAAGCCCAATTGGTACCTGCAATGGTTTAAACTTTTAATTTATTTATATAATTACTTTTAAAAGCTGTACATCAGTTTGAGTAAGTTTTTTAAAAAAAGTAATAGAAAAAAGCACACAAGGGGAGGGGGTGGGGGGAACTCCCTGCCTCCCCCACCACTATACACACACAAACACGCACACACACTCGCACAGTTTGCCCAACCAAACTGGCCATGAGGCAGACTAGAGTTCACAGGAATAAATGCAAATAAGGCATGAATGTTAACAATTGACCAGCAATGGCAGAGAGAGATCAGACTTGTGGGTGGTGGTGGAGAGGATGTACAGGGGGGTGTATTGGAGTGGTATTGAGTGGTGCACTGCTTTTATTTCAGTCGATATGAGAGCAGGAGACGGCTATCAATGAGATGTGGGCACTGGAAAAGTAAAGACCCTTAAACCAAGACAAGCAAATAGTGGACATATAGAAAGCCAAAACTGCCCTGATGTATCACTGGTGCCGGAGTGAATGGAGCTTTCAAGTCCTTTCAGCAGGAAAGCTTGCGAGTCAGTACTCTCAATGGCAAGCTATGCAGTTTTAGCTGGTTAAACACCAGCCGTTACTGGGATATTCTTAAGCACGGTAATGGGTTTCTGCAGACCACTTGATCTATCCCCGAGTGTCTATCACTGCCAAACAACCCGTTGTCTTAAATGAAGGTAAACGTACTAATTTAGAACAGAAATACAAATGTCATTTTTCATGCTGGCCCAGTGTGCTTGAAGCCTGTTTGGGACGTCCTCCCGACGTGAAAAGCGCTATATCAAATGCAAGGATTATTATTAAATTGGAATGTCTTGCCTGGCGTCCGATCCTCACAACCTGGCTACAGATAACACACCAGGAGTGAGACAGTGAACTCCGAGCTCTGAACATCGCTGAACAAACAAACCAATGTCTCCAAACTCAACAACGGTGAAAAATAAGCAGCTCTCACACTTGCGTGGCACTGCCACTACCAGGAGTTTCGGAGCAAAATTAAGTTACCTGGCACAGGTCAATAGATTGTTACACACACTGGTATAGACAGCATTAGTGCCCAACATTCTCCATACCCAGCTCAATGGCCAGAGCACCTGGCGTCTGAGCTCAGTGCTGGTCCCGCTGAAGTTCTCTTGGCTCAGGGTGGGATCTGTTCCCAAGTCCTGATCAGGACACTGAGCTGATTACAGTGTGGTACCTGGTTATAACTTGGTTTAACGACATGAAAACACTCATCTTAAGCCAAACCTGGTCACCAAAGAGTTCAGAATGAGATTACGCTGCTCTCACTTTGCTCCAGTCTCAGTTGGTACAAGCCACTCGTGGTGAGTGATTCCTGGGAAAGTAGATCACACACACCTGGGCTTTTGATAAACTTCTAGACCAGTGGTGGCCAGTCTGGCCCACGGGGCTGTCAAGAAGCTGAACTGACTATCACAACACTCCTTCACCTCATAACCTCTCCCTCACTAATCTCAACACTCACCAAATAACGTCTCACCATCTAAGCTCCTTCACACCTCTTCCCATCTATCCTCTCCCTCACACTGCACCAAATAATCCATCTCTCACCATCTAACCACATAACATTTAGCCTCTCCCCCACCATTGCTCACCCTTTAACCCTCTCTCATTCACCATTCACTATATAACTTCTCCCACACCACCATTTACAATCTAACCTTCACCGTCTACCATTGTTTAACTTCTCCCTCACCATCATTCTGTATCCATCTTACTCATGAGCCAACCTCTCCCTCACCACCTAACAACTCTCCATTTAACTCTCTCACTCACCACCTACCACCATCTATTTGCTCCCTCACCAACTCTCCCTCAATATATGGCCTCTAACACACCATAATCGATATCCAACCTCTCCATCACCATTCCTCACAATCTTATCTTTTCCAGCATCACTTACTATCATTCCTCCCTCATTGTGCTCACTCATCTTTGGCACAGTTCTCTGAGCGGCAACTTTTAATAAACCTTTATAAATTGACAACAGTTTCAAGTTCTGGTGTCACTATCATCTCCCGCCTCTTTCATCCCGACCAAACTGATCTGACTCTTTTAAGACTGAGGTGGATAGATGTTTTTTAAGTCAGGGTATCCAGGGATATGGAGCAAGTGACATCCCACAATTCCTGCTCCGCAGTCAAGAGACCAGAACCCAAACCTTAGACCTGATACCCTCAACATACAACAAGATCCACTCAACTCCCAGATGTTCCTATCTCACGCAATCACATCAATGCTGGCTTAGGAAGCCATTGGGTACACCTCTGAAGCCAGTTCCTCCACTGGAGCCATCTCAGCCAAATCCCTGCTCTCTCCCTGTGTCACCATGACTTGTCTTGTAAACCATTGTTAAAAGCATAAAAGCACTTCAACCTTACACACCAATCTGACAAGTGATCAGCCTAAGCTTTTGATACAGACAAGAGGGGGCATCAAAAACCCACTCCCCCATTCAGTGATCTATTGGGTTTGTTTCTGTCAAGCATCGGGAACGACCCATTTCCCCTCCCACTGCCGTTAAAGAAACATTTCCAGATCAGGGTTCTCCATCGTAAACCTTCCCCCTACGTCAGGGTAGGCAGTAGTACATCAGCTTGGGTTAGTTACATGACAAAGACAGAGAAGAGTTTTCTGTTTGATGTTGACACAGGCCTGGGAGGACCTTTGCCCAATCGTTGGGATTCCCAAAAGGAGGGTTTCTCTGGGTGACTTGAGATCGGGTGCTCCCTCGGACATTTGCGGATCCAAAGTTGACGGAACTCTGATGGGTGAGCGTCGATGCCGGTAAGCTGGTCCCAGCAGAGGGCCTCGTTCAGATGCCATCCATCGCTGATGGCGTGTTCCTAAGCCAGCCTTTAGTGGTACGAGGGTGAGCCTGGAGGCACAGAGAGGAAGCAGTGATGTGGTCTGACCTTTCAGAGGTTCTGATATTTCCTCCGTCTGTGACCGATGGCACTGAAATGATTTGAATCCAGTTGTAGTTTTGGTCAGCTGGGTGTCTGACACATGCAGAAACCCACCACACTTAAGACTATCCAAACCAAGTTGAGAATTCTATGCACTTACACACTTACACATGGAAATCCCAGAGATAAATTGGGAGAGACGCATCTTGCTCACCTAATTCTGGAAAGTATTAGGTGCAGGTTGGCAGGCGCCATGGGTTGGGAACCCCAGAGTGTGCGTTGGAGTAACTGCTGGAGTCTAACCAGCTAAAACCACATAGTTTGTTATTGATATTGCTGTCTAGCAAGCTTTCCCGCTGTTTGTCCAGCTAGGACCACCTTACCCATCCATTAGGGCTTGCAGGGTAAGCATGAGGTGACTGGGAATGGGTCATCCCACTTGGTGCAATTGTAACCAAAGTCTTCTCTATAATTCTCATCTGTAAAGCGACATCCCATTATTTCACAGATCGGGCACTATTTTTGCTATTTCTTCACAATTTTCGCTATGTGGACAGGGCGAAACCTTAGGCGCGGTTTCTTACTCCACACACCTGTTTACCTAGCAGCAAGCAGGAACACGGTTGTTAGGCGATTGACGGATCGCTTTCCGGGGGTAATAAGCCCTTCAAAAAAATGGTCACGCACTCCATGACTGTTTGTGGGACACTGCCGTGTTTCGCCCACAAAATATAGTCAATCCATTTTACAATACATTCTGTGAAGCCCTTTGAGATGACTCAACGATGTGATAAGACGCTATATCTACATGCTCCCCCTTGGTGACATCATCCGCAGACATGAGTTAACTTCCACATGTATGCGGATGACACCCAACTCTACCTTTCCTCCTCTACTCTCAACTCCACGACCACCGATGTCCTGACAGCTGCCTGTCCGACATCGAGTCCTGGACGAGAGACAACTTTCTTCAGCTCAACGTGCGAAAAACCGAGGCCCTCCTGATTGGCTCACGTCAGCGCCTCCGCACCTCAGGCGCTGACACCATCAGCATCCAAGGCTGCACTCTCCACCTCTCAAAGCCAGTCAGGAACCTCGGGTTTTGTTCGACCCTGAGCTGTCCTTTCTCCCTCACATCCGCACCACAACTGGCACCGCCTTCCATCACCTCCGGAACATCGCCAGAATACGGCACTACCTCACCCCTCACGCGGCTGAAACCCTGGTTCACGCCTTTGTCACCTCAAGGCTGGACTACGGGAACTCTCTCCTCGCCGGCCTTCCCGCCACCTCCCTCCACACTGCAGGTCATTCAGAACTCTGCAGCTCGTGTACTGTCCCGCACCAGTGACCACATCACTCCCACCCTCGCCCTCACCCTCGCCCTCACCCTCACCCTCGCCCTCGCTCGCCTCCACTGGCTCCCCATCCCCCAGAGGATTGATTTCAAGATCCTCATCCTCACCTACAAGGCCATTCGCGGCCTCGCTCCCTCCTACCTCTCCGACCTACTGTCCCCCCACGTACCTGCCCGTACCCTCCGTTCCTCTGGCTCTGGTCTGCTCCACGTCCCCCGCCCCAACCGCCCTACCATCGGTGGTCGGGCCTTCAGCCTCTCAGCCCCCAGGCTCTGGAACTCCATCCCCCAGTGCCTTCGCCGCTTCCTCCCTTTCCTCCTTCAAGGCCGGTCTCAAAACCTTTCTCTTTGACCGTGCCTTCAGCTCCCCTCTCGACTCTCTTCCCCCTCCTCGCTCCCTCCCTTCCCTCCCCTCACCCTGACCATTTCTCCGCTCCTCGCTCCCTCCCTTCCCTCCCCTCACCCTGACCATTTCCCCCCTCCTCGCTCCCTCCCTCCCTTCCCTCCCCTCACCCTGACCATTTCCCCCTGCTCGGGTCATGACCCAACTGTGCAGCGCCTTGGGATGTCCTCCTGATGTGAAAGGCGCTTTATAAATTGAATCTTGTTGTTGTTGTTGTATATCAAATGCAAGAACTATTATTACTATAAATCACAAGGTTAAGACTATGGGCTTTTGGGTGTGCACAATTATCTACAGTGAGGGTTACAGGCAGGGACTCAATCCTGCCCTTATCTGTTGTCCACACAGACGGTGAAGATTGATCAAGCAGGAGTAATAACACTGGCTGATTCCCCCCACCCCACTCGGCCCATTCTCACAGGGATACTGCAGCCAATTGTAGCCCCAACTCCAGGCCTGGCTGGAAATAGCTGACAGCACACAGTGAGTGAGGGGGTGTCTCAGCTGCTTCACCAATTGTGGCTGAGCCCCTGAACCCCTGGGTTGAATTTGAGCTGAAGGTCTGACCTTGGGGAGAAGGGAATGACTTCCTCAACTGCTCCATGATGTCCTCCAACTGCAGCTCAGTGTCTCGGGATAATGGCTGATCATCTGGCTCATCTGAGGAGAAACACAGGGCACACACATTGAACACGCACCAAACACTGAACACACACGCTGAACATGGACTGTGAGTGTGTATATGTGTGTGTGCGCGTGTATGTGTCAATGTGAGTTGTCAATGTGAATGTGTCAGTGTGAGTATAAATGCGTGAGTGTGTGGGTGTGAGTTTGTGTTTGAGTGCGCGAGTATGTTAGTGTGAGTATGAGTGTGCATGTGTCAGTGTGAACGTGTAAGCGTGTGACCATGTTAGTGACTTACCCACTCTCTCCGCCTCTGGTGTGCTCCGCCCGGGATCTATTCGCTGGTTTGGGGAATGACAGGGAGAGACCGAGCCCGAGGAGGCTGTCGATCCATTTTTCTCTGAGTCTTCCGGAGGCTGAAAACAAGGAAAGAAAATAACTTTTCCTAAAGGAATGTGTGGGTGTGTGTATATGTGTATGTGGTGATGATAAAATCAAAGGAGCGGTTTGAACTTGAGCCCACCCCCCTCCCGCCCTCTGTAAAACTGAACAACTCCCTCTCCAGCACTGAACTCTACGTGGAACCAATTCTGTGGAATCGTAATCACGGTCGAAGAGGAAGGTCTTCATCTGGGATTTAAAGATGGATAAAGTCCAGTGGAAGGAAACAAGAGACAGGTGAGGACAAGAGGAGTAAATTGGGAGAGTAATTGGTGGGAATTACAATTAAACAACAATTTGCATTTATACCTTTTCCGAGAAAGCATTCAAAATCTGTCAAAGAGATGCGAATACTTGTACTGATAGCTGCCCAAAAACACAATGTACTGTATGGAGCAAATGCTACTACATGAATGTTAGCCACTAGAGGGTAATAAACATCAAGGTAACATCAATTTGCTTTCACTGTTCCAAAGAACCCAGACACTTATAAGAACGTAAGAACATAAGAATTTGTTAAGCGAAAGAAGACTGAGTTCCATCCAGTTTGCCTTCCACTGTCCTGGCAGTCGCTTGACACGTCCTGTCCCAAACTATCTACTGTGTCCCGAGATATTATTTCTCAACAGAAATCTATCTAATTTGTTCTTGAAAGAATCAACACTTTCTGCTTCCACTGTCTCCCTAGAGAGCCTGTTTTATGCACTTTGCCCGTTCACTTTCCAATGTGGGACACAATTACAAGATCACAAGATTGATCCGGGTGAAGAAGGTCCTTTTGACCATCCAATCTCATCCTTTCTGACACCCGCCCAACCGTCACCCCATCACAGCATCAAACTGCTTGTTAAATCTGTGCCAGCCTGGCTCAGTGGTACTCTCCCCTCTGAGTCACAAGTATCACATCGGGTCTTGAGATTGCAGCGTCTAGCCTGACACTCCAGTGCAGCGCTGGGTGGGGGGGCGGGAGTTGCTGCATTGCTGAAGGATGAGACAAAAACAACACAATTGCATTTGTCTCGCACCTTTCTCATCGGGAGGATGTCCCAAGGCGCTGATAAACCTGGGTTCCATCTGCCTGTTCAGGTGGAAGTTAAAAAGAGAAGGGAGTTTCTTTCTCCCAGTGTCTTGGCCAACAATCCCCTAAATAAAACTGGTTCCTCACTCCATGGCGATTAGTGGGACACTGCTGTGTGCAAATTGAGCAGCTGCGATCGCCTGCAAATGTAATATAATAATAATAATCCTTGCATTTCATATAGTGCTTTTCACACCTTCTAGACTTCTCAAAGAGCTTCACAGAGTATACTGTAAATTGAATTGACTGGATCTTTGAGAGTGAAACTCGGTAGCCAATTGCGCACAGCAGTGTCCCACAAACAGCCGCGGATTGAGTGATAGTCACGGCAGTTTGCAGTAAATCTTGTGAAGCACTGTTCTCCTGAAGTGAAAGATCCTTTATTAAATGTAAAGATTATTCTTATTCTTAAATGAATCTAGTGTTCTGGTAACCCATTCCTGATGTCTGTCCTGAAATGGCTCTTTGTGCTTTGGGATGTTCTTCCGGTGTGACAGGCGCTGTATCAAATACAAGGATTATTATTGTTGTTATTATTTGAGCTGTAATTTGCTGCTGTTTTCGTGCTGTGGATAGAGGTTCCTAAACCCCTGGCTCAGTATCAGACTCCGCCACTGTCAAGCACTCCAGGTCGCTACCCCGCGTGAAGGGGGATATATAAATGCAAGTTGTTGCTGTTTCTGGCCGGGCCTGTGTTACCTGTAAGAGCAGTTCCCGCAGTCTGCGGAGCTGGGATTCCAGCTGTTTGTTGTGATCCTCCAGGATCTGCATCCGGGTCTCCAGCCGGCTCTTGTGCTGCCGCAGGATGCGGGCCTCGGCCAGTAGCTCGGTGTCCTGGGGCCCAGCTGGGGAGCCAGGGGGCCGGGGGGGGCCCGTGGCCGATATTGCCGCCTCCTCGTGCTGCCATTTCAGCCGCTTGTATTCCTCCTGCAGGATCCTGTCAGGGCAACGTCAAACACAGCCATCAGTACTGCTCGGCCATCGGTAAAAACATCATCAGATGGTGAAAATGGATAGTGGAGTCCTGTAGCACAGTGGTTAGTGAGAGGACGCAAGTTCTCCAATATGAACTCTATTGCCAAGGCACATAGGGGACAAGTTTGAAGTGGGACCCACTTTAGAGAACATTTAACTCAGGCTTAAGTCTTAAAAGTCCTGTAGTCTAGTGGTTAGAGCGCTCGCCTCGCAAGCGAGAGGTCCAGTTAATGTGGAACCTTAGGTAAGTTTTGTTACTCCGCACGCCTCTGTTTACCTAGCAGTAAGCAGGAACCCGGTTGTTAGTCGATTGTCTGGTCACTTCTTGGGGGTAATAATACTCCAAAAAAAAATGTGGTTACTCAATCCACTGCTGTGTGCAATTGGCTGCCACATTTTGCTCACAAAATACGTCAATCCATTTTACAATATATCCTATGAAGCGCTTTGAGACGTCTCAATGATGTGATAAGGTGCTATATCAAATGGAAGGATTATTAGTATCGTAGATGGAGGGTGTATGTTATGTTGGATCAAATGGGCTGAAGGGCTTTCTTCTCCGAAGCCAATGTTGTGATGTTGTATGAAGTGTAGCGATTTATTTATAAGGTAGACTTGGCCAATCCGTCTCCCACACACTCAGCACTGAGATGACGATTAGCACACACAGCACTGAGCTGAGATGACGATAACTACACCCATCGCCGAACTGAGATGATGATTACCACACACAGCACCGAACTGAGATGACGATTACTACACACAGCGCTGAGCTGACTGCCTGACCAATCGAGGCTGTCAGTACCTATTCTCATGCTCCAGGTGGCCAATAATGGCCTGAAGTTCGTTCTTCCCTCCGTTGTCCACCAGGTGACTCGGGCTGTGTGAGGAGTTCTGGGGAGAGTCCTGGTCTGTCCCAGCACTGAAATACTGAAGCACCAACTGCTCGTCATCTCTGTGTGGACACAAATAGCGTTATGTGGGTCATTCCAGTGTGTAAGCGCTCTGGGATGCTACCCTGCATGAGGGGCGCTATATTAATACAAGTTGTTGTTGTTGTTTAACACTCAGCAATTGCAGCTCTCATGCAGCCACCATTCTATTACCTTATCTGCAATTAGCTTCCCTCCTTCAGGCTCCCCCTGAAGGCTCACTGGGCACATTTCCCTGGGTGTTGGTGACTCTTCAATATCTCACAGGAGGTGGGTGGGGGGAGGAATTGAGGCCAAGACACTGGACTCATTGAAAAAGCAGCTTGATGCTGTGATGGGTAGATGGTAAGGTGGGTGCTCTGGAGAGATGAGGTCAGATTGGTCAAAGGGTCTTCTTCATCCAAACCGATCTTGTGATGGTTGTGATTTTGCCCAAATGCTCACCCTGGCAGTCTCTAGTTTGGTTGATTATCACAGAAGCCTGACCCTATCCTCTCTCTCGCTGTGCCCACTGACCCACCTTTCAGCCCAGTCACTGGATACTTCCCAGGAGCTTACACGGTGAGACTTCGCGCATTAGCCACACAGCTTTGATATGTGAGATGTGAATTCAAACCCCACTTGGGGACTTTAAGCCCCCATTGTCCAGGCAGCCACTCCAGTGCAGTGCTGGGGGCATTGCTGCTTTGTCGGCAGTGCCATCCTTTGGATGAGATGTTGAACCAAGGTCCCACTAAAATGATCAAATTATTATTATAGGAACATAGGAACAGGAGTAAGCCATTCAGCCCCTCGAGCCTGTTCCGCCATTCTATTTGATCATGGCTGATCTGTACCTCAATTCCATTTACCTGCCTTTACTCCATATCCTTGATACCCTGACCTAACAAAAATCTATTGATACCGATCTATTCCTAAAAAAATCAAAACCTATTGTGTTTGGAAGGTTCTTGTAATCAAACCTGTGCGACAACCTGACAATCTCCTTCTGCTCAGACTCTCGCCACATTCACAACAACAACACTGGGTAAAAGGGCAGAGTAAACCTATCAGCACTTTTCACTTTACAGTATATTCTGTGAAGCACTTTGTGACGTCTCGAAGATGTGATAAGGCGCTATATCAAGTCCAAGTATTATTATTTTTATTATTATTATTCTATGGCTTACATGCTTTCATCAGGGGATAGGCTGCCGCTGAAGAAGGAACAGTTTTTGTTTTCCATCTCAGCCAGTCTGCAAAAGAGGAAGCAAACAAATTTACCTAATGAGGCTTCACACATTAATTTCACACATTCGTGGCAGCCTTGCGCAGTGGTAGCATGCTCACCTCCGAGTCAGAAGATTGTGGGTTCAAGCCCCACGTCGGGACTTGGAATCACATGGTCTCAAATGCAGCACAGAGGGTGTGTGGTATTGTTGGAGGTGCCGTCCTTCGGATGAGATGTTAAACCGAGATCTCGTCTGCCTGTTTAGGTGGACGTTAAAGATCCCATGGTGCTACTTGAAAGAGAAGAGAGTTTCCCTCTCCTGGTGTCCTGGCCAAATAAAATTGGTCACTCACTCCACGACTGTTTGTGGACCCTGCTGTGCGCAACTGGCTGCTGTGTTTCGCTCACAAAATACACAGTCACTTTACAATATATCCCATGAAATGCTTTGAGATGTCTCGATGACGTGAAAAGCACTATATCAAATGCAAGGATTATTATTATTATCCATACAGCTTTGATATGTGGACTGTGGGTTGAAACCCCACTTGCTGACTTTAAGCTCATCGTCCAGGCTGACAGCCCAGTGTAGTGCTTGGGGCACGGCAGCTTTGTTGGAGATGCCATCCTTTGGATGAGACATTGAACTGAGATCCTATCTGCCTGTTCAGGTGGAAGCAGTGCACAACAATGTGACACAAACGGGATTGGATGATCAATTTTACCTGCAGGATTGTTGGCCGGGACACTTGGGAGAATCTCCCTTCTTTTTCCAAATAGCGCCATAGGATCTTCGAACAGGCAGACAGGAAATTTAACATCTAATTCAAGGGATGTCACCTCTGACAATCCAGGAAGCCCTATTTAACCTGCATTATCAACCTGAATTAGGTGAGCAGGATAGGTCCCTCCAGGGAGAGAGTGCGCATTCCATTCCAACAATCTATCTCTGGGATTTCCATGTGTAGTGGGAGGCATGGAAATCTCAGTTTGGTTTGGATACGCTTAATCACGGTGATGGGTTTTGGCATTAACAGACACCTGGCCGACCAAAAAAAAAGTATTCTCTCAGCATTTTATTGCAACGTCAACCTGGACTATGAGTTTAAAGTCCAATGTGGGGTGGAATCTATGACCTTTAGGCCAAATGATCTTCTTCATCCAAACTTGTCTTATGATCCTGTAAACAGACAGGATGGGATCCTCTGACAAGTCAAGACTCCACAGTCACTCACAGCTACAGATCCTGGTTCATCTACAGAGCCAGAGACTCAGAGATCTGCCTCTCACTGCAGTTCATCAATGGAAGGGTGAAAAGAAAGGCAATGCTTTTACCAGTGGCATTGACACTAGACCCAAATCACTCAGTATAACACAGGCTGAAAATCCAGGTCAATGTTCGCAGTGGCAGTTGGGAGTGTCGCATCCATCAAAATGGCCTTGAATTGGGTTTCATCCATTCACACTCACAGTGACTGTGTTCACATATCCTACCTGCTGGCGTAGTGCTCTATCCTGGAGTGAGTATCCGCGTGTGGCAGGAGGGGAGATGAGACAGGCCTGAAACACAGCACAGAGACAATAAAGACACAGGAACAGGAGGAGATCAATCATCATCAACAACAACAGCAACAACTTGCATTTATAAGGCGGGACAGTATCCCAAAGTGATTAACAGTGGCGGAGCCTGATGCCGAGCCGGGGTGGGGGGAGTGAGGAGGTGACGGTAAGCACAGTCGAAGAAGAAGGTTTTCAGGCATGATCTAAAAGAGGGGAAGAAGGGGGAAAAAGCAAAAGGATTGAGAGAGAATTCCAAAGCTTTGTGGCATAGTGGCTGGAAGTGCGGTCACCGATGGTTGGGGGACGAGCAGGAGGTTAGAGCCACGTTCAGCCCATCTGGCTCACTTTAACAGTGGATCACTGCAGCTCTTTTATTCCCACCTTTCCACATCCTTTAACTCCCAAGTCTCCATCCATCTCCCTGTTGAACATCTCAATAAATCCTGCTATTCTGACCACCCAGGGCAGTGCCAACCACATTTACAGTGTGTCTGGTGTAAAGCTCTAAATAGTTAGAAAATGTTGAGCACATTATAACAGAAACAGAAAACGGAGAACCACAGGAGAAAATTACAGAATTTTACAGACGAGAAGGAGGCCATTCAGCCATTGTACCGGTGTCGACTCTTTTGAAGAGTTCTCTGTTTAGTCCAACTCCCCTGCCCTGTGCCCTTTTTAAGGGGCAAGGCAGAGGGATAGAGGAAAGGGGCTACAGATTTTGGGGGCATAGTGGCTGAAAGTGCGGCCGCTGATGGTAGAACGGAGTTAGAGGGACGAGCAGGAGGCCGGTGCCAGTTGAGCGGAGGCAGTGAGTGCTCTAACCACTGAGCGGGTGGGTTGGGGTGTAAGCAAGTCAGAAAGTTAGGCAGGTGCCAGGGAGAGAAGGGATTTGTAAACGAGAACATTTAGTCCATGAGTTGGAACGTGCTGTGTTGGTGGGATAGACTCACGTGTCGATGCTGTCTCCCTCCATCACGGACTGGACAGGGAGATACCCTCTCTGGGGATGTCGGCTGAAATACTGCTTCGTCCTGAACTTGTTTTTCAATGTCTTGGCAAAGTCCCTCACGTTCTCTCCCGATGTGGTCTGCAGATAAAGCACAGGAGCTGAATGTAGCTCTGTAATATGCTGTAGTAATAATAATCCTTGCATTTGATATAGCTCCTTATCACGTTGTTGAGATGTCTCAAAGCGCTTCACAGAATGTATTGTAATGCGGATTGACTGTGTATTTTGTGGGCGAAATACTATTGCGCACAGCAGTTGTCCCAAATTTTTCTCTTTTTTTTGAGGGATTATTACCCCTAGAAAGTGATCCGCCAATCGACTAATAACTGGGTTCCTACTTTCTGCCGGGTAAACAGAGGCGAGTGGAGTAAGGAAACTTACCTAAGATTTTAGCCCATCTGGGAATCAAACCCGGGTCCTCTCACTTGTGAGGGGAGCATGTTAATAGGACTCACTGGTGTAGCCTGTAATGACTCTTGCTTTTATGTTAGAGTCTGGGATCATCCCCTTCAAGTGGTTGAGCCCGGGGACTACTTAATGTTTAGCACATGCGCAATGGAGGGTATCTGACTGGAAGGGAGGTGGGAGTGAGCCCCCTTGTGTTTGTTCAGTCAGGGTTCAGTGGTTCTGTGGAGTCCTGTAGCTCAGTGGTTAGAGCACTCGCTTTGCAAGTGAGAGACCTGAGTTCAATTCCAGGCAGAGGGTGAAACCTTGGGCAAGTTTCCTTACTCCACACAGAGCCTAATAATAATCCCTCCAAAACCAAAACCAATAATAAATTGGTCATTTTCATTTGTGGGACATTGCTGTGCGCAATTGGCTGCCGCATTCGCCCACAAATATACAGTCAATTCACTTTACAGTGTGTTCTGTGAAGTGCTTTGGGACGTCCTCCCGACGTGAAAAGCGCTATATCAAATGCAAGGATTATTATTATTATTATTAAAACAAACACTTTATATCTGTTGTATGCATTATATCAACTGGGTCATTAATGAGAACCTTTACTTGGGAGAAATGTTATAGGCAGGTTAGGTCTCCTCAGAGACCTGGGTGGGAATCCAGCTCAGATATATGAGACAAAGGGCCCGTCTCCCTACAGACTTTAAAAAATCAGTGGGGCATGAGTTTGGGAACAGACCTATTCCAGTTCCTAATTGGACATCCCATAATCTGTAGCTAAATTGCCAACATTACTCATGGGTGATTAAGGTCTCTGGTCTTGGAAATTCAATGATTGCTCCACATTTTGGTGTTGTGCGAGACAACATTCAAAATCACGACAACAACAACTTTCCTTTTTATAGCACCCTTCACTTAGGACAATGTCTGAAGCCCTAAAGTACCTATTCACTGTGATTCACACACACAGCCATTCCCCCTTACAGCTTGCCCTTGTGTATTACCTGCCAGTAACAAGAGACCTTTGATCAATACTTGGTACTTGGCTATTCACACACCTTTCTAAAAGGAAAACTGGTTTGAAAATAAAGCCAGCATTTCCTTACTGACCTGTCTGCTTCTTCCGCTCAGTGGACTCTGGCCTGCTCCATGTCCCCCGCCCAGCCTGCCACACCGTCGGTGGTCGGGCCTTCAGCCTTTCTGCCCCCACCCTTTGGAACTCAATCTCACAATTCCTTCGCCTCGCTCCCTCCCTTGCCTCCTTCATGGCCCGTCTCACGATCCTCCTCTTTGACCTAACCTTTGGTCACGCTCCTATCCCCAGCCTCCCACCCCTCCTGATCCCAACCCCCAGCTCGGGTGAACATCCTTAATTGTCCAGTGCCTTGTGACATCCTCCCAATGTGAAAGGCACTGTATAAATGTAATTTGTTGTTGTTAAGAATGTGCTGATATCTAGATTCTCTGAAACTCTAATAAAATGGAATAAATCTGGCCTGAGGCGGAAGGTCTACCCTTTGGGTGTGTAACTTACAGGAGAGCAGTATTCCATGATGGGATAGTGCAGCTTGTGACCCTTGGAACCTCTTCCCGTCAAGAAGCAGGTCTGACAGATGTCCACGTTAAACTGCTTCAGACTGCGGTACCTGTCACAAGAGGGGAAGGTGGGGTGAGTCAGAGAGGGCGAGGGAGAAGCACAGAGACAAGAAACCTTCACCACTTACAAGCAAACGTGTAACTTTGCGAGTATTCCACTGATGATAATTCTAAACTGTGTAGAAACATAGGCAGCGCCAACTAATGAGAGATGGGCGAGACTGACTGACAGTGCTAGTGCCAGCCAAGGCCAGTCAATGATAGATAGGCAACACTGCCTGCCCAATGCCAGTCAATGATAAATAGGTAAGTCTGCCAGCCAGTGCCAGCCTGGTATCACTGACAGACAGGATACTAGTTGTTTCAAGTGATTGGATTACATTAGACTTGTAGCCACTCGGTATTGGGCAAACAAAAGGCAAAGGTTAATGAAGTGAAATGATAATTCACTTTCCTCTCTCCATAAATGCTGCCTGACCTGCTAAGTGTTCCCAGTGAACTCTGTTTTTATTTCGGTATTGGCTGACTCAGACCAAATTCATTCACTTTGGGTCCTCACAGCTAACAGAGAGGAGACTTCCTCTCCATCACACTGGGCTGGGATCAAACCCGAGGTCCTAAAACACATGCAAACCCACCCGCCACAGTCAGTGCCCCCGACCGGAAATCGAGGGTCAAATGAACATTGGGTCAATTGGAGCCTAACACTAACACTCAATACAACTATTGAGTGCAACTATTGTATTGAGTGTGTAAGCCAAAGCCCTGATGCGTAGGGTGGTCCTAGCTGGACAAGCAGAGGCCTAGATGACAAGCTATGCAGTTTGAGCTGGTTAAGTTCCAGCAGTTATCCCAACACACACTCTGGGGTCCCCAAGCCTTGGCTCTTGCCTAATACTTTCTGGAATCAGGTAAGCAGGATACGTCCTTTCAGGGAGAGAGTGGGCATGCCATTCCAACAATCTGTCTCTAGGATTTCCATGGGTAGGTATGATGCGTGGATTTCTCAGTTTGATTTGGATACTCTTCAGCATGGTGATGGGTTTCCGCGTGTGTCGGACACCCGGCTGGGGCAAAAATACCCAACACTAGTTATGCGAGGCTAAGATAGGGTGAGGGATTAAGTGGTTTGGCTGCAGGTCCCTACCTGAAGCCTTTAATGGGACATTGTTTACAGACATGGCACTTTGCCTGGTGCTTGGCGGACTCGGCTGACACCAGGCGGTGTAGGACTGGCAGCCACACCATGGACTGTGGCTCCAGCTTCATCCACTCCAGGAAGTGAGTGGCCTCGATCACCGGCTTCCCATCAGCCTGGACACAGGAGAGAACAGCAATAATCCTTGTATTTCATACAGACCCTTTGATCTTGGGAGGATAGCTCAAAGCGCTTCACAGGATTTAATAATAATAGTAACGATCCTTGCATTTGATATAGCTTTTTAATCACGTCGTTGAGACATCTCGAAGCACTTCACAAAATATACTGGAAACTGGATTGATTGTGTGTTTTTGGGGCGAAACTCGGCAAACGATTGCACACAGCAGTGACCCACAAACAGTTGTGGATTGAGTGACTACCTTTTTGTTTGAAGCGATTATTACCCCTGGAAAGCGATCCGTCAATCCACAAACATTCGGTTACCTACTTACTGCTAGGTAAATAGAGGCGTGTGGAGTCAGGAAATTTACCTAAGGTCTCGCCCCACCTGGGAATCGAACCCGAGTTTGCGAGGTGAGCGCTCTAACCAATACACTACAGGACACTGTACAAGTGTAGTGACTGTCTATTTCAATTCCATTTACAGGTCCCTCCAGCTTACTCCCTCCCCTCGCTCCTTTCGGTTACGTATCCAAACATACCTCTTTCAGTCATCTATCCCCTCCACACAACCCATCTCCCACCCTCAGCTCTGGTGCCCAGCCAGAATTGTCAAGCATTTTGAGACACCCTACTGATGTGCAAGGTGTATTAGTGTAAATTGTACTGTATCTTAGGCTAATGCAGCAATGGATTTGCAGGCAGCAACGTCCCATTAATCAGCCATGAAGTGAGTGATCAATTTCAGCTCGGGGATTGTTGGCCTGAGAGAAACGTCCTTCTCATTTCGAATAGCTCATTTCATTAAACATCCACCTGAACAGGCAGACGGGACCTTGGTTTATTTATGGTTTCAGGGGCCAAGGTCTCATTCTCTCTCTCTCTCTCTTCCCGCACTGGGTTGATTCCCCGGCAGGTCTGTGCTGAGCAGAGAAATCTTTTTAAAGCCACTGTGAAATGCTAACAAGATCAAGAGCTGTCATTGACAGGGCGGTTGAAAGCAGAGCTTTGAAGATTGAGTGTTTCTTTAAAAAGGTACAATTCAAACTTGATAGGTATCACCTCCACCCACCCTCCAAATAAGAGGCCACTGAGGGCAAAATAACAGATATAAAACAATAAATAATATTATACAATAAATCATGACAATTATACCTGCTTCTAGGCAGCCCATAGCATTTCTAGGATTATAACAATACAATAATAATCTAAGCATCTGATATAGAGCCTTATCACATCATTGCGACGTCTCAAAGTGAGTCATAGAATATATTGTAGTGGAGTGACTGTGTAATTTTGGGGCAAAACTCGGCGGCGAATTGCACAAAGCAGTTTCCCCCAAACAGTCTTAGATTGGGAGGGTAACAATCCCTCCCCATTTTTTGGGGGGAGGGATTATTACCCCTGGAAAGCGATCCGACAATCCACAAGCATTCGGATTCCTAGTTACTGGCAGGTGTGTGGAGTAAGGAAACTTGCCTAAGGCTTTGCCCCGACCAGGAATCGAACCCGGGTCCTCTCGCTTGCGAGGCGAGTGCTCTAACCAAAGCCCTCCCCACCCGGGAAGGCCTGGCCTCAGACTTACAAAGCGGAAGCAGCTCCTGATGCTGGGCTCCACGTTGCTGCCCCCGAAGGCTGCCACCTCCCCCAACTGCCGCGGGATCTGAATGGCCTCGTGCAGCAGCAAACTGAGCTGTCGCTGGTCACACTGACCGCCCGCTCCGCTCACCTGCTCGTACAGGACTGCGGGGGAGAGAGAGCCAGAGAGTCACAGAGAGAGTCAGAGAGCGTAGAGAGAGTGAGAGACAGAGTGAGAGAGTACAGAGAGAGTAAGAGAGAGACAGAGAGAGAGTCAGAGAGCGTAGAAAGAGTGAGAGACAGAGTGAGAGAGTACAGAGAGAGTAAGAGAGAGACAGAGAGAGAATGAGATAAATAGTTAGAGATGGTGAAAGACAAAGAGTGATATAAACAGAGAGAATGAATAAGACAGATGGGCGGGCAGAGAGAGAAAGAGAGAGTGAGACAGAGAGTGAGTTAGAGACAGAGAGAGAGAAATGAGAGAGAGTTATACAGACGGAGAGAGACAGAATGAGACAGAGAGAAACAAGACCGAATGAGAAAATGAGTGAGAGAAACAAAGAGAAAGAGAGAGAGACAGACAAAGTGAAAGAAAGTCAGAGAGAGTGAGTGAGAAAGACAGAGAGGTAACATCAGTGTACTGGAGGGAGCACAGCAAGAGTTCAGATTATACACATTTCAGTGCTCACACCCACACATCTGCACAGATTGTGTATTGCCAATGGTCGAGGCAGAGTCAGTCACAGAACTGGTTAGTGACAGAGTAAAGCTCCCTCTACACTGTCCTTCCACACTCCTCGGTCAGTGACAGGACGGGTTAGAGACAGAGTAAGATGTTATTTGATGCGGATCTGACTGCGAGATTTGGGGTTTAATAATAATCCTTGATACAACACCTTATCACGTCTTTGAGACGTCTCAATGTGCTTCACAGAATTGACTATACATTTTGTTGGTGAAACACGGCAGCCAATTGTGCACAGCAGTGTCCCACAAACAGTTGTGGATTGAGTGACCAGATTATTATTTTTTTAAACAGTTTTTGAAGGGATTTTTACTCCCAGAAAGGCAATCTACCAACCAACTAACAACCGGGTTCCTTATTACCGCTGGGTAAACAGAGATGTGTGGAATAAGGAAACTTGCTTAACATTTTGCCCTGCCCGGGAATCCAACCCAGATCCTCTTGCTTATGAGGCGAGTGCTCTAACCACTACACTCCAGGACTCCACAAATATTGTCGCCATATTAGATACTTACATTGATATTTCTCCTCCACCTCCGCGTTGCACAAGGCGACGATTCCAGTCTTGAAGGACAGAGCTCGAATCTTACCATTGCGACCTCTGGCAAAGGAAGGAGAGAGCAGAAGGACGTGAAGGTTTTAAGTCATAGGAACAGGAGGTAACCATTCAGCCCCTTGAACCTATTAGATCATGGCTGATCTGTACCTCAACTCCAATTACCTGCCTTTGCCCCGTATCCCTTGATACCCTGACCTAACAAACATCTGTCCACCTCAGTCTTGAAAATTTGAATGGATCCAACATCCACAGCCTTTCAGGTGGAAATGTGCTCTCTGTACTTTCCACCAGTGAGAAAATCAACGACAGGTCAGAATGAGAGAATGTGACAAGCCGTCAGAAAGGTTAATCTCCCAGAGTAACTCTGAGGTCAGGGACATAATAATGTCTCAGAGCGCTTCACAGAATACAATTGTGAACATCAGTGTCCCACAAGCAGGATTAATAGAGAGAGATTGTTAGAGGGAGAGAGGGACAGAGAGAGAGAAAGAGAGAGAGAAAAAGACAGGGAATGAGAGAGACGGGCACACGGAGAGAAAGAGAGACGGGGACAGAGAGAGAGAGAGAGAGATAGGGACAACAACAACAACTTGCATTTATATAGCACCCCTCATGCAGAGTAGTATCCCAGAGCCAGAAGAGAGTTAGACAGAGAGAGAAAAACAGAGAGAGAGAGAGAGAGAGAGCGCGGGAGATACAGGGACCGAGAGAGAGAGAGAGAGAGAGAGAGAGAAAACGGGAGACACAGGGACAGGGGGAGCAAGGCCGAGCTAGGAGGACCTGATGCTGGTACCCACGTGTCATAGACGTTGAGGAGCCAGTTGAGACACATGTCCACAGACAGAGGCACATTGAGGATGATGCCGCGCTCCTGCTCCAGCTGGTCGTACATGGCGGTCAGGGACTGGATGATCTGCAGCACATCGATGGCCTGGTCGCTGTGCTGGAGCTCATGCTGGTTGAAGGTGGCCGAGGCACTGCTCATGCTCAGGAGATCCACTGCCAGCGGAGACCAGAGGAACACAACGATGACAACGACAACACCAACAGATCAAGACCGGGCGAACACAGCAGCGAATCGCGCACGTCTCACAAACAGCCTGGGAGCGAGCGACAATTTTGGGGGGGAATTGTCGGCCAGGACGCCGGGAAGAGGGAGAAACTTCCGTCTCTTTTCGAATAGCTCCGTGGGAGCTTTAACGTCCACCCGAGCAGGCAGACGGCACCTTCGTATATTATATCACTCAAATGAATAGCACCTCCGACGATGCAACAGCGCCCGCCCTACGCCCCACCCCAGCGTTGTGTAGGAAAATGTCACCCGGATAACACAGATGGCAGGAAGAGAGCAGAGCTGTGGAGGTGAAGGTGGGGCTGAACTGTTGGTTTCTGGTTGCTTGTTGAAGACGAAAGCCCGAACGCCGAATCGGTCGTGAGTACTTACGCCTCAGTGCCTTCTGCACCCGTCTCAGCTTCATGGCGGTTCTGTACGCTGAGAACTTTATGTTGTTCAGGGCAGCTGTCGGTAGGAAATAAGATGTCCATTAATTTACATGACTTGTGCCCTCTGAGATGGAAATAAATTACATTGCTGGCCTTCAAATCCCTACACGCTCTTGCCTTCCCCAGCGCGGCTGTTAATAATAATAATAATCCTTGCATTTGATATAGCTCCTTATTATGGAGACGTCTCAAAGCGCTTCCCAGAATATACTGGAAAATGGATTGACTGTATTTTGTGAGCGTAACTCTGCAGCCAATTGTGCACAGCAGAGTCCAACAAACAGTCGTGGATTGAGTGAAAAATTGGGGCGGAGGGGAAATTATTACCCCTAGAAAACGATCCTCCAATCAACTAACAACCGGATTCCTACTTACTGCTGGGTAAACAGAGGCGTGTGGACTAAAAAACTTGGTAAGATTTTGCTCCACCCGGGAATCGAACCTGGGTCCTCTTGCTTGCGAGGAGAGCGCGCAAGCCATCACACTATGGGATTGTGTTCTTTCCAGCCCTTTTCTTCCACCCTGCCCTCCGCCCTTCCGAATATGCTTTACCGCTCGTTCCTCACCCCTAATGTTCCATCATTGGCCAAGCAGCCAGGCACTAATGCCCTCTACAGTTACTTCCCTAAATCCCATCACCTCCTGCCTTCTCTCTCTCTCTCTCCCTCTCCCTCTCTCCCTTCATGACCCTCTTAAAAACATCTCCTCGAGCATCTCCTTTGGCAATGCTCCGACTCCGCGTTCCCCTCCCTGCCCAGAGCTCACCACAATTACGTGAAGCACTTTGAGACGTTCACCCTCTGCGAAAGGCTCTGTATTGTTTGATAAAAGAGGAGCTAAGTGTTAACTAGCGGCAGCTAACCATACAGTTCACATCCTAACGGGCTTCACAAGAAGGATGAAAGCAATTTAGAAAACTCACACTGATGCAATTAATTTCAATAATTGCAACCTTCAGATTGATGTTTTATTCCCTTAACAATATGTTTAGATTTACTGCAGTACCAGGAACATTTCAGAGTGTGTAGGTTTGGGCAATTTGTTGAACCATTTGGTTTTAACTTTGAAATCCTTTTTCCGTAAATGGAACCCGACACATTCCAGATGCTCGGAAATCCTATGGTAACAGAATAAATGGGAATCAGGCAGAATTTCTACCTACACGTTTCCCGTCAGGCTCCCGAAATCCCTCATGGTCTTCCGCTGGGATACAGGCAAACAGGAATAGGAGGCCGTCCATCCCATGGTATCCGTTCCACCAGTTTATTAGATCTTGTCAGATTTTTGGATCGCAGTGCCCTGCTCTTTTACCTTATCCTTCAACACCTCTACCCAATATTTGTCTCCCAAACATCTTTATTGATTGCGCCTCTGCAGCTCTCTGGGGCTGAGAGATCCACACCCTCACAATTCTCTGTGTGAAGCGACACTTCACGACTGAGGTCTAACCACCTTGGCTCTGATGTTAAGGCTCTGCCCCTAGTAATGGATCCCTCTCTACCAAAGGGAAGAACCCTCCATTATCTAACGTGTCAACTACTTCCATTACTGTAAACACCTTAATCAGATCATCTCTTAACCCTCTGCTCTAAGCAATATCACCCCAGTCTATATAACGATATAACAGGAGAGCCATCAAGTGTTTGAATATAAAACTGTGTACAAGTTACAAGATCGCGCAGAGCAGAGCTGTGTGAGGAGAGGGACAGACTTACCTAGTGACTGGTACAGCTCAGTCATCTTTGGGTGGTCCCAGCAGGTGGTCTGGGCCTGATGACTGAAAGGACAAAGAATATAGTCAATATATAGTCAATTCACTTTACAGTATATCCTGTGAAGCATTTTGAGACATCTCAACAATGTGATAAGGCCCTATAGCAAATGTAAGGACTATTATTATACTAAATAAATATCCCATTTTTACATCCTATTTAATAACCCATGCCAAAATTAAAACCACAATCCTAATTTTAATGCTTGCATTTGATATAATTCCTGTCAGGTCAAGAGGACATCTCAAAGTGCTTCACAGGATTTCCAGTAAAGTGTAGTAACTGTGAACTTGTCGACGAACGCAGCAGCCGATTTTGTGCACAGCAATGTCCCATAAGCAGCCATAAAATCAACTACCAATTTTTATCTGAGGGATTGTTGGTCAGGAAACCGGGAGAAAGAAACTCCCTTCTCTTTTCGAATAGTGCCATGGGATCTTTAACCCCCACCTGAACAGGCAGATGGAATCTGAGTTTAATGTCTCATCTGAAAGACAGCTCAACACACACGCTGTGTGAAATGTCAGCCCGAGACTTCAACCGTGAGTTCAAAGTCCCCAATAATCCTACTATTGATGCTTGCATTTGATGTAGCTCCTTTCAGGTCAGGAGGACATCTCAAAGCTCTTCACCAGGATTTACGACTGCATATCAATGCAATCATTAAGATTATTGGTGGGTGTGAACCCACGACCTTCTGACCCAGAGATGAGAGTGCTAGCAACTGAGCCAGGCTGACGCTAATAATATAGACTTTATTCGACATTATGTATTCTTGTGATCAATTCCAGTCATGTGAAAGGAGTCTCCTAAGGGCAATGAAACTGGATAGTGGATAATTGGGAATCTATTCAAATTTTCAAGACTCAAGATGTTTGTTAGGTCAAGGGATATGGGGAAAAGGCAAGTAATTGGAGTTGAGGTACAGATCAGCCCTGATCTAATAGAATGGTGGAACAGGCTTGAGCGGCTGAATGTCCTACTCCTGTTCCTATCTATTTATGTTCCTATGAAATGTGGGGCTGAGGATTTCTTGTTAAAAATAAATGAAGAAACTTAGGGACAAGGATGGGAGGGAGGAGTTTTTTTTAAAAATGTGCAGGGATGTTAGTGTGTGGAATATTTTACCACAAATGTCAGTTGAAGCTGACTCCCTATCGGTATCTGAAAGGGATCTGGAAAATTGTGGCACTTGAGGGAAAAACGATGTGAAGGGTTACGTCAGTACAGTATATAATAACAATCCTTGACTTGTCAATCCTTGCACTTCATCAAACATCATTTCACAGGGAACTACTGACAAGTAGTCCTTAAGCACAAGAGTTATTGAACTTGTAACTCATATAATAATAATAATCGTCCTTGCTTTTGATATAATGTCTTATCACGTTGTTCAGACATCTCAAAATGCTTCACAGAATATACTGTAAAGTGGATTGACTGTATATTTTGGGGGCGAAATAGCCTGAGCTGACACTCCAATGAGGGGGTGTTGGGTTGCCAGAGGTGCTGTCCTTCGGATGAGACGTTAAACCGAGGTCTAGTCTGCCTGTTCAATTGGAGGTTAAAGATTCTATTTAAAAAGAGAAGGGTGTCTGCCCAACAAACCCCCAAATAAATTTGGACCCTCACTCCATGGCTGTTTGTGGGTTAATGCTGTGCGCAAATTGGCTGCCAGCTCCTGTGAACCCCGCAAGCCAAAGCCTAACGGGTAGGGTGGTCCTAACCGGACAAGTAGCGGGAAAGCTTGCCAGACAGCAATATCAATGGCAAGCTGTGCGGTTTTAGTGGTTAGACTCCAGCAGTTACCCCAACACACATTCTGGCTCCTGCCAACCTGCCAACCCAAGCCTTTGCTCCTGCCAACCTGTGCCTAATACCTTCTGGAATTAGGTAAGCAGGATGCATTCCTCCAGGGAGAGAGGGCGCATTCCATTCCAACAATCTATCTCTGGGATTTCCATGTGTACGTGGGATGTGTGGAATTCTCAGTTTGGTTTGGATACTCTTAAGCAACGGTGATGGGTTTACGTATGTGTCAGACACCCGGCTGGCCAAAAAAAAGCGTCTCAGAGCTCGTCTATCCCCTTTCGTTCACCCCTACACCCACCCCTCTCCCCCCAACAGTTCCCCTCTCCCTGCCACCCTCTTCCCCCACCGTGGCTGTTACTCACTTGATGTAGTATGGCACTTTGCTGGGTGAGATGGCCCGCTCCCATGGAACCTGGACAGAAGCTGAAAGTATCAGTGACACAGAGATCGGAAGAGAAAATGTGAAAATATAAATCATTCAACAGCCCTGACCCTCACTGTCAGTGTGTCCTGACTTGCATTAGGGAGTGAGCAGGAACTGGCTCAGTGGCATTCACTCCCACTCACTCGCTCGCACTAAATCACTGCAGGTTTCTCTGTAGCTTTTGTGATGCTTCACAAGATCCTATGGGTAGTGTCAGAGGTTTTGCTTTGTAAAGGAATTGGGCAGAAAATACACAAAAAATAATCCATACAACATTTGGGGAGTTAGATGCATAATAATGATGATAATAATCCTTGCATTTGATACGGTGCCTTATCACGTCTTCAAGACGTCTCAAAGCGCTTCACAGGATACACTGTAAAGTGAATTAACTGTGTATTTTGTGGGCAAAACACGGCAACCAATTGCGCACTGCAGTGTTCCACAAACAGTCGTGGATTGAGTGACCAAATTAATATTTTTTTAAAACTTTTTTTTGAAGGGAAAGCGATTAACAACCGGGCTCCTGTTTACTGTTAGGTAAACAGAAGCGTGTGGAGGAAGGAAACGTGTCTAATGTTTCGCCCTGCTGGGAATCAAACCCAGATCCTCTCACTTGCAAAGCGAGCGCTCTAACCACTACGCTTTTGGACTCCTATGGACACCCAAGGGGGCAGTGAGTTACAGAGAGTGACAGATAGGGGGCAGCGTTACACAGAGAGTAACAGATGGGGAGGGGGGGTAACGTTACTGAGCACGTTACACCAATGATAACAGCATAATGAGTATTGAAGCCAGTGTGTGTTTGTTTATTGGTAAATAATAATGAACAGAGAGTAACATTGATTCATTAGAAGATTTTAGAATCTAACCTGTTGGAATTGGCGTTTGATTTTGAATGTGCGGTGTGTAGAAAACAGATCGTACTGTGATCTAAGTCCTCTTAACTCTCCCCTTCCCTCTACCCCAGCCTGGCACAAGCCTCGAATCCCTGTCACCCCTAAACTATCTTTGAGTTGCTCTTACTGGATAAAAAGTGTTGGGAGCCTGGGCCAAAGTCTCGATGGGCATCTTGTAACTGCTTGAGACGTTCCTCTATGGTGGTCTGTGGAGTGAAGAGGAACACAGGTGTGAGGCCCAGGAACTGAATTCTTCACCAAAGCTCTCTCGTTCCCTCCAGCGTCCCCTCCCCTCCCTCCCTCGTGGTTCATTCTGCTCACTGCCAGCCTCTGTAAAGTAATTCAGTGTTTGCTGTCCGTCTGACTGCCTTCCCTCCTCTGAGAGTGCCAGGGGGTAGAGATTATTGAGATTTGCTCACGTATATGCACACGTGCTCAAACACATATATACACACACACAAACCCATCCACACACAAATAGATATGCACTCAAAAACGCACACAAAAACACGTGCACACAAACACACATGTACAAGACATGCAGATACCCACTGGCTCAAACACACGTTGACACAAGAAACCCACACGTGTGTGTACACGCACGCACACACACGCGCGCGCACACACACAAAAAGACGCACAGGAAAAAACACGTGCACACAAATACACACAAAAACACGCGCAAACTCTCCCGCATAAAATTCTTAAATTCAATCTTCAGTTCAAAGTCGGCTTTCCGTAAATCTTATAATTTACAAACAAGGTCAAGCATTTTCCGAACATTTCCTGAATATAAAGACAATGCTGGTGGGGTGAAGGCTGTGAGGGAATGGCCTCCCTCCTCTTCCACCCCACCCCTCCACTCCCCCCCTCCACTCCCCCTTCGTGACCCCCACCTCCGCCAACTCCCGCCCCCTCCCCCCCACACCCACATACCTGTAAAACCTTCCACCTGAATCCCAGCTCCTCCAGATGTTGGCTGTTCTCTGTGGAGAGGTGGACGTCAGAGATGGCCAATTGGTGGGCCAGGTCATCAGCTAGTTTCATACCGTCCTTCACAGTCCCCAGCTCCTCTTTGAACATCTTAGGGGATGAAGTGGGGGGGAAAATAGAAAGATATATTCCCAACTCCCTTTCTCTTTCCTCTTTCCAGTAACACAATAATACAGTAAACTTCACATAAGTAATATCAGTTGGGACCATACATTTATTATGAATTGTGTAAAGTATGAGTTAAGTCAGACCTTTATTGAATATAAACGCTTGAACTGGACTTGGTTCTTACTTACTACTCAGTAAATAGAGGAGTGTGGAGTGAGGAAACTTGTCTAATGTTTCGCCCTGCCCAGGATTCAAACTCGGGTCCTGTTGCCTGCGAGGCGAGTTCTCTACAGAATCATAAATAATCATTACAGCACAGAAGGAGGCCATTCAGCCCATCCTGCCTGTGCCGGCTCTTTGGAATAACAATCCAACTAGTCCCGCTCCCACCCCTCTTTCCCTATAGCCTTGCAAAGTTTTCCTTTTCAAGTACAGGGTGACCAAAAAGTCATGATATCTACCCTATTATTTAAAAAAAACAAATAATCATAATTTTCTCTAACGATGTCACAACTTTTTGGTCACCTGGTGTAAGCGAAGCATCTCTCCTAAACAAATGGATCACGTGATACAAATGGATCACATCCCCTGTTTACAAACTCTCTCCCAGTTCGGGTCTCCAGCTCCCAGCCTTCCCTGCGCGCTGGCCAGTTGTACCTTAGTGGACTCGATGTGCTCCTGCAGAGAGTCTATGAAGAGATCTCCCACGGGCTCCCAAGATTCCCGCACGGCCTCTGCCTGGCTCAGGGCCAGCCCGATCTCCTCCATGCCTCCCTGGAGCTCCAGCAGCTTGTCCAGGGTCCTCTCGATGTGCCGGTGACGGTCGATGCACCGGGCGCCCAGCCTCTCCCACATCTCGCTCGACACGTTGGCCTGCTTCCAGATGAAACGGCTCATGTTCTGGATTCTGTGCTTCGGCGACAAGTCTGGAACCACGATTCGCCAGAATCTGAGCCATAGGGACCGTACATCCCAACTCCACAACAGTCACAAACCATCAGAACAATCCTTACATTTCAACTCGCACCTTTCAAGTGGGGAGGACATAGAATTATGCAGCCCAGAAGGAGGCCATTCGGCCCATCGTGTCTGTGCTGGCTCTTTGAAAAGAGCTATCCAATTCAATCCCACACCCCCGCTTTCTCCCCATAACTACTGCAAACTTGTCCTCCCCAAATAATTGTCTACTTCTCAGTTAAACGTTGTTATCGAATCGGCTTCCATCACCCTTTCAGGCAATGCATTCCAGATCCGAACAACTCGCTGTGTAAAAACATTTCTCCTCACCTCCCCTCTGTTTCTTTTAACAACTATTTTAAATCGGTGACCTCGGGTTACCGACTCACCCGCCAATGGAAATAGTTCCTCCTTGTTCACCCTATCAAATCCTCTCATAATTTTGAAAACTTCTATTAAGTTTCTCTCAACCTTCTCTGCTCCAACGAGAATAATCCTCGCTTCTCTCGCCTCTCCTGATAACTGAAGTTATCTCAAAGTGCTTCACGGGATATAATATAAAGTGTAGTGACTGTGCATTTTGTGGGTGAAATGCAGCAGCTACAGCAGTATCCCACAAACAATCGTGGATCGAGTGACCAAATTTTCTTTTGAGAGATTATTACCCTCGGAAAGCCAATCACTAGCAACCGGACTCTTATTTATTGCTAGGTAAACGGAGTAACAAAACTTGGGAATTGAACCCGACTCCTCTCACTAGCGAAGCGAGTGCTCTAACCACTGCGTTACGGGACTCCACAAATTCAACCTAGCCTTAGCCTGTACGATTATCTAAACTGTGCATACCGTACTTTATCATTAAACAAAAGTAGTTTTGTTACAGCAGCCAGCGATGGGGAGACAGACGCTGGTGAGGAACGGGATGAGAACTGACCCTTGTTTTGTGCTGGCTCCTCTGCCCCCTCCAAGGGATGCTGAGATAAGAAGGCCTGGGCGGAGTCCAGCGTAGCCAGGATGAAGGGACCTTTAGCCTTCACCTCTTCCATGAAAGCCTGCAGGTAATTACAGAGAAGTGACATGGAGCAGCAGAAGTCAAGCCATTCAGTTACCAGGGAAGAAACTCCAGGTACCAGTGTGAGACAGTACAGCATCTCATCAGTCAGCAGAACAAGAGGACACAGGGGGTAATTTCAGGACAGACACCAGGAAGTATTTCTTTACTAACGACTGGAACTGGATTCGCAGGAAGAGTGGTTAAGGCCAGGGCACTGGGACTCATTAAAAACAGCTTGATGCTGTGCTGGGGGGACCGTGGGATGGGTGTTCAGGACGGATGAGGTCAAGAAGGCCTTCATTATCTACCAGGGTGTACAACCTTTTGGCTGCTGAGGGCCAGATGCCCTACTTAAGAAATGTCTGTGGGCTGCATTAGCAATATTTTTGTGTTTCCTTCCGGAAACCTGTCATTAACGGGTTATTGGGGTGGAGGCAGATGAAACCAGCCTGGGGGCTGCCGTCTGTTCCCACCCCAATAACCAACAGTATCTCCACAGCCAGGCTGTCAGTGTGCCAGGCGGTCCTGGTTCCCAGCCTTCCTGAGGTTTCGGCCTGGCCTGGCTCTTCCTCACACACCACTCTGCTTTGGCCCAATTTTACTCGCGGCAGCCAGAATCCCCATGGACCGCAGAAGTGACGCACTTACCCCCATTACCATCACGAGGCCTCATTCATTACACCATGTTGCATATTATGGTCCTTGCATTTGATATAGTGCCTTATAATGTCATTGAGACGTCTCAAAGCTTTTCACAGGATTTAGTGTAAAGTGTAGTGACTGTATTTTTGAGGATGAAACATCGCAGCCAATTACTACCCTCAATCAGAGGTGTATGGAGTAAAGGAAACTTGCCTAAGCTTGTACCCCACCCGGGAATCGAAACCCTTGTCCTTTCGCTTGCGAGGCGAGCACGCTATAGGAACCCACTGTCCAGTAACGTGCGCCCACGTGAGAACATCTCCCACCCCATCTCCCATCCGCTCCTACTCAAATGCCAAGCTCTTACAGGTGAAGGTGGTGCCCTTTCGAAAGAGTTCCCGCCTCTGCTCGGAGCTTTGAGCGTACGGTTCCCGTGCCTGATCCCGAAGTTTGGACCAAACCATTCTCTCGGACTCGCAGAGGGACTTACGGTGTGGAACTGGCTGTGCTGCTCCACCGAGTCAATGTCCCCGCTGAACGGCAGCTGCTTAGACAGTTCCTCATCTTTCTGGGTCAGCCAGTCAATGGTCTCCTGCAGGGACAACTGCAGCTTACCACTGTGGTCAGAGAGGGCTTCCAGCCGAACCCTGAGCACGGCATTCAGGGGAGAGGGAGGGAGGGGGAGAAAAGAGAGAAAGAGAGAGAGGACATAGATTTAAGAATTTTTATCTTATTAAATGGGAACCAGTCGGTTTAAGATAATTGGCAAATGAACCACAGGCAAGATGAGGAGAAATTGTTTTACGCAGCGAGTTGTTATGGTCTGGAACGCACTGCCTGTTGCCTTTCCGAATTCTCGTTTATCTTCCTTTGATATAAAGATACAACGTTTATTTTACTGATGAGGGCAGAGTCCTGCGGAGTTGCTTTCCCTTCCAGTTGCTCTTGGCCTCTGCTCTCGGTTTCAAGTTCTCAGCTGTTGGATCATGGAGGCGAAGCTGATCCATGTTGAAGTTACAGCACGTGACAGACTCGGTGGGATGTTTACAGTGCAGCACAATTTACACTTATACAGCTACGTTTACATCGGGAAGGATGTCTCAAGGAGCTTGACACTGCTGCGAGGGTGCTTGATTTAGAGCCGTAGGGTGTGGGGAGGGGATCGATGATCAAAAGCGCAACAAGAGAGGTTAGCCTGTCAGCCCGGTTCAGTCGGTAGCTCTCGCGCCTCTGAGCGTCAGGAGATCGTGGGTTCAACAACCACGTTGGGATTTGGAATCACAAAGTCCATACTGACACTCCATGCATTGTCGGAGGTGCCGTCTTTCGGAGATGTTAAACCAGGGACCCTTCTGCCCGTCCAGGTGGACGTTGAAGATCGCATGATACTCTTTGAAGAGGAAGTAGTTTCTCCTGGTGTCACGGCCAATAATTCCCCCAATGGGGCAGCCAATTTACACACAATGCCCCACACAAACAGCCATGGAGTGACTGACGTGGGGGGTGGGGATCGTGGCCAGGACACTGGGAGAGAGAAACTCCCTTTTCTTTTCGAATAGGGCCGTGGGATCTTTAAGGTCCACCTGACCAGGCAGATGGGACGTTGGTTTAACGTCTCATCCACAGGACGGCACCTCTAATAATGCAACACCCCCTCAACGCTGGAATGTCAGCTGAGTTGAAAGTTCTGACGTGGGGCTTGACTCAGAGACGAGAGTGCTACCAATTGAGCCAGGCGGAGGACACGTGATAATTAGCACAGCAAATCTGTTATGAAATATCGCATGTTTTCACCTGATATTGTGAGATTTCTTCTTGATCTCACTCCAGCACAGGTTCATCTCACTGCGGGACCTACGTCAGGTCAGACGTTAATTCGTGGCTGCTCCTCGCTTGCCTTTCACATGGGTTCCTGACATCCCAAGTTGTCAGCCATACCTGCAAATCACCCAGGAAAGACTGGTACTGATCAGGAGCTATGCAATGTACGTAGAATCATAGAGAATCGTAGCATCATAGAATCTTACAGCACAGAAGGAGGCCATTCGGCCCATCGTGCCTGTGCTGGCTCTTTGAAAGAGCTACCAACTTGTCCCACTCTTAACTCATAACCCTGCAACTTTTTTCTTTTTGAGGATCTATCCAATTCCCTTTTGAAAGCTATTATCGAATCTGTTTCCATCAGTCTTTCAGGCAGTTCATTCCAGACCGTAACAACTCTATGTGAGGTCAGTGTTCAATTTGACCGTAACAGTACATATCCATCATCAGCCAAGTCTACCGCCCACACAAAGAAAACATTTTACAAATTATAATAATGATGATCCTTGTACAGCACCTTTCAGGTTGAGTGGACGAACCAAAGTGCTTCACAGAATTTGATATAACACTTTATCACGTCTTTGAGACATCTCAAAGCGCTTCCCAGAATATATTGTAAAGTGGATTTACTGTGTATTTTGTAGGCGAAACACGGCAGACAATTGCGCACAGCAGTGTCCCACAAACAGTCATGGATTGAATGACCCCTGGAAAGCGATCCACCAATTGACTGACTCGTGGATTCCTACTTCCTCTAGGTAACCAGAGGTGTGTGGAGGAAGGAAACTTACCTAAGGTTTCGCTCTGCACGGGAAAAGAACTTGGGTCTTCTGCTTGCGAGGTGAGCTTGCTAACCGCTATGCTAAGGGGCTCCTTAGTAAAGTGAAACGACTGTGTATTTGTGGGAAAACAAGAAAAATACAAACCTACAGTTATCTGATTCTGTCACAAGCTTCACTGGCTTCCAGCTCCTGTGAGATCAGAAAACATTCCCTCTTTTGGAGAGCTGTTAAAATACACAGCCCGAGAACACCCTCCAGGCAGAATCATAAGGGAGTCAAGGGGTGTGGAGAAAATAATAATATCCTTGAATTTGATATAGCGCCTTATCATGACTTTGAGACGTCTCAAAGGGCTTCACAGAATATACTGTAAAGTGAATTGACTGTATTTTGTTCATGCAAAAAGGCAGGGAAATGGGATTTATGGATCGGATGTGATCTTAATAAAATGGAGAACAGGCTCAATGAGCTGAAGAGCCTCATCCTGTTCCTATCATCCCAGAAGATGCCTCTGTTGACCAATTTTTCCAGGGGTAATAATCCCTTAAAAATAATCATTTGGTCTCTCAATCCACAACTGTTTGCAGGACACTACTGTGCACAATTGGTAGCCGCGTTTCGCCCGCAAAGTATACAGTCAATTCACTTTACGGTATACTCTGTGAAGCGCTTTGAGTCGCTGTAGATGTTGTCATTTGGATGAAACATTAAACCAAGGTCCCATCTGCCTGTTCAGGTGGATGTTAAAGATCCCACGTACAATTTAAAAAAAGAAGGGAGTTTCTCTCTCCCGGTGATCTGGCCAACAATTCCCCCAAATAAAATTTGTCATACACTTCATGGCTGTTTATGGGATGTTGCTATATGCAAACTGACTGCTGCATTCACCTATAAAACACCCAGTTTGCACACTTTATGGTAAATTCTATGAAGTATGTTCTGACGTGAAAGGTGCTCTATCAAATACAAGCATTCTTTATTATTATGTGTACACTGTTCCTTAGTCTCCCACTTAATTTATTCAGTCCTTTCAAGTATCATTAATCTCTTGTGCCTGAGCTCATCAGAATATCTGTTTTCAACGACTAACCCAATTTTCAACCGTGAAACTTTAGATGTAGAACTTAATCAAAGAGTCTGTAAAAATCCAATTCAATTGTATTCATTCAACAGTCCACCAATTTATTTACCGCCTGGAAGAAATCCTGGAGATTTATGAAGCTTGTAAACACAACGCAGCCTGTCCTGCACAAGCTATATTGTTTTTATGTGACAATTGATAGCATGTTATGAAGAGCTCCTCAGCACTTTCTCCACCAATAGCACCTTTTCAAATGACTTCACTGCCTGCCCTCCAATACAGCTCCTGTATTTATAGGGCTCCTGGCACAGGGTTAACTGTTTCTCCAGCATTTCTTCAGGATTATGGAGTCCTACAGCACAGTAGTTAGAGGACCCGGGTTCAAATCCCGGTCAGGGCAAAATCTTAAGCAAGTTTCCTTCGTAAAATTTGTCATTCTCTTCTGTTTGCGGGACTTTGCTGTGTGCAACTGGCTGCTGAGTTTCGCCCATAAAATACACAGTGCCATAGGATCTTTAACATCCACCCAAAGGTAGACAGGAGCACGGTTTAACGTCTCATCTGAAGGACGGTACCTCCAACATTGCAGCACACCCCCAGCGCTGGACTGTGAGTTCAAAGTCCTGATGTGGGGCTTGAACCCACTTTTTGACTGAGAGGCAATAGTGCTACCAACTACCAGGCTGATACCTGTTTAGCTTAATAGTTAAGAATTATCTTTATTTGCAAGCGGGTTTCATTTTATGTACTGGACAAAACCAGCTTACAAATTCAAATGTTTCCACATACTGTGAGATCTTAAACTTAAAGAAAAATTGACCTTAGGTGTAAGACTGGATAAAATTTTAGGTCTCATGGCCTGTGATGATAATAATAATAATAATCCTTGCATTTGATATAGCGCCTTATCACGTCGTTGAGATGTCTCAAAGCGCTTCACAGTATACTGTAAAGTGAATTGCCTGAGTATTTTGTGGGTGATGGGAAGGTTATGTATTGTACTCTTATATACAGTCTCTGCTCTCCACCAAATCCTGTTCCTCCTTTAAGTTCTGTCTGCCTAGTAAATCAGATGGATGCGGAATCCATTCTCTCGCTCCTCCCACTGTCCTGGTTTATATTCCCTCCACATCAAAATTTACTCCAAAAATTCAAAGTAATTGCTCATGGGACATGGTTGCCACAAATTATTCATTCCCATCGCTCACTTCTCATTAATCTCATTGTCTGAGGCGTTCGAGAGGTTTCTTTTCCCTAAAAGCTTTTGTATAAATGTGAGTCCTTCTTGTTACCTCCATCAACCACAATCACGTCACCGTATACAGACGCTGGTACAAGAACACAGAGTACAAACAAGAATCAAATAGATAGATGCCTCTGTGCCTCTGTCAGGGACTCACAATCCAGGTCAACACTAATATAGTGCTGGGAGGTGCTTTCCTTTGCATTAAACCAAAGTCCTGTCTCCCTGTTTAGTTGGACGTTAAAGATCCCGTGGCACTATTTGAAAAGGGAAAGGAGTTTCTCTGTCCTGGTGGCCTGGCCAACAATCCCCCAAATAAAACTGGTCGTTCACTTCATGGCTGTTTGTGAGACATTGCTTTGTGTAAATTGGCTGCCATGTTCATCTGCAAAATCCGGTTACTGCACTATGCAGTTAATGGTATGAAGTGCTTTGTGACGTCTTCTTGATGTGAAAGACGTTATATCGAATGCAAGGATTTTAATTATTATTACAATAACAACAACTTGCATTTATACAGTACCCTTCACGCAGGATAGCGTCTCCCTAGTGGTGGGGTTAGATGCTGAGCAGGGGAGAAAAGTGGGGCGGGGGGATGGTGAGCATAGGCACGATCGAAGAGGGATGTCTTAAAGATATGGTCACATCATGAAATAAATCCTCGTTATTATTAAATCCTTACATTTGATAAAGCAGCTTTTCACGTCTTTGGGATGTCTCAAATCGCTTCCCAGAGTATAGTGTAAAGTGGATTACAGTATACTCCCAACGTAAAAGGCGCTATATAAATATAATTTGTTGTTGTTAGATTGACTGTGTATTTTGAAGGCAAAACTCGGCTGTCGTGGATTGAGTGACCAATTTTTACCCCCAGAAAACGATTCGCCAATCGACTTAACAACTTACTGCGAGGCAAACAGAGGTGTGTGGAGTAGGAAACTTGCCTAAGGTTTTGCCCCTGGCTGGGAATCAAACCCGGGACCTCTCGCTTGCGAGGTGGGTGCTCTAACCACTGAGCTACAGGACTCCACAACATTTGTCCCTCCATGGGAATGTAAGCTCTGATCTGACACTCGGCTATTTCGACATTAACTTTATTAATGATGTTCCTGCAAACATATTTGCACAGTTAATCACATCACTGATGCATTATCTTGCAAGAAGTAATTAAGTTTGGTCAATCATTAAAGCGTATGGCTGACTAAGGAAACTTGCCTAAGGTTTTACCCCACCCGGGAATTAAACCCGGGTCCTCTCGCTTGTGAGGTGAGTGCTCGACCCACTACCCTTCTCTGACCAAGGACTCCACATGTTAACAAAAACAAGAGAACAAGAGAGCGAGAGAAGGTGATTTGCATCTTCACTATCGCTGTCACCAACAATGTCACCCTCTCAGCTTCCCCGGAGAACGCAGATACAGTTAAAGTTAATAGTCCTCAAAATTAATCAAAGCCATAGTTGATCATTCTCTCCCTCTAGCCTCTCTCCTCCCTCACTGCGTTACCCACCCCCCCACCCTCTTCCATCGGAGCGGGGGTGGGGAGGGGAGGACCTTAGCCCTCTGAACCCAGAGGTCACCCCATGAGCGGGGCACCGAGACCCATCGATGGGTTTGTGACATTCTCCAGGGTGATGAACGTGAAACTCACTGGTCTGAAGGATGAAAGAAGGACATTCAGGGCTCTGCAATAGAGGAATGTGAGCGAACAAGACATCAGTGTCCAGCTCGGTCCTGCCTCTGCTGGGCTTATGTGCAGGACTCCCTCAGATTTTCCTTTCGATACATTCCAGGCATAGCTCCCTCTCTCACGTTCTCTCTCTCTATCTATCTCTCTCTCTCACATTCCCTCTCGCTCTCTCTCTCTCACTTACTTACTTACTTTCTCTCGCATGCTTTCATACTCTCTCTTTCTCTCACGTTCTAGCTCTGCTTCTCTCTCTCTCTCTCTCTCGCATGCTCTCTTTTAAATTCTCTCTCTCCTTCTCGCGCTCTCCTTCTCTTGCTCTTTCT